ACATTGTAATTAAACATCCATATTCTACGAGTAGAAGTGAAAGTTGTCTGTGTAATTTACACGTTTATCACTACATCTACATTTGGTTGAATCACCAAACAAATTAGCTTAACAGAAAAGTACCTTAATATTGGTATTGAACGTTTTATGGGTTTGGGGATGGATTTAGGATTGTTAGGAAGTTCGTGAGTTTGAGGTTGGGATCTGAAAGGGAATATTAAATCTTATTACAAGTTTTCGTTGTTTTAGTATTCATTATTTGTACGTGTGAGTTTGTACCTCTCTGCCCATTCTTCTCGTCCACGACTACGCTCTTCACGTCTATCGCTGCTTCGGTAACTGCTGTTGTCAGCAGGACCTCTTTCACCTCTAAACTTATCTCGTCTTTTACGATCATACTCGTCATCACTGTCAGCCATTGTGTTCAGAATTAAGGAAACTATTAGATTATCTTAATTGTTTAACTTCTTTATGCACAGATTCAATAAGATTTTAACAATCACTCATTTATAGCTTTAGAAAATCCTCGGAAGGCTTAAAATTAACACGCACACCATAGGCAAATAAAGATGTTACATGAAAATCACAGACTAGCTAAATTTTTTTTAAATACATTTACTGGCTTGGAAGCAAAGTCTTATAAGCCAGACAATTAACCTAAATAAAGATTGGTGGAACTCACAGACTACATAGACCTCTTTATAGTCAGTGATTCCTTACATCTTGATTCCTGATAAAATGTAGATACATACTGGATTTTGTTTTGTAGTTCTTGTTTCTCCTTAGAAGTTCAATCGTATCAGTCGCAGGTAATTAGGTTATTACTACAAAGAATCGTAAAGAGCTAATTGAACTTAACGAAGAATATCAATTCTCGGAACTGATTTAATTCAACTTATAATTATAAAAATGTTTTCATATTACAGTAAAACAATAAAAAATAATTCATGTAAATAAAAATGAAGACTGTACAAAAGAAAATTTTTATTTAAAAATATGTTCTTTTACGTAAAATTTATAACTAACACGCAGGTCTCTTTGTCAGCACAAGTAAGAACAATTTGAAACTATAAAGCTTGCATCCACTACACTTGAACTCCCCCATTCACTTCATTTTACACTTTTTACTAGGTGCTGTCTCTTCAGAATCTCATTTGAATTAATTTAAATTCCTTTTCGTTTAATTCAATCGGCTCTTTCACTTTTCACAAAATAAACAGCTTTATCCTATTCCTTCCGACTATTTGGATCTAATGATGGTGCTGCCATGTTTTTATTGCCTGACCAAAGACAAATAAAATACATATTAAGATTTCTAATATTTCAGAGGACGCAATTTTATTTTTCTTAAATGGTGGAGGAGTTCATTGGTGGTAGGACCTCTTGTAAGTCCGCACGGGTAGGTACCACTGCATATTTCTGCCGTGAAGCAGTAATGCGTTTCGGTTTGAAGGGTGGGGCAGACGTTGTAACTATACTGAGATCTTAGAACTTATATCTCAAGGTGGGTGGCGCATTTACGTTGTAAATGTCTATAGGCTTCAGTAACCACTTAACACCAGGTGGGCTGTGGAGCTCGTCCACCCATATAAGCAATAAAAAAAAAGTTTAACAAGTTGATATACATAAGCATAAGTTCAAGCTTAGAGGGTCGCCACCAATGGCCCTCAGCTGCCATCTTGGCAAAAGGGTTTTCGCGCTGTTACTTAAAACCAACAACCCTGCAGAAACGGATAATTCCAGCTACAAAGTTTAATATCGTTAATTTATTTGAGTTTTACAGCGCTTCAAATTTGACCAGGTCTTTAAATATTCGCAAGAATGCGATAAAAATGAACCGTTAGGCTTAGTTTTCTATTATATATATTTTTATTTATTTATTATCGACCCTTTTCCTCACCATAATACATAAAAATCATTGATTTTTATAATACTTCGCAGAGTACATTTACGAGAATCCTAAGCAGATAGAAAATTTCTAGGTACCTCTTGGGTTCAAATGAACATCTGCCAGCTACCTATTACTGTTATTACTATAATTTGTCCTAGAACGTTCAGCTGTTTCTTCCCTCTCTCGTTTCTCTTTTTTAATAGACGTTCACAAAACGGCTCCATCAGAGCCCAGAGGTGATTTTTAGTGCGACCAGGCTGAATTAGATGCAGATACAGTCATCGTCCGTTCTGAGCTTGCCACACCCCAATCCTATGATTCTGTATCCATCGTAGCAGAGGATATTGACATTCTTCTCGTGCCCACATCATTATGAAGGAAGCAGTCCAGTTTTTTTTTATAATACCTACAAAAGAGCGTACATGTGGTCAATTATACTGTCCTTCAGATTTTATAGGTAGTGAAATAATTTCAAACAATCATATCCTTTTAGTGGTATGTGTGTATATAATTATATATATATTTTTTCTAATACGAGTTCTGCCACGTCACAACAAATCCACAATTCGAGTACTTATACTTTCCTTCCCATGCTTCGAATCGTTTGACTATTTTGATGCTTTTCTTTGTAGTCAATAGATGTCGCTGTTTCCAAACTCTAAATCGCGGTATAGAGATATGTTAAATTTGATTTAAGTTAAGTTCATGCCTTAGTTTCCGTCTTGAGATATGAGGTTTAAAAGTCGCACAGTGTTTTCACTGTGCTTGTTTTTGAAGAGGAATCGTACGGTCGATTGTATGAATCCTTCATTATGTTTATGTAATGCTTTAATATAGACTTGCGCAAAACATCACTTCCCAATGTAATGTGATATGACATCACTTTTACAGACAGGTGATATTACTCGAAAACATTACACATCACTCTTAACATTACTCGGTGCGTTCAATAGATACTAGACTTGCGCAAAACATCACTTCCCAATGTAATGTGATATGACATCACTTTTACAGATAGGTGATATTACTCGAAAACATTACACATCACTCTTAACATTACTCGGTGCGTTCAATAGATACTGTGACGACGAATACATTGTATCTATACACCCGAATCATTACTTAAGTGATGTGTTGATACACATCACTTAGGTAATGATTCGGGTGTGTCATTACAGTAGTGTATTACAATACAAAGTATGAACTTTGTATTGTAATACACTGTTATATTACTTGACACAGATTGACTTACTTAATAATATAATAATTTTATTTTTTACTTAATATAATTTATTGTGGGATGAACGGATTTCATATGGCGACTTAGACTGCAAATTGAGCTCGACAATAATGTTAATATACGAGAGCAGTAGATGCATTGTTTCGGCGCGATATCCTCAAAGTGCATCCAAGGAGGACTGTACTTTCATTTAGACGCCGTTATTTCTTTCACTTATTAAACACGCATTAAAACAAATAATAAAACTATCTTCAAACAAGTGCTTAAGTAATTCAAATCAAACACAAAAATTAATATGAAATATTACTAAACAATTACGAGCGACTAGCGATTTTACAAAAGTTGCGAATAAAAAATTAAGTAAGTACTTGCGGGGAGCTACCGGCTGGCCGCATGAAAAATATAAACACAAATACCTATATTAAAATTCAGACGTACCATAGGTATAAAAATGTACCTAGCGGCCAGGACATACGGTTCAAAATCACTAGGAATAATTCCGTGTCGCTTGCTCATTTATTTTGCGTCGATCGGTCTGTCTCGCTCGCTCTGTTCCGTTCGTGTATTAAGCAACATTACACGACAAAGAAAGAAACATGTTGGGTGATAGTGTGATGTTTGTTTCCTTCGCGTAATGTGTGATGTTGCATTACATCGTAGAGTAATATTACCCGAGTAATATCACTCGCATTACTTACACATGTCTACTTTAATATGTAATTAAATAAATTACACTACATGTAAATTTTAATATGCGGTACTAGCGTTGCCAATGCTAACTACTAGCGATTTCTATTTCCGAACCCAAGGGAAGGGCTTGCTTGTTACTTGTAACCATGTAAATTAACTCTTCGTAATAAGGTGACACTACAAAACTTCCATACGTCCGGTCATGACCTGTCATGACAAAATATTAGCGTTCGCTCATGCGGTCCGCACTAACTTAAAACCCCTTTAAATTATTCAATCTTGTTTTTGCTGATTCCGCCAGAGCACCGTGGTTCGTGAGGAGCGGGGAACCTCACGACGACCTGGAACTTTGTTCCGTTTGTTAATACGCTTTTACTAGCTTTAGACGTATGTATGTTAGTATGTAAGGGAATCTTTGAACATGATTTTGACCCCCGTCAAAACGTCGGATTAACTCGAAATTTGGCATTCTTATTAAGGACCGAACACAATACAATATTTAAAGGATATTATCAAAATAACCCTTCTACTCACATCTGTTCATAAAATATTTATAATTACTGATACACTCCACGCTTTCTTTACAATAAAATAATTTTTTCTTACACTTTTTAATTCAAATTTATTTTCTATTCTTTAGTTGGATCTTCTATAAAAGTGTATTTTTTTAGTTTTTTTAAACTTTTATTTATAAGTATCTTCAGTCGGAATCAGTGCGCTATTTCGAGAAAACGGCGCGACTCGATAATTGTCGTGGCCGCCGCCGCGCCGGTAACTATAGACCCAATCCTGCGGACCGGTCGGTAAACAATTACCGTCGACCTAAGCACGCCACTTGGGTTCCTCCCGATCCACTATCGGTACTTTTAGGGACCCCAAGCACCGGTCGCTGTTCTTGTCGGACCTGTCGCTGGCGACGAAGGGTTCGGCGAGTAAATTGACCAACAGATACAGCTCACTAGGATTCTCGCCTGATCCTCTCAGTGGATCGTTGTAGAATATAGATACTAATCACAAATTGGTAATTAACCATTCAATCATTTCTATCCAACCAAACAAAACACACTTTGTTACCACGTCGCCAAATGAATAAACAGCTTATTATGTAAAACTAATTATCGTATGTATTATTTCTCTATGAAATTAGAACTAGTATGTACAGGTTTTTATAAATTTAATTTTAGATTGAAATGAAAAGCCTGATAAATTTAGGTCATAAAGCAATTTAATTCATCGGAAGCATCCCCGCAGTTATCTTGACCGTCGCATTTTACTGTGAGAGGCACGCAACGTTGATTCAAGCAACGCAGTTCGTGCTTCCTACACGATCCTCCACAGCCATCTGGTTCATCACTGCGATCTTCGCAATCTACGAAGCCATCACAAAATCTTGATGATAAAAAACATTGGCCATCTTTACACGGTGATTGGTTTTGCGGACATTCTGAAAATTAGTTAAATAACTATTAGTATTATAATTACGGGTGTGCGGGAACTGTTGTTGTTGAAAACGAAGACTAATGTTCGTGCAAAGGCTCCCCACAACTATGTTTCTTTAAAATACACAATCTTGAACAAATTACAGAATTAATTAGAAGAAATTAAATAAATTAAAAAGTTTAATGCTCCTGGTACCATTTTGTACGATCGAAGGATTTCCGTTGGAGATTTAACGGCTCCAAGGAACTGCTTCGTGAATGCATCTACCACCGGATCGAAATCGCGATATTTTATTACTTATTTTAACAACATTTTTATTGTTTATTATCAAACTGATTGATCACGAGAATATTAACGGCTTATTAATTTAATTCGTATTATCAAGAAGAAAGGAAATTGATGAAAGTCCGTCGCTTAGAACGAGCTCACAGCATTCAGTTTTGAAGTTGTTACCGGAACCCATAGAAATTACAACGTAAAGCCGCCATCATCTTGAAACTTGAGGTTTATGTCACTATTGTATTTTACGCAAATTATATTTTTTTCGGGTTTGACTTTAACTACACGATGATATTCTAACAAAATTTGAACCTCCTAAATATTGGGAATCCTTTTTAAATTTGAAGGATATTAAGAATTGAAGTTTCATACCAGTGCAATTACGTTCGTCGAACCCATCCCAACAGTCGACGATCCCATCGCAGAGCTTCATGTTAGAAAAACAAGACATTAAATTCCCGCAGCGAAACTGCTTTGTAAGATCACAGTCTGAAAATTTAAATTAAGTTGGTAATAAATAATTAATAAATTTTATTATTTAATAGTCAAACAATTCCATACCTATACTATCCCTAACTTACTTACCGTCTACCTACCCTGCTTAAAAGTTATGTATATTTTATACGTTTATATTAAAATTCTACTATAATAAAGCTAAAACATTTCATTATTATTATTTTGTATATTTACCGCAATGTACTTCGTCTGATCGATCATAGCATTCTACTGAACCATTGCATCTGCTTTCTGTAGGAACACATAAACCATTACGACAACGCCATTCTTCCGGTGAACACGTTGCTAGTGTTAAAAGTCTACAAACACGAACACCTAATTCCTTGTCTACCAAATGACAAGCTTCTAATTCCATTGTACAGAGTCCACCGCACCCTAAAAACGAGAATATTATTAAACCCTATAAATTTAAAATTAAAGTTAGGTAAATCCCAGTCGAATCATTGAAATTACCAGTAGGATCATCTCTATCAATTGGAATACGACAAACTGATTTTCCACTGTTCTCGTCCAGCATACAAATTTCATTACTTTGGCACGAACAGAATTTCTTTGATATATCTCTATTTATTATATCTTTTGGCTTTAGTATTTGTTTATTCTTCGTTTCTTCTTTTGAAAAAGTCTTAAGATTATTTCGTATTTTCGAAATTATACTCGAAACTATTGATATATTTTCTATACTGGAATGTTCTGTGGTGATCACATAATTTGTAAAATTCATTGCTATCGCATTTGATGATGACGCATTATTGAGATTTACAGTGCTAGTTTCAATTGATGTATCGTTGAAGTATATGGTACTAGTTGGCACTACAATTTTACTAACAACATTAGAAGCATGAGTTAAATTAGGAGTCGCAAAATNTTACAGAATTAATTAGAAGAAATTAAATAAATTAAAAAGTTTAATGCTCCTGGTACCATTTTGTACGATCGAAGGATTTCCGTTGGAGATTTAACGGCTCCAAGGAACTGCTTCGTGAATGCATCTACCACCGGATCGAAATCGCGATATTTTATTACTTATTTTAACAACATTTTTATTGTTTATTATCAAACTGATTGATCACGAGAATATTAACGGCTTATTAATTTAATTCGTATTATCAAGAAGAAAGGAAATTGATGAAAGTCCGTCGCTTAGAACGAGCTCACAGCATTCAGTTTTGAAGTTGTTACCGGAACCCATAGAAATTACAACGTAAAGCCGCCATCATCTTGAAACTTGAGGTTTATGTCACTATTGTATTTTACGCAAATTATATTTTTTTCGGGTTTGACTTTAACTACACGATGATATTCTAACAAAATTTGAACCTCCTAAATATTGGGAATCCTTTTTAAATTTGAAGGATATTAAGAATTGAAGTTTCATACCAGTGCAATTACGTTCGTCGAACCCATCCCAACAGTCGACGATCCCATCGCAGAGCTTCATGTTAGAAAAACAAGACATTAAATTCCCGCAGCGAAACTGCTTTGTAAGATCACAGTCTGAAAATTTAAATTAAGTTGGTAATAAATAATTAATAAATTTTATTATTTAATAGTCAAACAATTCCATACCTATACTATCCCTAACTTACTTACCGTCTACCTACCCTGCTTAAAAGTTATATATATTTTATACGTTTATATTAAAATTCTACTATAATAAAGCTAAAACATTTCATTATTATTATTTTGTATATTTACCGCAATGTACTTCGTCTGATCGATCATAGCATTCTACTGAACCATTGCATCTGCTTTCTGTAGGAACACATAAACCATTACGACAACGCCATTCTTCCGGTGAACACGTTGCTAGTGTTAAAAGTCTACAAACACGAACACCTAATTCCTTGTCTACCAAATGACAAGCTTCTAATTCCATTGTACAGAGTCCACCGCACCCTAAAAACGAGAATATTATTAAACCCTATAAATTTAAAATTAAAGTTAGGTAAATCCCAGTCGAATCATTGAAATTACCAGTAGGATCATCTCTATCAATTGGAATACGACAAACTGATTTTCCACTGTTCTCGTCCAGCATACAAATTTCATTACTTTGGCACGAACAGAATTTCTTTGATATATCTCTATTTATTATATCTTTTGGCTTTAGTATTTGTTTATTCTTCGTTTCTTCTTTTGAAAAAGTCTTAAGATTATTTCGTATTTTCGAAATTATACTCGAAACTATTGATATATTTTCTATACTGGAATGTTCTGTGGTGATCACATAATTTGTAAAATTCATTGCTAGCGCATTTGATGATGACGCATTATTGAGATTTACAGTGCTAGTTTCAATTGATGTATCGTTGAAGTATATGGTACTAGTTGGCACTACAATTTTACTAACAACATTAGAAGCATGAGTTAAATTAGGAGTCGCAAAATTTATTAACACTATACTAATCACGACGATAGCGACAATCATAACACTAATTGAGCATGCTTGTAATTGAGTCCGCTTTTTGAAGAGGCTGTCTGATTTGTTAATTTTCAAAACCCAACACATGCCTTCACGGATTTTCGTATTCCCTCTTCGACTATTTTCATTGGTCGGTAATNTTATTTAATAGTCAAACAATTCCATACCTATACTATCCCTAACTTACTTACCGTCTACCTACCCTGCTTAAAAGTTATGTATATTTTATACGTTTATATTAAAATTCTACTATAATAAAGCTAAAACATTTCATTATTATTATTTTGTATATTTACCGCAATGTACTTCGTCTGATCGATCATAGCATTCTACTGAACCATTGCATCTGCTTTCTGTAGGAACACATAAACCATTACGACAACGCCATTCTTCCGGTGAACACGTTGCTAGTGTTAAAAGTCTACAAACACGAACACCTAATTCCTTGTCTACCAAATGACAAGCTTCTAATTCCATTGTACAGAGTCCACCGCACCCTAAAAACGAGAATATTATTAAACCCTATAAATTTAAAATTAAAGTTAGGTAAATCCCAGTCGAATCATTGAAATTACCAGTAGGATCATCTCTATCAATTGGAATACGACAAACTGATTTTCCACTGTTCTCGTCCAGCATACAAATTTCATTACTTTGGCACGAACAGAATTTCTTTGATATATCTCTATTTATTATATCTTTTGGCTTTAGTATTTGTTTATTCTTCGTTTCTTCTTTTGAAAAAGTCTTAAGATTATTTCGTATTTTCGAAATTATACTCGAAACTATTGATATATTTTCTATACTGGAATGTTCTGTGGTGATCACATAATTTGTAAAATTCATTGCTAGCGCATTTGATGATGACGCATTATTGAGATTTACAGTGCTAGTTTCAATTGATGTATCGTTGAAGTATATGGTACTAGTTGGCACTACAATTTTACTAACAACATTAGAAGCATGAGTTAAATTAGGAGTCGCAAAATTTATTAACACTATACTAATCACGACGATAGCGACAATCATAACACTAATTGAGCATGCTTGTAATTGAGTCCGCTTTTTGAAGAGGCTGTCTGATTTGTTAATTTTCAAAACCCAACACATGCCTTCACGGATTTTCGTATTCCCTCTTCGACTATTTTCATTGGTCGGTAATTCATATGATGTGTACTTATTCCGAAAGTCCGAATCGACATGCTGTGATATTGATGGAATGTTTTCATTCAATTCTGATTCCCTCATATTTCGTTCGTTATTAACTGTTTCAATACGTCGTGAACCACGAATTTCTTTTTCTATGCATTGTGCAGAATCCACATCCTCGTTCTCCGTTGTTTCCGTACATGTCGTGTTTGGCGTTGAGTAAGTTGTTGGAATAAAACTTTCACATACTGGATTAATTTCATATTTTCTAACTTTACCTTTGCACGTATAACAATATTTGATTACGGAGGCATTAGAAGGCGCATTGATGATGTTTTGTCGTAAAATGCTGTCCTTCCAAAGATGTGAGCAATATAACAATTCTAAATTATTTGAACTATCTAGTACGTCGTTGTTTTTTGTAGACAGATCTTCACAGTTGATGTCAGCTTTCATATTGTAGTATTTGCAATCTTTTATCAAGCATAGTTGTAGACATCAATATCTGGAACGAATTTGAGCATTAATATCTCTGAAGTGAATCTTACAATGTATTGGGTACTTGTTTTTATGAAGTGTTTGCTTCTAAAAACGAAACACTAGCAATTGAATAGAATTACATATACCAACTCCCTTGCTCAAGCCCTTCAAATTGAGTAGATAATTACCTAAATGTATAAAGTTACTGGATGGTAATTGAACGTAACCGAATACGTCAATTTTCTACTTCACCTCACTCACATGGAGTTAAGGTTGCAGTGGCATATCGAGTGATGCGACTGTTAGAGTTCAAATTCTGCAGAAGGGCACCAATGTTTTCAGATTAAAAACCTATTTACGAAATGTTTTCGAATCGCTTCCACGAAATCACATCTATACTAATATATAAATCTACACTGGTTTTTACGGATGTTCCATTATAACTACTGAACCATGCATCCGATTAACTTGAAACTTGGTATCCATGTAGAAAATACTTGTACTTAATGGATAGGCTAATATTTATATGAGTGTTGGACTCTCTACAGCAGTTGCGAGGGCGTTAATGATGAGGATCTTTGTGGGGATGAGAAATAACATGCTAATTTTAAATACCCAGCGAAACGGACGGGTACACAATATTTTATTACAAACCGTACCCACAATATTTTAATTTCCTGAATTACTGGAATTACAGCCCCATGTAAGGTCGGATAGGTACCACCGTTCTAATCTTTCTATCTCCTATCTTTCTTTCTTTGGTTTTCGCGAGTCCTGGATATAATTAAAACTACTTTTACGGTTTAATCTCGCGTTTTTTAATGTCATATTGTTTTCGACTTTCCGTATAATTTACAGTTTTCGTAGTGGTTACACGAGATTAAAATCTAAAAGTAGTTTTAATTTACCACCATTCTGTTTACTTCTGCTCCTAGTAATGCGTTCCGATTTAAAAGTTGGGACAACCGTTATACTATATAATTGTGACTTAAACTTAGACTGAAGTATTCACGTAATAATTGATATATATGGACTCCAGTAACCAGTTAACACTAGGTGCACCGAAAGCTTGTTTACGCATATTAGCAATAAAAGAGTATAATTTTTTTTAAGTAAGTACATGTCCCCGTCACCTTGAGGAATAAGGTCAAAGTCGCAGTTTTACAATACAACGGCGGCCCCAGTCTTTAAATTGAAACTCATTAGTGCTCACAAAATGCCTTACCACTTTGGTAAAAATTAAAAAATAAGAAACCTACGCAACTTCACAACGCAGTTGTGCGATAAGCATTTGGACGCATTAAATTATGAGAAAATATTTATTTATTTATTTATTTATGAAACTTGATCCTAGGTAATTGTTGCAGGAAAAAAACAATCCTTATATCTTCTATAGTTTGTAAGAACTAGAGGAGGCTATTATTGGGTTATTAATGATGTAATTGATATTATTGATGTCTGACAGATAAAGGGAAAAATTCCCATATCTAGAAAAATATTTTTTTTTACTTCGTTACATATTCCATCGATGCTTTGAAATTGACGTTTTCTTGCAGTCTTGACATAATTTAACGGTAAACAATAAGTTGTAGTTTAATAGTTTGGAAGGTAGATAAAAAAAATTGGCAATATTTGGACAATCTATTGTAATAAATAAATTACACTCGAAGAAAATAATACATTTTCGATATTCTCAAATCATACAACTTAATTCAATCATAATACAAATAAAATATAACAAAATCAACATCGAATTTTAAATTAAACTACAGAAGCTGTTACGTGAACAAGTTAAAGTGATTTATAATTAAACTAAAAATGCATAATTTTTTATCGTAAAATAACTCACATAAAAGAATGATTTTCATCTGTTCGGGTCACATCTGAAGTATAAAAAAGAATTTTAATTTACTACACCAACTTAGATCATGTTTTGCGTCGTACGTACTGTGCACCCGAGAGCTTTGTATCGCACTACCGTTGCCTGTGACAACGTCCAAACAACTTTACGTTTTCAAAACCGTCACGATTATCGCGACCTCGTAAAATTGTGAAAGAGGGACGAAAGATTCTAAAATAGGAAATATAATAAAGGACAAAAAATAGGGGATAGTGTAGTCCGTGTTCAGTGAAGAGAGACACGTGCTATAGTGGTACGTTCGCAACTGAACAAAACATCTGTTCCTTGTCCAGTCAATGATCCTACTTGGACGTGACAAACATGGTGACTTTTTGGCCTTTCTTATTAATTTTTTTAGGTCATTTTACAACATGTTAATATTATCAAAATTTTAAAATACTTTTGTTTCTCAGTCACATTTTAGTAGCAGAATATGATTTTTAAAAACATCATCATGTTAGATAATTTAATGTTAAAACTTATCTCTTTTTTAATTGACACAGTTCATCTCGTGTGGTAGTAATAACTGGGGCCACAAGTTTAATGTCTTAATTGTAATTTAGAACCGATGGTCTATTCCACAAATTGGAACTTAATATCATAATATACTAGAAAATGGGTTCAATTGAAAAAAAAAGGATTTTAGGTATAAATTATTTTAACCGCGAATTACTTAACCTTTTTAAGAGTGTGTGCAAAATTTTAAATTTTTTTTATCTAATTTTAGATGGCTCCGCAGGCAATACCTACACTCTTTAATAAAGACGAGAATTAGGGCGTTGAGAATTTAGTATAATAACATATATAGGAAAGTAGATCATTATACTACTGAGTAACTCTATTCTTTTTTTATTTTATTGGTTAGATGGGTGGACGAGCTCACAGCCCATAGACATCTACAACGTAAATGCGCCACCCACCTTGAGATATAAGTTCTAAGGTCTCAGTATAGTTATGTTCTGATTATACAATTATAAGCAGACGTACGTAGAAATTCAACTAAGTTTTTTTATTATTTGATTTTTAGACAGATAATCAGACATATCAGAGGCACACCCAATCCACTGCTTACTCTCTCTCCTCAGACCCATTTGAAGAAATCCGTGTCTGTAGGTATGTATTGTCGTCATGTGGAAGTTGCAGGCAGGTTGAGGCATGCCAGAGCCCACCGGTTTACCAATTAAAGTAGTTAACTTATTAATGAACAAGAAGTCTGATAAACAGCGATTGTTACTTTCTATGAGTTAAAAAAAATGGAGTTTGTCTACGCTAGCCGTTGTTAGTCGAAACTTTATCAACATTTATAAACAATGTTTATCAACTTAAAAAGTTTTAATTATAGTTTAAGTCTCGATAACGAAAATAGCGGAATATAAAAAGGGCAAACATGGATATTTTATAGTTTATTTTTATAAATATAGATATACACAGTTTAAAAAAAATCATATAACAATATAAGCACGCCTCACACTCACGCATGTCACTGGTTCAAAAGTGGGCACGTATCAGTCAGTATAGTTCCAGTTTTTCTGAAAGTCGTATTTGTGTGGGTATGTAACTGTAAGGCAAACAGTCGGACTAAGGCCTGTTTAATCATGACTCGATTCACTCATTACCTTTAACTTTAAGTTGAAAATCCCCAATAATATTTTTAAGGATGAAGTTTTATCGAATTTAGGGTTTTTTTTATTAAATTTAACTAATTTTGAAATTAAATAAAAACTTTTAATAAAAAAAATTAAGTTATTCCGTCAAATTAATAGGGAAATGTAATTTAAATTTTTAAGCACCTACTTTAACGATTATAATGATTTTAAGGATTTTAAACTCTTTACTTACAGTTATTTTTGGCACTTGCATAGTTACTATTTTTTTTTTATTGCTTAGATGGTTGGACGAGCTCACAGCCCACCTGGTGTTAAGTGGTTACTGGAGCCCATAGACATCTACAACGTAGACGCGCATCCCACCTTGAGATACAAGTTCTAAAGTCTCAGTATAGTTACAACGGCTGCCTCACCCTTCAAACCGAAACGCATTACTGCTTCACGGCAGAAATAGGCAGGGCGGTGGTACCTATCCGCGCGGACTCACGAGTGGTCCTACCACCAGTAATTACGCAAATTATAATTTTGCGGGTTTGATTTTTATTACACGATGTTGTTCCTTCACCGTGGAAGTGAATCGTGAACATTTGTCGAGTACGTATTTAATTAGAAAAATTGGTACCCGCCTGCGGGATTCGAACACCGTTGCATCGCTTCAACACGAACTCACCGGACGTCTTATCCTTTAGGCCACGACGACTTCCTAGTCTAGTCCTAGTCCTAGTCGACTTATTAGTTATATAACTACCTCATACGGTTCTTGATAGCTCGGTATACATACCGAAGCCTACATATATAACGTAAATAGATTTGGATAGCTCTCGAGAAATGAGATCCAAGTCTCAATTGTTAAGACCTTTCGGACACTCGCAATCGTAATGACTGATTATTGTATGATTGATTTTATTATGTAATATTGTTCCTGCCGTGGAATTATCGCGGAAATAAAAAAAAAATATTTACAATTTTATGTACCTACAGAATTGCTAAATAATTAGCATCAGTTTCTAATCTCCACAAGTTACAGGACAGTACATAATTATAACGTACCCTATATAGTAAAGAATAAGACTTAATAGTCAGAGATGTTTTTGTTGGCTTAGCGGTATAGACCGTGGGCCTGTTGTGCTCGATGTGCATTATCGATAGCGACCACTTTTGATCAAGTGGGCCGTATGTCTGTCTACTATCGAAGGCAATAAGTAAATCCTCCTCACGCCTAAGGTCAAATTAACTACATTACACTATCTCTATTTTTTTTTCNTATAGTAAAGAATAAGACTTAATAGTCAGAGATGTTTTTGTTGGCTTAGCGGTATAGACCGTGGGCCTGTTGTGCTCGATGTGCATTATCGATAGCGACCACTTTTGATCAAGTGGGCCGTATGTCTGTCTACTATCGAAGGCAATAAGTAAATCCTCCTCACGCCTAAGGTCAAATTAACTACATTACACTATCTCTATTTTTTTTTCAATATTCATTGAAAAAATCATATTACGTAATATTAAAATACTTCTTACACTTCAACGGGGCATTTTGGCAATTGTACTTCATAATTATGTACATACCATTACTCGTAATTGTCTTGTGATTAAAATTGTCAACTATTTTGAAATAAATCCATTTATTAAAACAATAGACTCCGATGCATCATACAATACATTGAAAAATATTGAAAGTAGTAGAGTACCTAATTGAAGAAGGTTAATAGAACATAAATAAATGTTTTTTTTTGTTATTTTTTAAAGTTATGTTATTCTTTAAAGTTATTTAAGTAACTTATCTGTTTTTCTTGTAGTTTTCACAGATAAAATAGACTAATTTGGAGCAGAATATAGTTTTAAGAAGTAATATTAAATTTACTAACCAATAAGCATAATTTTACTTTAGAAATAGAATTTGTTTGGATTAATATGGTGTTCATGTATATTTTTTTGTTAGCATAGTTGTGAACTGTTATCAATGCTGCATTTTTTATATCTAATACACGTGATAAGAATCCATTAATTACTATTTATTTATCTTATAATATTGGTATCTTGTATATTCCTTGTTAAAATATCAAAATAAATTCAGATCTTATGTATGTTTTGTCATTTAAAGAATTTACTTTCATGAAAATTACAATTACCAGATATTTGTTAGTTAAACTTGAAATGATTACAATTAATAAAATTTAATTAATGTAATGGAATAGACGTTTGAAGTTAACAAAAAAAAAAAAAATTTCCTGTTTTTTGACACCTAAAACTTCCTACCAAGCCCATCTGTGAGGACTTGAAGCGGCTGCAGGTGCAATCTTGCAGATGCTACCGAGGCCTTCGCGTCGCCATCCGTTGTGATGTGCAACCGGATGGAGACACAACTCTCACTGCGCGCGCCGCATGCGGTTGTCGTCACACGCCCACCTCCCTGCTTCGTTCGTACGTTCCCACTACGGCTTGGATACACGCTCAGTGCTCTGTCAAATAGCGATCTGTTAACGCGTTATATCGCTCATCGAGTTTCCTTTCGTAAAATAAGTAGCATGTGAATGCGACGTTTTTCATAGTTCAACACGCAACGAGTGAAATGTTATTCGTTCACTGACCATACCGCATCGGCCTAGCTCCTGGATACTCTTCATGAGGATCTGACCGCTTCGGATTTTATTTAATAAGGTAAAATTATTTTGATTGAATTATGTATTTAATTTGATAATTTAAATTGAGAAGAGTGACTTTCACAAAGTGCCACCATGTATTGTAGCGTTTAAAAAAACTTGATACCGCAATAATTCCGTAATGCCAGTCTCGAGAAAAGCTAGTGTAGGTCAGAATGACAGTCGTCCTACTTCTCATCGAAACGACATCGAGTTACTAACTTGCGAACTGTTATTTTGTCCACTTAGGTGATGATCTAATTTACTGAAGCTCATGCCTAAATTTTATTATTTGACCAACAAACGGATTACCGGACATATTTTATAGGTAGCGTTTGTTTTTTCCCATTAACCGCTATTGTATTGATTCATCATTACGTCGTGTAGTAATGTACACTTTATAAACTATATGACATATTGGTAATTCAGAAATGTGGTCAAGGTATGTTGTTTCAGTCAACATTTGTAATGTGAAAATTTCATTAGCAAAGTTGACGAAAGAGTTACCCGACGGATATTAGTGAATAGTTGAAAACAAACTAAAATACTGTGCACTCTGGGTGTATTATTTTTTAAATTTCGATTTTCTTCCAATGAAACGATCGCTTTCTACTACTTCGGAAAATTATGACAAGCTTGCATTACAAATACTATTTATTATTGTTAATATTTCTGTATTACTTTGTCGTTAAATTTTAGGATTAATAGTGGTAATTACGATCATCTACTCCAAATTTTGTCATATCATTACTACTATAGAACAAAACCTATTGACAATATTAACATCTGATAAATGAAGTTCACCTCAAGCAAACATCGGTATATTTTTTTTATTCATTAGTCACAATTTAACTTTCTCATTATTGACTCTCCACAAAAGAGTCGGTGTGTTTTGTAATTCATAATAACTCTAGTTATATAAAATCTTGAGGGGATCAACTGTCACCTGAGTAAAGTGAAATGCTCAGTGAAAATTATGTTACAGTCACGACATTTAAGTAAAATGCCGTTGACGGATAATACCCGACTATTAGCAGCTGAGAGTGTACATGTGTTTCCTCCTACATTTTGTATTTTTCTGCATGCTTAATATGAATTTGAGATTTAAATAGGTTGTCAGTATCGAAATATACCTGAAGTCCAAATTGAAGGCCTCCCCTTGAAGTCGTTTTGAGACTACAAAACTACATATCTTATACCTTTAAACGAGCAATTCTTGTGTATATATAATCTGAATCTCAGAAACGGCTCCAAAGATTTTCATAAAATTTAGTATACAGGGGATTTCGGGGGCGATAAATCGATCTAGCTACGATTTATTTTCAGAAAATGTTGTTTTCAATAATCAACTCTTTCCGACATCTATTGGCGAATAATAATACTATTTTTCTTAATTGAGGGCAACTAACCGCTTTAAAGACACAACAAGTCATCAACAACAGGTCATCATCTAGTAAATATTAAATTTCAGATAGCTGCGTTGCTTGTGCTGTCATTTTTGTATCCGAAAAACATTAAATATGTTAAGTAATCTGTAAACAAACGATTGAACATGTTGAGCGAATCGAACATAATTATTAATCTAATTAGAACGAAGCACTAATTAAAACAATCGTTAAAAACAAGGGCAAACCATGCAAATATTAACTGCCTAAAACTATTGGTTTTTAATGAATTGGCTGATAATATTTTTTTTTACAAATTTGTCATTTCTTTGTTTTGAGCATAGGTAATACTATAACATCTACCTCAGTATGTTGTAGATGTGGTAATATTATTATCGTTCGAAGTAATAATTGTTTAAGTCTAATCTATACTAATATTATAAAGAGGAAAGATTTGTTTGTTTGTTTGTTTCGAATAGGCTCCGAAACTACTGGACCGATTTGAAAAATTCTTTTTCCATTAGAAGCCGACATTGTCCCTGATGAACATAGGCTACTTTTTTTAAAAAAANCCTCAGTATGTTGTAGATGTGGTAATATTATTATCGTTCGAAGTAATAATTGTTTAAGTCTAATCTATACTAATATTATAAAGAGGAAAGATTTGTTTGTTTGTTTGTTTCGAATAGGCTCCGAAACTACTGGACCGATTTGAAAAATTCTTTTTCCATTAGAAGCCGACATTGTCCCTGATGAACATAGGCTACTTTTTTTAAAAAAAAAATTATTTTATTTTTTTGGTTTCATGTGTGTTTTAATGTTTCCGAAGCGAAGCGAGGGCGGGTTGCTAGTCGAAAAAATAAAAGAAACAGTAGATAACTGTTGCTTTCTTTCTGGCAAACCAAATGAGGTTAACGGCGTATTTCGATGTGTACAGAATGGCGAACTGATGTGGAACGATTTTGATTCAACTTACCGCGAATACAAATTAACGTGTCATTTATTTATTCAAACTTTATAACACAAATAATAATTATTATAAAGTCTCAACGAGACTAAAGTTTGTATTGCCTATTTAATAAAGGCTAATAAATTAGTATTTACAAAAGTCTCAAGTGTAATAATATAAACAGATGTACGTTCGTACGTTCATTCAACATCCAGATATTCCAATATTCATATTTAATATTTGGAAATTATTTCTATGAATTCGTCTCATCGCTCTACTTAATTCTACTCACGGATTCTACTCAACAAATGTTCACGATTCACTTCCACGGTGAAGGCATAACATCTTGTAATAAAAATCAAACCCGCAAAATTATAATTTGCGTAATTACTGGTGGTAGGACCACTTGCGAGTCCGCGCGGGTAGGTAGGTACCACCACCCCGCCTATTTCTGCCGTGAAGCAGTAATGCGTTTCGGTTTGAAGGGTGAGGCAGCCGTTGTAACTATACTTAAGACCTTAGAACTTATATCTAAAGGTGGTGGCGCATTTGCGTTGTGGATGTCTACGGGCTCCAGTAACCACTTAACACCAGGTGGGCTGTGAGCTCTACCACATATCTAAGCAATAATAATAAAAAACGTGATAAACCTTATTGAAACAATAACAATCATTTGTAGACATCGTTAGAAATTCCGCTTGAATATAAATTGTGATGGTCTCGTTAAATCTAATTTCCTACTTTGGCAAGTAATGTTAGTTTTCCAAATTTTTCTAGATTTTTATAAGAGTAGATACGGAGCCGAATCACGCACTACTTATGGTGACATGCGGTTACCGCAATCCGTAGATTGCAACAATGAAGTCTCTCCTTGCTTTGGAGCAAATATAGTACCTTAAACTTGAACCGGAACGCATGACTGTGTACTATGTATGTCTTTGATTTTGATTCAAGCTGCAAAAGTAATTTTGAATTGATGGTTTACGTGTTTCCCATTCTAAATTACCAAGTAAAATAACGTACTAATTTGCTAACCAACTTCATTGCTTCACTTGAGTGTCTTTAGATAATTAAAAAACCCTTAGTCCGTATATGCTAAACTTATTGTTGCGAATTTAATTATCAATAAATTAATCTATATAAACAGGAGAAGATTACACAAGCACCGTTTTCTACATGTTTCCTCAACCTATTTTGAGTATAATAGATTTGTAGATAAAACACAACCTTTGTGATTTATTTTTAAATAGTCAAATCTTTTTAATTAATGTACCATGTAACGGAAAGTAGCACTTATCTCAAAATTACACAAAATACTATGCATAAGCCAATGCTCAGTGAAATATACATTTTAAATTTGTAGTTTTATTAATATTTTGTAGCTTTTATAATTTTTTATACTATATATGTAGAAGCGCATTCCTAAACATCTATTATCGATTTGTAATGATTTTCGTTGGGAGCATCCATAACAATGAATATTAAGGATATCTCAAATCGCTTCGATTTGTGGTCGTTTTGTCCCTATCCATTAAGATTTTTTTAACTGTTATTGTCATTGTTCTTTCTTTACCTTTAAAATGTGATCTAAAATAACTCTGAATCAATTAGCTGTAGCGTAGAGACGGAGAGATACGATAAATCTATTAGCTTTTTTTTCAATAATATGGCGGTTAATATGATTATTGGACTGGACCGGGTCGGAATCTAACTTAATCCGTTTTCTTTTCCCTGAACTTGTAAATTCAATAAATTGATACAGGGTTTATGTTGGTGAAATCCCACCTGGCAAACCGAAGAAGTGAGAAATGAGTTGCACTTTTGTAGAAAGTTCATGTGACAATAGTAAACATACTCGTATTTATTTTAAATCGGGATAGCGACATTTTTTAACTAATCTTGCATGAACGTTATTGCATAATAATACAGTAGGTACTCGTAAAAACCATTCTGGACACTTTAATGGCGATAGAGCGTACAGTCAGCCTGCAAGGGTAGGGATCAGCATCCTGCCATGAAAACTACCAATTTAATTTAATTTGAAATTTATTTAATTTTGACATATCATGTTATGATAGGCTTTGTCAAATAGCGTTTTCTAATTGAAACTATATAGTTTGATTAACTTGTTTGTTACTGAAATATTATTTTCTGAATTCTAATTGTGTTTTTAAAATGATTTTTAAGGTTTATTCTCGCTTTATAATTATTATTTATTATTTTCATTTCTAATTTCCGACGCTTCGAATACCTACTACTTTTGTTGCCGCAAATATGCCATATGCCATATAAACGAAATAAAAGCGAGATTAAATCGTAAAGGTAGTTGTTGTATGTTTATGACTCCTGAAAACCGAAGAAAATATCTGATGATTTGTTGTTACGTTATAGAGGTAATAATGAGAACAATAAAAATGTAAGAATCATACATGATGACCTCATTGCGTCACTAGGACGCGAAAGAAAGCGTGTGGAGGTCATTCGTTAATAAGTACACTCGTATTCATTCAGGCTAGTAACAAAAGACGAAATCAGTGCTGTGTTGCAACCATTGTTTTATTACTATTTTACGTCATGATGATTTGGGCTTGATGCTGTGCTGTACGTAAGCCCTGACTGAATAAGAAGCCAATAGGATTGAGAACCATGTAAGGGACATATCAGATATCTCTCGGCACAGCTGTCCATCAGGCCAGTAAGAGATATTCTCGGAAACTGAATGTCAACTTCATGCAATAAAGGAGTCACGATTCCCAGTAATGAGGCAATGTTTCAGAAGGATGCCGTAATAAGAATTAGGGAAAATTTTCTGAAATTGTCTTTTCTGCATTATTAATGACGTTTGACATGAACATAGAATAGCTGCAACATATAAAATTATCCAGAAAGAGTAGAGTATGTCAGAATTTCTTATTTAAATATCTTACATCTTTGTATTTTTATCTAGTACTGTTCATCTATACGTGACATTTGGTCACGTAACCTCAGAAAATCAATGTGAATAATTAATAAAATGCAAAAGTTTTGAATAGGTACTTAATATAAAATTAACCTATTTATATATCGTGACACGTATTGTTTACATATTTATGTTCCAAGTACATACTGAAATCCTTGTTATATCGATATAACAATTTAAGATCAAGCAATGTTACTTAAGTATAGCTATTAGTAACATTTTAAACAATATTTAACTTACGATAAAGCACGCAATCGGTGATTGCTGGCAGTAATTAATATGCCCTTAACAATGTATAATCAAAACGTCCTACTTACATTATAGACCAAGGCTTATCGAATGTTAATGATTTAGCGAATTTTGTTACAAAACTTACAATAAATCTAATTTATATCTAAACAGTTAACGCTACTTAAGTGTCTGGACAACCAGACTAGAGCAAAAATGATACACCTTTTTTACAGAATGGATGACTGAATTTTCACCGTACGTGCTAAGGTTGTGTAAGGTATACAGAAGTTGAACCCATAGAACCCACAACAAAATGGAGGGTGCTCCATTTCTTCTTTAGCCGCGGGTTCAATCATGCGAATAAAAATGAACTACAGTTTGAAAAACGTGGTGACCGTTATAAAAGCAATAATAGAACAATCATTTACTAACTTAAACTTCTTTGTACTTTTTTAACTGCAATAAAAACTAACAACACTAGGCAAAGTAATCATTGTTGCGTGACTACTCAATGTTAATAACATCTATGAGTATAAGAATAGAACATTTCAAAGGCTTCTTCCTTAAGTTAGTCAAGGTTATTATTTTTATTCTAACTGAAAGAAATTTAAACGAATACCCAGGTATCTTAGGGGAGGAAATGAGAAGGCAGAGTTGAAAATTATAGGAAATTATTTTTTATACCTCATGTCGAAATTCTTTTTATACCTCATTGTCAGGAGGAAATCGCCGGACTTCCGCCCTTTTCTGGGGACCTCATGTCTAAATCTTTTTCTAAATCGTTTCGAAATCTCATATGCAAATTGATATGTGGGACCTATGTTTATTAATGAAATGCCTTTTAGTGTAATTTGTAAAATTTTAGTTGCTTGCCACGTACTTTTCCAGAACATGCGGGTGAATTAATTCATAGGTACGTGTGCTCCTTTATCACTATGACTCGTAATATTAACTAGTCGTTTTTCAAGGCCGTGTAACGTCAAATTTAATTTTAAATTTTCAATTGCGTACCACTGAAAACATTTTTAAATGAAGAAAATATTTAAATTGCAGTCAAAATATATATTTTTTTTTTAATTGCTTTGTTGGGTGGACGAGCTCACAGCCCACCTGGTGTTAAGTGGTTACTGGAGCCCATAGACATCTACAATGTCAATGCGCCACCCACCTTGAGATATAAGTTCTAAGGTCTCAAGTACAGTTACAACGGCTGCCCCACCCTTCAAACCGAAACGCATTACTGCTTCACGGCAGAAATAGGCAGGGTGGTGGTACCTACCCGTGCGGACTTACAAGAGGTCCTACCACCAGTAATTACGCAAATTATAATATTGCGGGTTTCATTTTTATTACACGATGTTATTCCTTCACCGTGGAAATCAATCGTGAACATTTGTTGAGTACGTATTTCATTAGAAAAATTGGTACCCGCCTGCGGGATTCGAACACCGGTGCATCGCTCGACACGAATGCACCGAACGTCTTATCCGTTAGGCCACGACGACTTCATAAAATTGACTTACATAGTATGTATTTATTATTTGATTTTGAGTGAGGAAATTGAATAGTTTCCTCCTATTACAGTTATTATTAGGTCGGGTCTGTTCTTTGGATTACATTCTGTGAATATAATGTCACGTATCGAAAGTGTACTTAGAATGAATAAATTAATGAAATAATAATATCGACGCTTGAAAGGTAAACGTGACTAAGCGACAATACTGCTTTGTACATAAATGATACGCAATAACCATATTCGATGCGCAAAAAAAAATTTATTTCTAGGTCTATTAAAATCATTTCAATCCTACAGCTAGATTCGTTAAAATAGATTTTTTTTCAGGTATTTCAACTTTAAATTAGTCTACTGTAAAGTTCACGCATTGTCGCTTAAGTCACGTTTGCCTTTCAAGCGTCGATATGCAAGGCAGTTCTGCATAGGATAATTTTATAGTATCGGGTAAGTAGAATTGCGTAGTTCATTTTAAAGCTTATCTATCAGATTCATACTACGACGGAACTTATAATGTTTGTATTGTTAATTGTATTGATGCAAACACATAGCGGAAAAATCGTTGTAAAATAATGTAACATTGAATAATCAGTTGGCGTGGGTGGCCAATGGCTCGTGGAAACGAAAGGGCAATGTTCACAAAATTTGAAGTTTCAATTGCATTAGTGTAACGGTTGTCCTGTCCCACCGATCAAATAGGAACGCATGACTGCTTTGCACGAGAGACAGGTAGAAAGGATACCTACCCGTATGTACTCAAAATACGTAGCAATAATTAAAATAAACTTATTTGTCGAGCTATCAAGCGTTACCACTTTACTAATGCATTTCTTGAAAATAACCATATAAATACTAAGTTTTATGGCAATCCAATTCATCGTATAATTTTGAAAACGAACAAACATACCAATAAAACAATATCACTGGTGAAGCTTAAAGTAAACATTCCTATGTTTTATAAACTCAGTAATCTATTTATCTAATTAAACATGTAGGGGTATTGCTTGAACTTAAATGCTGTCTAGTTTTTTTTAATTTAAATAAATATTAACACATTTCCTAAAATAGATTAACGAAATGTAATAAATGTAGTGGAATAATAAAGGTCAAGGCACTGTTTAATTAAGAATTACGGCCCGTAGATGCCCATAACAAATAAAGGTCAGAATGTTCGTCACATGCAGCGCAATTGTTGTCATATTGTAGGTCAGAAGAGTTCAGTCTTTTTATCTGGATATGGCGCCATGAACTCAAGTCTCGTATGTTTTTAAAACTCTTCTGATTGGTGGGGGCAATTCATACAATCGTCTCGAATTCAGTATATTAATCCTTTCCCTATTCAATTTATTTATTATTTACAATACAATTGGTGACTTCTCGAGAAATCAAAGAAACGTTACACAAATTTGGATTTCTGCTTGGTGAGTTTGGAACCTTAGCAAAATTAGTTCTATGAATTTTTGTAGTAAAATAAATTTGAAGTGATTTGTAATTTGTGGTTATAGATAGTAGATAAGTCTTACTTCTAGTCAAGTCTCGCACTTCAATTACCAATATTAGATTTTTTAATGCATTTTCATTTTTCTTTAAACATAACCTATTTTCATTATCATTTTTATTCTTCGTTTGAACGATGAATAATGCAACTTAGGTTATAATTATAGTTAACAAATTAGAAGCAATGTTTAGAAATTTAAGCACCCGAGGTTTCCATCTATCTATTCTTCTCTAAACAAAAATGAATTGCTGTTCGTTAGTCTCGCTAAAACTCGAGAACAGCTTGACCGATTTGGCTAATTTTGGTCTTAAATTATTTGTGAAAGTCTAGAGAAGGTTTCAAAGGTAGATAAATATGAAAATGTTCGGAATTAAATAAAAACAACAATTTTGTTTTTCCGTTGATGTGTCCCCCGTCGGACGGATTCCATTTGTTTGTTTTAAGTTTATTTTATACAAAAGCTTAGGTTTTTTTATTTTTTGATTGAGGCACTACGAAGTGTACCGGGTCAGCTAGTAAATAATAATTTTAAATGCGCAGCGAAGCGGGCGAGTACGGCTAGTACTAAATAAATGTCTCACATGAAACTATAATATAATACCTATGAATTTCAACTTTCTTTCAATAAAAACAGAATTTTTGAATTTCAAAATAGAACAAGGCACTCACCTATCAAATCCATCAATAACAATGTACAAATTATTTAATTTTTTGAAGGAAAAGAGTTCCAACAGCTTGTACGTCGATGTCGAACAATTGTAAATAATAAATGTTTAATATGAGCGATATCGCGGCTGATAAGTTAGGAATGAACAGTACCACTTTTGAACATTAATTATAATACCAATTACTCAACACACAATTATAGATGACTAAAGAAAAAAACGAAGTGCTAACTAAAGAGCGTTAGCTAGAGGAGCATTTAGAGATATTAAAAATTTTGATAGTTTCTCCAGATTAATCTACACCAATAATAACACAGTATATGTAGTTAGTTTGGCTGCACGACTCGAGTGCTGAATGGCAAATGAGAAATTTTGATGTACTATGACTCGAGTCGAGACGTGCATATGATTGTGACAAATCAAACTCAATCAAGTAACCGCCGATTCCAAAGGTGATCTGAATCTCTTTCAACTTGAAAGAAATCCAACTCGTGTACGAAGTGTATTACTTCTTTTAGAGGCTCGTTATAAATCGTTCGATGGAGTTAAAATAAAACACTCCTTAACAGCTCTATGAAACATAAAATAATCACAGTAAAATTATTGTTTAAACTAATATCGCTTTATAAATTAGATAAGCAACTCATATTGAATCTCATTCACATTGAATAAGATTCAATATGAGATATACTCAAGATGTTAAGAAAAAAAAAACGTATTACAACAGTCCCATGCTGTTGCTCAAAAATCTAACATTATGTATTTATTACGTGATCTACGACTGAGTTTATTGCAGTAGGGAATAAATAACATAAGATAACCACAGTAAAATTATTGTTTAAACTAATATTGCTTTATAAATTAGATAAGCAACTCATATTGAATCTCATTCACGTTGAATAAGATTCAATATGAGATATACTCAAGATGTCAAGAAAAAAAAAACGTATTACAACAGTCCCATGCTGTTGCTCAAAAATCTAACATTATGTATTTATTACGTGATCTACGAATGAGTTTATTGCGGTAGGGAATAAATAACACAGGGAAGATCTTTCTTTAATGTCCAGAAGTTGTTCAGAACTTACATGTTTGGGTATCTTGAAATTGTCATCGAGAGTTATTCAGGTTTTAACTGAATTTTTTGTATCCCATATTTTAAGAAGGAGAAAGAGAATATTAATGGTATTATTGTAAATGAACAGTTGAAGTTTATTATGTAAAATAAAATAAAAATTAAAATTGAATTGGTAACAAAGTTAACTTTTCGCACTATACAGGGTGTTTAAAAAGATTTTTTTTTTCAATTGCATCTTTCTAAGTAATCACAGATTTTTATTTAAAATTTTTATGTTTTATTCATCCACGTATGTAGTAAAATGCGTATGGTATCTGAAACAATAATAAATATTTGATAATATAGAAAGCAAATATGCATGTATGAATGTTATCTCCGTTTGTGGCGCGGGAGAGGCCAATATCCTTTAACACAATAGATATTACACACAGGCGGAAGGCGCTAACAAATAATAGAAGTGCATTCCGACCAGACCATCTGCTTATAATAGGTGAAAGTGAGGTCAGTGAACCTAATGAAAGTTTTTAATAAAGGTCAGAGTTGAATGAAACTGGGAAAACTATCCCGTTTCTTATGAGTCATATGATATAAAACAATTGACAGCATAAAATATTCAATGTAAATAATTGTATCTGTACGTCCAATGTAAATGTCTTTCTTCAAACGAAGTGTGTGGAGGATAACCTAAGCAGCGGCTTGACTATGGCTTCGGCATTTCTGACGTCCATAAATGACGTTAACCACTCACCATCATTTGGGTCGTCTGTCTACAATGGCATTTAAATAAAAATTGAATCACTTCCTAATAATTGAATCCGAAATAAGACATAATTGTTACAGATGTGTAACTGGCCAAATTATATAATGTAATTTAAAGATAATTCAATTGACAAACAAGACAATTGTTTGTTTCATAAACAATAGCGCAGTGTTGCACAAACACACGTGTTTAATCCCTCTTATTACGTTTTCCGCAAGTTGCACATTAATTACGACTAAAGAATACACATTATAATGTTTTTATAAACCTTTGTACCATAATGTAATGATTTGTCTATAATAGGGAAGTTCAACTCCAATTAACATAATTACTATTAATGTCGTACAAAGAATTATAAGTCCCTTTTTAGCTTTATCTATTTCAGTCAGACAAGAATATTATCACTTTTTTTTTGTCGATAATCGATAATGTCAAGTGGGTTTTCATGAATTTTATGAAGCTTAAAAAACAGTTCTTCAGCCTATCTATACTAATATTATAAAGAGGAAAGATTTGTTTGTTTGTTTGTTTCGAATAGGCTCCGAAACTACTGGACCGATTTGAAAAATTCTTTTTCCATTAGAAGCCGACATTGTCCCTGATGAACATAGGCTACTTTTTTTATTTTTTTTTATTTTATTTTTTTGGTTTCATGTGTGTTTTAATGTTTCCGAAGCAAAGCGAGGGCGGGTCGCTAGTTTATTATATTCTGGAAGTATTGAAAATTTGTTTTACTAAACTGCTATGTCAACTCAGGTGCGCATGTCTTGAAAAACACTGGGAATGCAATAGAAAACAGTTAAACATATGGCGTATAGCTCCCTTAGTCTTTAGTGGTTATCGTCGGTCTTTGAGAACCACTACGACAGTTGACCTGCTATTCAAAGCGAAGAAGTATTTCAATACATAAATAAAGCTTGAAACATTAACCCATAGAATTCAACGTTGTTTGACGATTGTAGTTAGATTTCTGTATGGAGTTTTTCGCTTCAACTTTTACTTTAAGTCTTTCGCTCGTCCTTGGTTAGAATCGATCTGGCTGTCGATAGTTTACTACTTCATGACTATACTCCCAATACATAGCTTCTAAAATCAATAAGTAATTACTGTTATGTCTAACTTAGCAGGCCCAGTTATCGCAAATATTTAACTTGGGCGTATTATCCGAGCTAACTGTTAATTTAACAGGTTTAGCTGAATTATAATTCAATAGCGCTTTGCCTTTCCCATAACATTATATAAGTAGAATCAATGAGGTTGTGTCTCTTATATTTTACATTAAGACAAAATATTTTGAACCATTGTCAACGTTTTATCATTGTCTTTATTATATAACACCGTCCGTTCTGAAAAACAATCTTTAGATCTGTTACGACTTACGTGACCGATGCTACGGAATACCGAGCTTACGGTTGATACTGAGAATCTACATCGAGGCAATGTCTTTCATCCTTGTCTTGCAAATATTCCGGTCGCTAAACAAGTTTCGCACACTCCAATGCCATAGCGATATAGACCTATAGAAAACAGGTACCAAAAGGAATATATTAAAAAAAAAAACTCATAACGCATGTTAATTTGATCTCTAGAAAGTAGCAAACATAAATAGCATTATAATTTTTTTCGATACATGAAAATAAAATTTAATCTCTAAATTCAAATCAAATTAATGTTATTGAAATCTTAGATGGTTTAGATTTGTTTATTTTGACGATTAACTACTTTTGACTACTGATTTGCCCTAGCTAATGCTAATCCTAAGTTTCTGCCGGACATTGGTACCGCCAGTCTACTGAGTCCCCTAAATATGAGATAGAAATTAGTTGTTGGAATGCAAATAGAAATTTAATACTCATTATAATTTCGTAAGAAAACATGACCGAAAGTTGAAGTATTAGGTAATCCAATATTCAGATTACGTTCACAAAGGAAGATAACATACAGTGAAGCAGTGAAAGTAGATGACTGTCATCTCAGTATGCGTCAACGAAAGCCATGAGCCAGCAGTATCCTTGTCCTTGCTCTCAGTGTCGATCGGAAAGTGAAGTGATTTGCATGGAGCATAAACAAACATATTATATAATAATGTGGTTTAATTTAATAATTATATTATGATGATGATGTTCTTAGGAAAATATCGCCGTTTACTCCAACCTGTTCCTCCTACGAATAGAAATAAATAGTAAAAAATACTGAAATAGTTAGTCGCATTTTTAGTTTTGAGTGTTTTTTTTTTATTGCTTAGATGTGTGGACGAGCTCACAGCCCACCTGGTGTTAAGTGGGTACTGGAGCCCATAGACATCTACGACGTAAATGCGCCACCCACCTTGAAATATAAGTTCTAAGGTCTCATGTATAGTTACAACGGCTGCCCCACCCTTAAAACCGAAACGCATTACTGCTTCACGGCAGAAATACGCAGGGTGGTGGTACCTACCTGCGCGGACTCACAAGAGGTCCTACCACCAGTATTTTTTTATGCGGTTCGCAAATGTACATATGTGCGTACATAGAAGTCTGTAGTTCACGCAGTCGCAGCTTGAAGCAGTCGATCCTGACTGCTTCAGGCGGCCCGTCTATGGCCTGCTTTTAGTCTTTGTAACTTAAAACAAAATGTGAAATTAATTAAAGCAAATTGATATTTTGGTTATATTGGACAACCAGTCAATATTTATCGTACTTAGTGCGCACTTGCATGATATTTTCACTTACGCTAGAAAATAAGAAAGCGGTGTTAACAATCAAAGCATCAATGGGTATACTTTGTATAACCTTTTTTTTATTGCACTTATAGGCAGACGAGCATACGGCCCACCTAATGGTGAGTGGTTACCGTCGCCCATGGACTTCAGCAATGCCAGGGGCAGAGCCAAGCCGCTGCCTACCTCTTAATACTCTCCACAAGCCTCTTTTGAAGAAGGACATATCATAGCGCTCGGGAAACACCGTGGATGGGATTACTTTCAAAGAATCTGAGAATTTTGCGGCATATGTTCAATACGAAAACTAAGCTGTATTCGAGAGACACAGCCAAATCAACATTTAGAAACATTAAACTAGTTTCTTTCTTTTGCATATATTTTTACACTCGGAACAACAATCAATACATACATATAATAAAAGGTAGAATCACGTGTGTCGGTATATTGAAGAGAAGTAATAAAAATACGGTAGGGATAACAAAAAAAGGGTTATAGAATATAAATCACTAATTTTTATATAGTATAGTAGTATTATATGAGTATAAAGATAGTTCTTTCATACTACTCTTGAGCATTTGTCTCCAACACAGAACAGATAAATAAGGTCTCCAACCACACGATGTAAAGTCCACTCCGGGGATGATGCGGGGCAAAAGCTAGTATGTGCATTAATTTATTGAGTTAGAGATTATAAATTTTTTTTTAGTCTGTTCTTAATATAATAGTTTGCCTAACATACTTTTATTTTTAAGCCATTGTGACATTTATTACATCCTCGACCTAAAACATCGTAATACTTTTGGGAGTCGGAACAGTTGTGCCAGCTACATTGATATGTAATGCATGTTTTACTACTGGTGACAGTTTGAATAGGAAGTTGTTTTTAGAAAGTATATTATGAATCTTTTAAAAATAATAAATACATTTTTTGACACGGCTACTTTGAGCTGTGAGGCATTTTTAAATTATGTAACAAATCTAGTTTTGTCTTTATAGTGTTATAGAGATCTATTTCCAGTCAACGTAATATCATTTATTTATACTTTAAAAGCAATGAAATCTGTTTTGTTTAATAGATTCGTTTTTTTTTTTGGTTTTGGAATAATGACCAAACAAACAGAATAACGATAAAATTGTACATGTATTGAGTGGTGCGTCTATGAATGGACGCGTACGGTTAGGGACCCCGGTAACCCTACGCGTCGAACTCGACAAAGAGGTCAACGTGCAACCTGACCCATGCATTAGCCCGCTGAGTTTCTCGCCAGATTTTCTCAGCGGGTTGCTATTCCGATCCGGTAGTAGAGTCATTCGCGAAGCAGTTGCTCTTGAGTTGTTAGGTCTCCTTTGGAGACGCTCGGGCGGCTGCTAGCAACTCCCACCGGTCCTGGCTGAGCCTTTGCTCGCCCACCTGTCCTGGTGAAACTAGAAAGGCCTCCGGGCCACCAGTAATCCCTCAGTCATAAAAAAGAGCGCAAATCACTCGGCTGGTATCAGTTTCGGACGATTGATTAATATCCGATGTAGAAATAAAATCGTGTTGCAAAACCAACCCCACAAAATGTATAAATTTATTATTATATTGTGAACTAGGATAATTTCTACTTCTTTACTACTTCGGTCCTGCCTATTTCTATTTCAAAGCAGTAAAATTTTTCGGATTGAAGTATGGGACAGGGTAAACAAAACAATAAATTTAAATAGCCGTTAATATGCCCACTAATCATTATCAAAATTCCTAGAATTATCCTTGATAATGGTCTAATTGATTTACACTATAGCTAACCGAGTATCGAATCGACTATCCACTACGTTCGCTGCTAACGGCTGTGCGAGCTTATATTTCCTGGCAGATAAAACTATTTTAAAATTTTATTTTAGAAAAAAAGAAATATCGTACAATCATGTCAATGTCAATCAACATATTGTAATAGATTTGTTACAGCACGCCCCTAAAGTTTAAACTATAAAAAAATTTCAGTAACTGCAAGTTTTGCGTGTTTTTTAATTGAGCACCAAAGTGCCATCATACTACGTATCCAAGTGTGAATGTGTGCTATACCAACATCACCGACCGTCACTTTCCAACGAATTCAATGAAGCGCGGAGAAAGTGGCGACCTAAACGAGCGAGTGCGTCCGCAAAAGACGCTGACTCATTCACATGATTCACTTAATGTAAACTTTATTAAATTAGTTAATATTATTTCAATATTAGAGGAATTTGTCTGTACCGAGCCCATACATGGATAGCTACCTATTTCTATCACGAACGATTATCTGGGCTCCAATAACCACAATAGAATATCTAGGAGGGCTGTAGGCACGGATTTAAAACAATCATTTACAGCAATAAAAATAAGTAAAATAATAGTCTGAGCATACGCTAAAAAATAGGCTTTTGTAGTTAGTAGAACTAAACAAAACAAAAAAAAAATATACGGAGCGTTCGTTTGTGTTTATAATAATTAAAAAAAATATTAATATTCTTATTTCTTATTAAATTATAATTTGGTCATCGGCTCTTGAGAAGTGTGCAAATTTCAATTTAATCCGATATTATGAAGTGAATGAAAATCACGTTCAAAGACTTAAATACTTATAAATAAACAGGCAAAGCTAATAAAGAATCGTTAATAGCAAATGCGATTATATTATTCGAAAATAGTTTAAAAATGAAGAATATGTAAATCCCGTTGAATTATAATCATGGAACTCACATCGGAATAGTATTTTGAGATTTAATAATTACCTCAGGCATATCCATCTATTGCTAACATCTTTGTGTAAATTATTACGTGTTTATTATGTCAACTTTCAATCAATGCTATAAATTTTAGGCTTCCGTAGCCAAATAATGGTATGCGAATACTTTAAAATGTCTTTTTTCCCGTGTTTCTAAATTTTAAATTATATGTAGGTGAGCTTTCGGAGCAAGGTATATTCTATTAGGTATTTCTTCAGTTTTCGTGAGTAGCCATCATTGTTAGATTCATTCTGTAATGTAAACAGTTGAACGATAGTTATCATGATGGATATCAAAACGTGAAGTCGTCGTGGCCTAAAGGATAAGACGTCCGGTGCATTCGTATGAAGCGATGCACCGGTGTTCGAATCCCGCAGGCGGGTACCAATTTTTTTATGAAATACGTACTCAACAAATGTTCACGATTGACTTCCACGGTGAAGGAATAACATCGTGTAATAAAAATCAAACCCGCAAAATTATAATTTGCGTAATCACTGGTGGTAGGATCTCTTGGGAGTCCGCACGGGTAGGTACCACCACCCCGCCTATTTCAGGCGTGAAACAGTAATGCGTTTCGGTTCGAAGGGTGGGGTAGCCGTCGTAACTATACTGAGACCTTAGAACTTATATCTCGAGGTGGGTGGCGCATTTACGTTGTACATGTCTATGGGCTCCAGTAACCACTTAACATCAGGTGGGCTGTGAGCTCGTCCATCCATCTAAGCAATAAATAAAAAAAAATGTGAAAATGATCCAAATGTAAACAGCTGTACATGACATAACGTAGCATAATAACTATACGCGGGGGCGTATTTTGAACCCGCACGGGTAGATGCTGCTATCCTTCATATTTCTGCCACGAAGTAATCATGTGTCCGTGTTTGAAGTGGTTACCAGAGCCTATTCTATGGAACATGAAGACCGGCGCCTGCCTTGTAAAATGAGGTGCATTGTTTCCATCCTATATTATGGCTGCTAATGATATTCTGAAAGTATTGTCTTGAACCAATGAAGCTTCCCGGTTTGAAGAGTGGGACAGCTACTATATCTTCTTCTCTAAATAGTAAGTATGTGGGGTATATGGGTCATAGATATGGAGATTTCATCTAAGCAATGAAAATAATCTTGATATGGTTTTCACTAACAGAAAGCTAGTACAATACAATTAAGACTTCGAACTCTAATTTCTCCCAGCTCTGGTGACCACTTAACACCGAGTTAGCCGTAAGCTCATTCACCCACCGATACAATAAATAAATAAATTAAAAACGAGACTTAACCTTACAAGGAGTTTGAATATTGTGTCACCGATGCACGAAAACTGAAGTAAATACTGTGGTTAAGTAGTTATTGCGATTGTGGAAATTTTTGTTTACATCCTATGGGATATTAAGTCACAAAACACATCGGTAAAATTGTTTGGATTATAATTATTATAAACTTGAACATCATTTCTACTGAAAGAAATAATACGGAACTCTGTTTGGCATGTACCATAGTTATATCTTTTTGCTTGAAATATCATTATTTGTAGTATATTCTGTAAAAAAATTGAGACAAGTACAGATGGTAAGTGAAATTTTACTTCTACTAATCGAAACCGACAACAAAAAAGTTACGTAAATTGAGAAACTCTGCCCACTGTATTTTATTACCACATTATGAAAACGCATCGCCATATGTTTGCTTCATTTTTTGGTTGGCGTATAATCCTACGACGACTTTATAGCCTATGACATTCTATTACAATGTCCTCAATTTATTCATGTTCGTACTAAGTAAGTCGGGAATTTCCGTTAACCTACTTTCCCCGGCTATTTTTTATGTAATAAAAGGAACTTAAAAATATTCTTCGGAAAGTTTTAAATGAATTTCGTAGCAAAGAAGGATTATCCTGTTGTTAAACTACTAGTATTATGGGAAGTTATTTACGACGTGTACTTAAATTACGGCTTAAGGCTACATCAACATGAATAGAATTTTGTGGAAGAATTTATTATAATATTGAATAGTTTCTAGGCGTTAAGAGATTCACTGCTGAATAGGTCATGTTAGAACATTAGGATAAACAGGTTCAATATACATGCCATAATACAATTATACTATATATTTATTTCACGCATCATCATTTACACGATAAATATATCGGTAATATATGTTATTATGCTGCAAGAAATGTAGTAAAGCAGTTTCTTAGACATTGGGTGTGCTCACTGCTGCACGTGATTATCAATAATGTAATGCGACAGAAATCGTCTTCTCGCATTAAAACTGTATAATCTCATCTAATTTTACAAGAGAGTGTTTTAAAGGTTCAGCATGTGATATTTTTAATATAAATCATCTTTGCAACAATTATTTTTTAATTTTTACCAGTTAAATTATCTGTATTTTAAAGTAAGATAAGTTTTATGTATTAATTTTGTTATTAATAGTCAAAATATAGGTAAACAAAAAAAAACTAAAACTAAACTACGCTTTTTTGACAGTATTTATGAGAAAAATACTGGTGATACCAAATGATTCCGCATATTAACTCAATTTCGAATATTTTTGGAAATTGTACACTTTTAATGCGAAAAGACGAAGTTACACTATATACTTCATGAAGATTTTTATTGAACATTGAGTCGATTTAAAAAATATTGTTATTATATTTTTGTTGCAGTGTCTGCGTTCTTCATCTCGTTATGATTATTAGAATATTATGGCTTCTACTACTAGTGATTGTTTCAGTAAGCCCCTGGACATTAGGTAAGTCTTGTAATGTAAATAATGAATTCTTTTTGTAAATGAAATTACCCTGGACCTAACAATTAACTTTGTTTTAGGTAACCCAATATTCCTACAGAAGCCTGGTAAGCCAAACAGACCTGTGATAAAATGGAATCCTCCAACGGACACGTGGAACTGGACTACGAATCCCCGAAACGAGGAACCGTTTTTTGTACCATCAAATTTTACACATAAATTGCCACCATCGGCCAATGAAACCGAACTCATAGCTCACATGGCAGCTTTGAAACGTAACTATTCGCGGCTCCTCTGGGATAACGATAAAGGCACGAATTTACCTATGTTCGTTGAAAAAGCATTAAAACTACTCAACTTGAAACAGGTTTATTACGAAGTCGAGCATTCGGTGATGTCCAAAGTGTCGTGCACAGCATGTAAGGCAGGCGCAGGACTGCTGCAGCACTATATAAGGCTCGGTAAAAGTAAAGACGAAATCAACAAAATGATTTTTCAATTTTGCGTTTCTTTGAAGATTCAATCCGCCCGCGTTTGTGAAGGAATAACGAGATTATTCGGGGTACGTTGATTATTTGTTTATATTACAAAATTGTTGATAAAAAGCGATTAATAAATTCACGTTTTTTTATTATTCTTTCAGAGCGAAGTGGTATATGTTTTGAAAAGAATAACAATTGGCCCGGACGAAATATGTAGTTTTGTGATTGGTGACGCTTGTGGCGATGTTTATAATCCATATCACGAATGGGAAGTGGCTTTCCCCCCGGTGCCAAAGCCGACCGTGCGACCTCTCGAATCACCGTTAGAAAAGGCTCCCACATTCAAAGTATTGCAGATTTCAGATACGCACTTCGATCCTTATTATGCAGAAGGCGAGTATCTATGACGTCAGCTGATAACAATGTCTTACAATATTATTTTATTTTTATTTATATATTTATTATACTTCATGTAAAATTTACATTGGCGGACTTAATGCCTAAGGCATTCTCTACCAGTCAACCAAAGGTAGTGCAGAGTAAATAGTGGTAGGTGCAATGAAATTTATATTAAGTTACAAATACATACACAAAAAAGTATATATATATATATATATATATATATATATATACATATATGCACAATCACATATACACATACATACATACATAAATTTGTTGTTCTGTTAACATATGATTATTAATTAATTATAGGTGCTAATGCCGAGTGTAATGAACCACTTTGTTGTCGTGCATCTAACGGACCCGCACTGACCCCGGGTGGCGGAGCAGGACGTTGGGGAGACTATAGAAAATGTGACACACCGAAGCGCACTATTGATCACATGTTGAAGCACATCGCTGACACACATACAGTAAGTAAACCTTTACACGATATAGTTTTGAAACATTTAAAAAGGAGATGAACATTGTACACAACGTTAGGCATATTTCATAGTACTAGAGGTCCCGCAGTAGTCGACTATAATTAATTGGAATTGTAAGTTTGTACACTATTATGATTGTATTTTCAACGCCAAGACTACACTAAATATTAATAAGCACAAACAATATTTAATCTATTCTCAATTTGACCACAGATGTCAATAACAAAACTTTGACAATAAATAAATAGTAGGTATGCATGCGTGTGTGTGTCAAATACATGGTAGTGTGTGTAATGTTTTCTTTATTGATTTAATGTATCTTTTATGCATTATTTTTAAAAAATATTAGCATTGTGCACTTCTTCTCTATATTCTCTATAAGTGTGGAAAATTTCATACTCCTCCGTCCGCGCAATTTTCGTAAAAAGGGCTACAAAGTTTTTGTTACGTTTAATTTCATAGTTTTTTTTGTTTGGATTTCGCGATTCGTAGACGTAATTAAAGCTGCTTTTAGGGTCTGGTCTCGCGATTTTATTGTCATTATGAGACGATTGACGAAGTCGTCCGTAACCACGAAAACTGTAAAGCAATCGAAATATCGAAAATAGTATAATGGCAATTGATAACGCGAGATTAAGCCGTAAATGTTGTTTAATTACACATTTTCATGTTCACATGCGTATATTCCCATTTAAAACAACGTGTCAATGAGGTTAAATGCGATGTAAAAAAATCGTTTCCAAAACTGAAACGCTATGTAGTATCTACCAAGTATAATATAATTATACAAATGGAAATCTCTAACTGTTGCTTTGCTGAGCACGAATAGTGAATGCTCAAAGAGGGTCATGAACACTCTCAAAGCCGCAATATGGACTAAAAGTAGCGGGCGGAGGCGTTGCAACTTGATTCGAGAGCAATTCATCCTTCAGCTGTTTTAAAAATATTGTTAAAATAACATAAATAATCTTTGTTTAAAGCTTTAGGTGGCGGACGATCATACGGCTCATGTGGCGGTGGCTAAACACTATCACTCGTTGACTCCAGCAATACTCCTCACAGCCTAGATTTATATTCCCTTTGCATACAAACACTTAAACTGAAATATACACAACAAGAGATTTGCAAAAAAATTGCTGAATTAAATATAAACCTTGACTTGTAATGAAATAGTCCAAAATCATAATCAATCAATATCAAAATAACAATAATATAAATTCATTGGTTTTCTAGGACATAGACTATATATTGTGGACCGGAGATTTACCACCACATGACGTTTGGAATCAAACGAAGGAAGAAAATCTCAAGGTTTTACAAGAGACTGTTGCACAAATGTCTGATATGTTTCCTGGAGTACCAATTTTCCCAGCTCTAGGAAATCACGAATCTTCTCCAGTAAATAGGTTCGTATTTATATTGCACAATAAATTCAATATTTATTTATTCATTAGAACACAAATTTATTGGTAATTTGGGGCCTCGGCTGCTTCAATAACTGAGTTTTAAACCAAATTATAAAATACACAGATGTCTTCTTATTTGTCAAATTGAAGATCATAAATTGCGTACAACAGAACAAGTACACCGATGCTTACTTTGAGACTTGTTATTCAGTGAGCGCAGTGCGAGTTTTTTAACGTTCTCTATAGCATAAAAGTTAACTCAAAGTATGGAGTTGGAACGTTTGCTTACGTATGCCGCTAGAGGCGCTGTTCCAACTGCAAACAAATTTGAATTAACTTTTACGCTATCGAAAACGTTAAAAAACTAGCACTAAGCACACAGTTCTTTAATGAAGAATGGCTATTTAAAAAAAGATATCAGTTGCAAAAATAATATAATTTTATTTCATTGCAGTTTTCCACCGCCCTACATATCTTCGCCGGACCAAAACATCGCTTGGCTATATGACGAACTTGACACGCAATGGCGACGTTGGCTTCCTGCTGGCGTGTCGCACACCGTACGCCGGGGCGCATTCTACTCGGTACTAGTGAGGCCTGGCTTCCGTATAATATCGCTTAACATGAACTACTGCAATAATAAAAACTGGTTAGTTTTTGTAATTATTATCCAAATAAATTTTTTACGTTGTCATTTCATGCATATCACCCTTCGTTTTTGAGATGTTTATTTTGAAAGAAAAATAAGACAACGTGATCACATCAAGCATTTACAATATTGAACAACAAGACCTAAGCCTAGTTTTTTTCTTTTTATGTTGCTTTAGATAAATATACGTCGACCCACCTGCTGTTCAATGGTTACCCATGGACATCACTACGTAATTGCCACCATTCTCTACGAGACATGTGTTCGTGTATATTGCATCACAGCTGTTAGCCCAATCTTTAAACCGGAAACCTTTCTACTTCGCGCGAATAGGCGGAATAGTGTTACTTACGAACTATTTTACTGGTGGAAATACAGGCTCACTGTATTTCCACCAGTAAAATAGTTCATAAAATTCTTTGAAATATTAATTACTTTGTTTATCAAAGTGAATTTAACATAAGGTCAAAGATTAAATACGGTTCATTTCTTATCTAGGGCGTGAAGCCGTACTCCTACTGTTTTTGTTATTTGCAAACATGGTTAAAAAAAGGTTAGAAAGACTTCAGAATGTAGATTTCATTAATTTTAAATACTACAGACTACGAATAAATATTTTTCGTAGCCTACAGATTAACCTATATAGGAAACGTAATAATAAAAAATTACGTAAAATAATAACATTAATTTTAATAAGGGAAAACGCAATTCATTAATCTTACATTCTTAATTATTGATTGTTTGTGAAGGTTATTTTTTATGACATAGTTTTGTAGTTCCTTCAGCGGCCCAACTGGTGTTAAGTTGTTACCAATATCGATCGTCAATAGCCTCTGTCGCCTTGACCTCAGGTCGAAATGCGAATGTCATTGAAATAACAGCTGACTATTACGACACGATTGATTCGTAGTTCAAATAGGCATGACTTTGTCGACCACGCGCGGGATTAAAATACGGCCACACCATTTTTTACTAATGGTAGGACCTCTTGGGAGTCCGCGCAGGTAGGTACCACCACCCTGCCTATTTCTGCCGTGAAGCCGTAATGCGTTTCGGTTTGAAGGGTTGGGAAGCCGTTGTAACTATACTTGAGACCTTAGAGCTTATATCTCAAGGTGGGTGGCGCATTGACGTTGTAAATGTCTATGGGCTCCAGTAACCACTTAACACGTAACAGGCGGGCTGTGAGCTCGTCCACTCATATAAGCAATTAAAAAAACTGTGTACCTTGAAAGTACTTTTAATGTTTCAATGTTAAAATTCAACACATTTCATTACAGGTGGCTATTGATGAACAGCACAGACCCGGCCACGGAGCTGCAGTGGTTGATTTACGAATTGCAGTCGGCTGAATTCAGCGCAGAAAAAGTCCACATCATAGGTCACATACCCCCCGGACATTCCGATTGTTTGAAAGTGTGGAGTCGAAATTACTACGCTATCATTAACCGATACGAATTAACGATAACGGCTCAATTTTTCGGACATACACATTTTGATGAGTTTGAAGTATTCTATGATCCAAACGACCTCGGTAAGTGAACCGACACGAATTTAAAAATAATAATAAGCCTTTTTATCACCATTACAAAACTTATAAACCTATAAAGAATAAATATAAAAAAGACTGTTCTCGTTCTAGGTGTAGATCTCTTCTACAAGCTTCCGTGATTTACTGATTTTCCCCTTTCTTAAGTTTTTATCACCAGTTGAATATCTCCAATCATATTTTACTATTATGATATTTTTTAAATCTATCCTATACAGTATATTATATCTCATAATTAAGTATTTACTGTTTATTCAATTGTATCGCGAGAAATCTAAAAACTCTATATAAATTAAATTTGGAAGCTACGTGTACCTACACCATTAATCGCTACACGATGTGTTTGAAAATTATCAACAGTGAACTCTCGTAAACAAATTTCGCGATGTATGTATATTATTATAAATGCTTATGTACGATTATAACGTCAGGAATAGCGCCTAGTTTCCAGTACACCCTGTTTATTGTACGCCGCTGTTAGACATTCGTCTAACCTTTACGGAATAAATCATATGTATGCCTCTTTTATCTATGTATTAATACGTGAAGCAAAAATTTTGTATCCCTTTTTACGAAAATTGGGCGGACGGAGGAGTATGAAATTTTCCACACTTATTGAGAATATAGAGAAGAAGTGCACAATGCTAATTTTTTTTAAAATAATGCATAAAAGATACGTTAAATCAATAAAGAAAACATTACACATACTACATATCATGTATTTGACGCACACACGCATGCATACTATTTATTGTCAAATTTTTGTTCTTGACGTCTGTTGTTTTGACAACTTGACTGACTGTTCTGACTTGACTGTTCAGTTTGCTGAGAATAGATTAAATATTATTGTTTGTCTTTATTAATATTTTTTTATAGTGTAGCCTTGGCAAAATTTGTGATTATAGAAGTATAAAATACAATCATAATAGTGTAAAAACTTACAATTTCAATTAATTATAGTCGAATTTCGACTACTGCGGGACCTCTAGTTAATTTAAATACTTCAACTTTAACATAAACACGACAATGTGCACTTGAGCCCGGACTCTACCCCGTCCTCTCAGGATAGCGCTGAAGCTATAGACATCATAACGTCACACATCACCTCGACATTAGATAGGTCATCGAAGCAAGTGATAGTAGAGGACTTCCTTTACCGCTTCAAATTGCCCTGTCGACGTTAGGGAACTCCTTAGAGACAAGAGCGCCTCGATCCGCGCCTACGATAGGTATCTTACGAAGGAAAATCGTTTTCGAATGCGTGCCGTACACCGCGACGTAAAATCTCGCAACGCTAAGGTCCGAGATGCCAGATGGTCGAACGCAGGGCCTCGTTGCCACCCTCGGACGCGCTACCACCAGTTACCCCAATGGAAGTTAAAGATCTGATTAAAGAACTACATGATCGCAAAGCTCCCGATTCCGACGGTATATTAATTTAAATTTCTGCTCGCCCAATTCATCGTAGACGCATTGCTTGAACATTAGGAGCAGGCTTAGGGTAACCCCGGTAACCGTAGTCATCAAACTCTGCAAAGAGTTCGACGTGCAACCAAACCTATGCATCACCACGCTGAGTTTCTCGCCGTATCCTGCGAGTCGTGATTCCGATCTGATAGTAGATTCATTCGCGAAGCAACTGCTCTTTAGATGTCAGGACTTCTTTGGTGGCACTTGGGCAGCTGTTAGAAAATCCCACCCCTCCTGGCTGAGCTTTTGCTCTCCCACTTGTGCTGGTAAAACCGGAAAGGCCTCCGGGCCACTAGCAATTCCTCATACATAAAAAAAAACAATGTGCACATGTTTTTGCGAACAGGATCCAGTCGGTACCAAATTGACTACATGTTGGTACATGAATGTACATGGTCTCAAATTCCGAAGATCACATGGCATATTTATATGATCATTATTGTAATTTGAACATTATTAACAGGTAGAGCAACAAGTATAGCGTATGTTGGGCCTTCTGTATCACCATATTACGATTTAAATTTGGGATACAGAATCTACTATGTAGACGGTGACCACGAGGATACTACTAGGGTGAGGATAACTTAAATAGTCGCTTCCTATTTGGAAAACAAATATTGACAGGGACCCGATGAATTAACATTTTTTATTACTTACACGTCTAACCGACCTTACGAGCCACCTGGTCTTAAGTGAAAACCGGAGCCCATAGACATCACAACGTGAATGCGTGGATGCGTCAAGCGTATCGTAATGATTGTAAGGTCACCCATTTTTGTGGACACTGTTAATGCGATAGTAATCATTTAAAATTTTCCTATAATTCGACTACTATTACATTAAAATCTATTGGTATTTGGAACGGTATTGGATTTAAACCTATTCGCATAATACACATAGAGCTAATTTGATGTTGGTTTAAACGAAAACGTTCTTAAGTGTATTTAAATACTGTTTGAATTGTTACATTATCCAGATTGTTTTACGGTGGTTACACCTTCAAATCCCGTTTTTAAACTCTGAACATGTATTTCTGGTAAATACTACTGCTACTACTATTGTATTGCTATTTTGTAACGTAGCTATTATTTGAGCGTATCAAAAGTTATATACCCGTATTTCTACAGTACAAACAAGATAAGTATTTTTTTTATTGCCTTTGTAGGCAGACAAGCATACGGCCTACCTGATTGATGATAAGTGCTCACCGTCGCTTATGGACGTCAGCAATGCCAGGGGGCAGAGTCAAGCCGCTGCCTACCATTAAGTAAAATAAAACGTAATGTTTACAGCAAGTGGTCGACCACGAAACATGGATTATGAATTTGAAAGAAGCAAATCTGTTTGGATATCCGATATGGTATAAGTTGTACTCGGCCAGGTCTGCGTACCTGATGCCGGCGTTGCGACCGCAAGACTGGGACAAGTTTATTGACGACATGACCGCGAAAGAAGATGTTTTCAATTTGTATTACAAGTAAGTTATTCACGAAATGGATAAATGAGGTATAGATAATAACCTTATTTATCTATTCCGTGAAGTTATTTCATTCAAAATAAAGTGATCCTATACAATTCTTATCACTAAGTAATTCTTAACTCATAAAGGGGAGTCTCATAACGGGACTTAATCTCTACATCATCTATATATTAATACATGAAGCAAAAACTTTGTACCTCTTTTTACGAAAAATGCGCTGACGGAGGAGTATGAAATTTCCCACACTTATAGATAATATAGAGAAGTAGTGCAGAATGCTATTTTTTATTTAAATAGTGCATTAAAAATACATTAAATCAATAAATAAAACATTACACACACTACCATGTATTTGACTCACACTTAAACTCTTTGTTTATTGTCAAACTAGTATTATTGCTTAAAGGCTGTGGTCAAATTGAGAATAGGTTATTATTGTTTATCTTTAATATTATTTGTTAATTTGAATTTGATTATAGAAGTATAATAGTCTTTGACAATAGAACCTTAATAATGTTCAAACTTATAATTTCAATTAATTATAGTCGAATTTCGACTACTGCGTGATCACTAGTACATATTATCTTATTTCAATCATTGTTATTCAAGACACTATTGGAAGAACAGTCCCCGCAGAGGCATGTGCGACAGTGAATGTCGCAAGCGATTGATTTGCGACGCGCGGTCTGGACGATCACACGACCGAAGGGCCCTCTGCGTTCACATCGAAGCACGCATCGACGGCGCCGCACCCACTCCACAGACTTGGAGAGCTTGGCTATATAATGGCTTGTCTGTTTCGTGAGTTCCGATCTAGCTTTTACGACTATAATAAAGTTTACTCTTCTCTTTGAATAACTACTTTAATGTACTATAATATATTAATAAATTTTTTCCACACTAACTCGACAATAGTACCTATTTGTGTACAAAACTGAATTAATGGGCTTACTTCAAAAGATCTTGCTTGTTTAATGCACTGCTATACTAATGCACTGCTATACTATTTCCTTTATCTGGCGTAGGCGCCTGGAACTCAGGCGGGTGGGATATTAATAAATCTCAGACGTTGAAGTTGATTGCGCCTTAAATATGAGATGAAAGGCGAAGATTTTATATGAAAAAAAATAATCGACAGGGCAAGAACGGACAAGAAAGTGGAAAATCTTTCCATAAAGCTATGCGTTTCGTTTGAATATCTTCTCAAAGATGGGGCTTGTAGCTAACAATTGACGTTAACAAATCGATGGAATGCACAAAGTTCCCTCATAAAATTAATAAATGATAGATAATTCTAACATGCATAGCCTGCTACAGTGTGCTTAAATATTAATTCTAATTTATTGGGCTCCCCAACAATGCAACAAGATCACCTAATCTATATCAATAAATTTTAAATGCTAAAGTATCCGGTCCTTATTCTTGAGGAACTTGGAATACAGTGTCGGGCACACTCAATTGACACTTCTTGGAATCTCTTGTGCCAAGTATCTTCTTACTTCAACCTTTTGTAATATATTTCTTTATGTACAGAGATGAACCTAGCGTACAACAAGTATAATGGTGGTGGATTTGCTTATTGATTCCAGGTCTTATTTTAAGGTTGGTATTCTTGTAAATATTTTAATGCACTTACCCAATAATATTACGATGCGTTTCAAATTATGAATTGCATGTTATCACGTTTTTTCTAATTAAATGTGATACTACATTTTTTTTATTCGAGTACCAAAATTATTTTTCTCACACCCGACATGCACTGGCCACGGTCATGTTGTTATAATTTATGGGGTTTATTTCCTACGCTATAATGTAATCTCTTTTTTATATTATGTACAGTCTTTAACTAATGTTTAAATTACATAAAGTACTAGTAGTTGTATTGGTACATACGTGATTCGATTGTATGGTATAGCAGCTATTCCACTCTTCAAACCGAAACTTACTGTTCCACGGCAGAAATAGGCAGCATGCAGGTGCATACCAGGTGTGATCAATCGATAGCCTTGAGAGGCTATTTCAGCTTCGCCTTGACGTGTCACAGCTCACAGGGCTCAAACCGGGAGTGTTGCTAATACTGGCTCTAGCAATAGCAGTGTTTCGCAGAATCTGTCACCAGATCGGAAACGCGAACCACTGAGAAGATCCGGCGAGAAACTCAGTGGGGTCAATACGCCCTATCATCCGTACTTCTTACTTTTAGGGGTGGTAACACGACGGTTTCCTAACGTGTGCGTGCGTCTGTCAGCGTAAAATAATTAAAAGTATTGCCATGAACAATTATACTTAATTGTAAATATGATGTAACAGATTCCATCTATCTCATACAAATAGCGTATTATTATAACATATGTTTACCTATTATAATTATTAAGCGTAAATTGTATTACATGTTTTGATTTTAGGATGTCTATGATAATGCAATTGCCTCAAGTTGCCTATCAAATACCAAAGTTCGTGCTGGGACTCGGCTGAATGTGAAATCTTTCAGCTTTGGAAATGATGAATTATACCACCGGTTATCTCATGACACATTATATTCTGATTTAAAAACAAATTCACTTTTAATATAATAAAGTGCCTTATTCAAATGTCACTAAGTATTTGTTATGTATAGTAATAAAACAATATGTTTTTTGAGATTTTTACATATAATTTATATAATTCAGCGCCTTAGTCATAACATCGGTGGATCAATTTAAAAGTACCAATGTAGTTTGTAAATACTATATGTAAATATTAATTTTAGATGTCCCTATAAAATTAAAATTAAAGACTTAATTTTTGGATTGTTGTTTTATTAACTGTTTCTAACATGATCACGCTCCACTGTAATTATCAATAACTTTAAGTCAATAGTGTTTGACAAACACAGGAGTCACCGATTAGTATGCCTCGGGGTTCGTTTTAAGAAATGAAATAACCATCGGGGTCCGCACAACCATTTTAAAAAAAAAAATATTATGCCAATGTAAAAATAGAAATAAAAAAAGGATTTTTTTACATATTGATAAGAAAAATATCATTTTTTGTCGGGGACTATCTTTCTGAAGCTTGGAATAAAATTGATGTAAACTACTAACATTAAATCCTGAATATATTCATCAGTAAGTCGAGATCGAAATTTATTCTTCATGAAGTTCATCCTCGAAAATGCTGCTTCACGAATATATCAAAGGGTGAAAAGCTACTTCGTTTAAGCGACATTTCGCTTAATACGCGATACTTATCTTTGTTATTTAAAGGTGCGTTTTATTTGACAGTTCTATGTTTTTAATTGAAATTCAATTAAGTTTACTTCATTCAAATAGCCGAAGAAGTTTTTAAGCTCTTGCACGACATGAAAACCCTCTTGTCGTGGCCGCCGGTAATTACATACCAGATCCTGTGGACCGAATGGTAAACAGTCGACGTCGCCCTAAGCACGTCATTACGGGTCCTCCCGATCCATTAACAGTGCTTTCAGATATCTCAAGCCGTCACCGTCCTCGCCGAACCTTGACGAAGGACTCGGCGAGTAAATTAACCCACAGATACAGCCCACTGAGTTTCTCGCCGGATCTTCTCAGTGGGTCGCGTTTCCGATCCGGTGGTAGATTCTGCGAAGCACTGCTCTTGTTAGGGTTAGTGTTAGCAACGTCGTCAGGTTTGAGCCCGGTCAGCTCACCTAATGGTTAAGGTTACGCTGAAGTGGTCTCTCAAGACCATCAGCTTAGGTAGGAAAAAATAAATGAAAAATAATATAGAGTGAAAAATTATATCGATGACATTAGGTGAAGTTAATTGATTTGAAACTAATCAATCGAGATGAAATTAAATTAAACGTGATGGGATGGGATGAACTAATGTCTCAGTAAAATGGTGGTTATTTACAGATTAGTGGACCCAAGAAGCCAGTCCAGCGACAGTTTCATTTTCCCAAATTTAAGGACTTCCAGAGGTGCTAAACAGTTATTATACCACCATTTTTACTTTAAGTCTGAAGAAACACTGAATTAACAAAATAAAACAATTCAGACAACTTCCTTTGGCGATCCACCCAAATCCCAAAATACAATGGAATATTTAATTAAAGAAGATGAAGAATGTTAAGTTCCAACTTAGAATACGCACACTTGAATTTGGAACTCATAGAATATGTGTAATTATTCTGTTCCAAATTCAAATGTGCCTAATAGTTTTTTTTGTAAAACTGCAACAGCGTTTATGGCCAATCTGTAGGTCTGTACATTTTGATATTCATCAAATATGTTTTTCGGGCAACAGTAGTTAGTTTTAGATATTTTATTGCACAGGTGGTTAAACGAGCTCACAGCCCACCTGGTGTTAAATAGTTAAATGGTCCATAAACATGATAAGAGGTTGTTAAGAAATTGCATTGTAGAAAGGATTTTTCAAATGGGAAGGTATGACTACTTCGCAGCAGAAAACGATTTGCCACCACTAAATAGGTTAGTAGTAATAAAAAATTATCGTTTTTGGTTGAAAATATTTAATCATTAATTATATCTTGTTGAACAATAAAAAAATGCATTCATACTGTTAATATGGCTTTAAAACATTGTGTTTTTGACGACAACTTAAAAAAAATCTTATGCAGATTTAAAAACAGGTCTTCCAATTCCTTTCGATACAATAAGCGATAATTCATTCAAAATTAAATTAAAAACAATTACTTAAATACAGAATGGAGTAGGTACATTTCAACTTTACGGGTTGGGCGATTTGTTTCTAAAATATTGACCCTTGGGGCCTTTTGTCTATAGTATGTAATAAAAACTTAATTTTTTAGATCAAGAGAAACAAAGAAATTGTGTTTTTGATGAAATTGAATTTCTTTTTAATTAAAACTTTTAGTTGATGAAATAATCCGAAAACTCATACACGAATTTAAGAAGATTTCCACTCTATTTGTTTACCCGGACTAATCTAAGGCCCTTTCGTTGGACCAATTGTAATATTTGGCAGTTTTTTTCTTACACTTCAAGACAGGCTATTTTTTATCAAGGACTGTTTAGGTTCCAGTCGGACCGGCGAACCGAATGAGTAGCATAGTAGGCATCAATTAAACTACTTCATTCCGACTGAGCGTTTTGGTGAAATTTTGGCGGTTTTTACAAAATGAGATTCGTTTCACGCTATTTTATTAAATCGAGATTTATATAAGAGTTTAGTCTATTTCTTACTTTAAAGTAAAGATTTTATTCTTACCAAGTAAACACGAATTACCGTTATTAAAATGATCTAGAAACGAATATCGGCAATTAAACATGATAGATAAGATGAATTCAAACTTTCCTATTTTGGGAAATGAACTTTCATGTGTTTATTTTACTAATTTTTTATCTTGGTCCCCGACAATTCTTAATATTCTTCTAAAAATATCAGGTATTTAGTTCACCCAGCAGTTTGTAATTAACTGGTAATCAACCATGGACTCTAGTCCTTATTCTAGTTTGCATTTTTCAAACACAGTTATTTACATTTAAAATAGGTACTATTTACAGCTAATGTTAATCTAAATTCGAAAAGTAAGAGATTGATTCAGAAAATCTTGAAATAATACTTTTCTGGCACCATTTAAATAACAACAAACAGAAACAACACCATCAAATTCATTTTTAATACACATACAAATAAGTACCTTTTTTAATATGTAACATTAATACCTAAAACGTAATTATTTGAAGTTAGTGAGGTAGTTAAGAATCAGTCTAGTACATGTTCAAGATTTTCTAAATCGCATTAAACTTTGACAAATAACTTACAGGACTAGGAGTATTCAATAGAGTATAATAAAGATAAGTAGAATATTGTGACAAATTGAATAAAAATTACAGATCATAATAATTATAGTCAAATAAATTCTTATGGCAATTAAATAAAATTATACATTCTAATCAGTGTTATATTGTCGTGACAAAATTATAATTTTTAATATTATAAAATTGAGTTGCAATGTAAAACATAATTTAAGAATTAATATTAATTTAATTTAAATCACAGTATAACAAACTACATAGCAAATTGTTGTTTTGAAAGAAATAGACTTGCATACATATAATGCCATATATTTTTTGTAAAATAAAATACTTGTTTTTTTTGGACTGTCTGTATGATTCACAATGCCGTACTGATGTGTATGATCAGTCTTTATTTGATTATCACTATGTTTATTACTTACTTGAAACATTTTATTAGGTGTATTTAAAATTTAAAGTTTGTGCCCATTATGATATGAATAAAACGCCAACATATTTTATGTGTATCCGATTTTAAGATTATTAAGACAAAATAAAATTATCCTTTTGGCAAATTAAAAAAAAATTAAATCCAAGATATAAAAATAATAAATTAAAGTGATTCTGATGCGTGAAACTGGTGTGCTTAGAATGCAATTCAATTACATCATTTTTCAATCGGTAATTAATTACAACAAACAACATACATCTAGCATAAACTATAAATTGAAGTGTGTGAAAAAAAAGGAAACAAATTAAAACTACACACAAACACAAAGTAATACTAAATCAATGTAATCCTACTGACTCCTTTTACATGCTAAATAAAACAGACTTTCTGGTTCAGTGATGGCCTAACTTATCAGTCTATTAGAGTAATTTCAAATTATTTCTACATGGAATGCTCAATAAATGCATAAACATGTTATAGCTCATGTTCACTTGATAACTTTAGTCATTTCAAATACTTCCAATATCCATGGGCAGGTAAGATGTCAACATTACAATTTGAATATTGGGTTGGTTGCCAATTCACAACTTTCACAATTTATAAAGAAGGTGTTTAAACAATATTTGAGCACTCCTTGTGTTGTGTCCTAAAATACCTGTTAATTAAACTTAATGTCATAAAATATGTCATGAGGTATATTATCACAAAATTGTGACACCAGCTAACTTAATTACGTATTTATTGTTTTGAACAATAAATGTTCTAAATGGCACTGAAAATTTCTCGCTTTAAAAAACACACACCAATTAATTTTGTGGAATGTTATAAAAATAATATTAATAATTGAATGTCACTGGTATGTAAAATTACTGTATAGTATTTGCTCATAGGAGTCTTCGCAGGTTTTTCCTGCTTTTCTTGGTACCTATTGCATAATGAGTTTTCTTCCTTTTTGAAGGACTAGGTCCATTGAGGTCATACTGAAAGCATACTTTATCAGGATGCCTTTCACATTGACAAAACCTACAGAACTGGTAAGCACATAGCACATTGATACATTCTACCCATTCCTCGCCTGAAGTTTCAACTGTTACTTTTGCAGGTAATGAACACCTTACACAAGAAAGCTGCATGCGTGTATCTAGTGATGCTGACTGAAAATGAAAAAAAAAGTTCTAATTATAATATGAACTATAACTATATATAATAAAAAAAATCAATAAATCTATTTAAAATAATTAAAGAAAATTATATTTATTTCAATACTGAAAGAATAATTCTTAATGGTTATAGTTTGCATGTAAAGAAGTAGGTGCCTGAGTGTTGCTGTTTGATGTTTCTCCACTGACTCGCTCCACAAATGTTTATTTTATTTGATGTCTCTCTCTGACTTGCTCCACAAATGTTTATTTTTAAATATTTACAGTTAGCATATTAGTTTTAGTTAGAAAACATTGATTAGCCATATGACATACAGTAATGAATAAATTCATTTTCATGATGTAAATATACATTGAATGTGTGGTGTTAACCTAGAGTAGTCTCATTGCATCTCATCCCATGGATGTAGTATAAGGCGAATAAGTAACTCCAACCATAGAATATGCAGCATTATTGTAGCAAGTAGCAAGATTACCAATTGGCGTTGGTGGTACTCAGGTACCTAGGTTTTTTTAAATTTTTTTTATTGCTTATATGGGTGGACGAGCTCACAGCCCACCTAGTGTTAAGTGGTTACTGAAGCCCATAGATATCTACAATGTAGATGCGCCACTCACCTTCAGATATAAGTTCTAAGGTCTCAGTATAGTTACGATGGCTGCCCCACCCTTCAAACCGAAACGCATTACTGCTTCATGGCCAAAATAGGCAGGATGGTGGAAACTACCTGTGCAGACTCACAAGGGGTCCTCCCGCCAGTAAAGGTGGTGGGATCAACTCTTGAGAGTGGGGGAGCCATTACATTATTTAATTGTAACCAATATTAATCAATCTCATATCTCAGGGTGGGTCAAACCTTTGGTTTTGAAATGTCTATGGGCCCCAGTTAGTAGATACGCTTTATTAAAATTACACTACCAGTAATAATTAATTGAAGGAGCCATTGTGATGGAATTAAGAGTTCTATAATGTTTAAGCACTCAAACATACTTTTCTGTCATATGAGCTATTTATTTTTGTACATTTATGCTATTTATATAGCTTTATTTTATAAATTAAGTACCTTTGTAAATTTCTTGAATCTGTTTGACTTTGGAGTTCCTGGAGGACTTCTAGGAGTAGGCACTATTTTACTATTGTTTAATTCATTGTGAATTTCTCTCAAACAACCAATCTTAGCTGAAAATGTATTTTTCCTTTCTATATTTTTATGTACAATTTTTTGACCATTTTCTTGGTTTTCCTTTGCGTTTTTTAAATACTGTTCATATGCTACTTTTCGTTCACTATCACTTACTGATGTCCAAACCTCAGCCCAAGTTGCACTTACTAAAATGAAGTTATTAATATCTTCATTCGACAAGTAATTCAAAATAGTTGCAATTGGTGGTATTACATTGCCTTCATATAGCCTTTGAATTATATCATTGTTAGGTTTGAATAGTACAGTTTTTACTGCTTCAACTAGTGCTCTCGGCCTGTTCACCTGTTGTAATTCACGCATTTCACATGATAGCGAATGTGTTACAAAATTGAGTTTTTTGGCCGATTTCCTACAAGGATTTGTCTTGCAATTTCTTTTAACTGGTGTTATTGGATATGATGCTGATTCATGACCTTGTAAAAGATGTTTTGTAAGGTTGTTTGCTCGGTCTATATTAATAGCATTTAACGAGCGGGATGAGTTTTCTTTGTTTTCGTTAACATAGAGATTTCTGATTTGTCCAGCAATCAAACTAGTAGGAGTAGGTATAGGACTATATGGTAACTCCAACGTTTCTATGTCTTGATATGATCGTTTCAAGCCGCGCCTTGGCAATGGTGTTCCTGTTATATCATTAAGTATAACTGATGGTCTATTACACTGATTCGTCTCTGGTGTAATATAACGAATCTGGCCAGTAATACATTTGTTATTAGCGAGAATAGATTGTTCAAAGTAGTCACTCGACAAATTGGAGGCTTCGATTGATCCTGGTGTTAAAGTATGATACCCGCTTTCTTCATTTTTACACAAACTAATATCAATAAATATCGCAGGCTGCGTAGATTTCTCATAATTTGATGGGATCTCCATAGTATTGGCTAATAATGTGCTCGATTCCATCGTTCTTGAGTTTGATTACAAAATGCCAACGGCGAGTTCCGAAAACAATCTTTCATCAAATCAAACCTAGCTAACTTACTTTGCTAGGAGCATTTTGGCTTTTCCTACAGCATACCGTCGTCGTTACGAAAATGATATTTAAATTATAGATCTCGATATTACTCGATAATTCAAAACTCAACAATCAACATAAAAACATTTTTTTTGAAAGACGTTTTCAACATAGATTATACACTTAATATATACGAGAGTTTTCAATTTTCTTGTTGGTGTGTAGTGTAGTGTAAAGAGAATTTAATCAACATACATAGATTAGACTACAATACAAAAAGTAAATTACAAATATTATTTTAAAGACTATTCTAAGTACGGTACTACTACACTACTACACGACAGACAATATTATGCAATGCACAGTCGTAGGTACACTTTACACTATTACCATTACCACATTAAATTATATATGTATATACCTATCTACACCGGAATTCACATGTAAACAAAATAATTAAAAAAGAAAACTTAATATTCATTTAAATTGCAAACATTTAGGCACAAATTTCAATCTAACAAAAAGAAATATTTCTTGAAAGAGATTGATTTTAATGATTTACTTGTCCTTGTTTATAAATGTAGCCTGGTAAATGATAAGGAGCTGGTGGTCTCATTTTTTTTAGGGGGCAGGAACTATCTCCAGCTTCATAGGACATAGGACTATGATGATTTGATTGGGATTTGCTAAGATCAACCTGAGTGCTCCGATGGAAATCTAACAAGTCAAGTACAGCTACTTCATAAACTACGACCGGCGTGGAATCGCGTGACCCACCGAAAAAATCCAACGAGAAACAAACTGCAGTTACCCAGGTTCCTATGCCTGCTCCTAGTATTTTCGGGTGCAGGATATGAAATCGCCAAGGAGAATAGTGAGGGTAGTGAGATTTATACGTCAAATGCAAGATGAAATTCAAATCGAGGTCCCTTTAATGAAGCGCACAGCCCTGCTTTTCGTCTCGGATTTACTATTTTTTTAGGTCTTTTGAATGCTAGTACATGTGAATTAATATCTAGAAGTAGCCTGTGGTCTAAAGTGAGTATAATCTATGCCCGATAACACATTTTGTATTTTGTCATGACCGAAAGGTCTATGTTACCGAGTCATAAAAAACAATAAAAAAAAAGTATTTTGTTGTGCTACTGCTATGTACATAATTGTCAAATGAAATATTCCAATAACTTTGTGTAAAGGGTAAAATAAAACGAATTCCTCATTTCAGGAAACTGTTATGTTTTCTAAATTATTATTTATTTTCCTAATATAAAATAAGCTACACTTCCAAAAAGCTTCCTTACAAAAACTTTGCAGTGTCGGTCGTAATTATTATAAGAGGATGCCAATCATAAAGGATTTGTGTAGATTGTGTGCTACTCAGGATGAATTCTCCAAAGATTTGTTAGATGAAAGTAACAGAAATGTTTTAAACCTTATAGAAGATTTCCTGCGGATAATAGTGAGTAGCCTTTCAAATATATTACTGAAAACTAAATTATTTGGTTTTTTAGTATGAAACCTTCGTTTAATACTGAATAGGTTTTAGATTGTCCACATATGGTTGTCTTACATCGGTCTGGTGATTGGTGACAGTCATTGACGTTATCATTGAGTAAATACAGATTTACAACGGTCCAGTAGGGTTTTTCTATATCAATCCCAACCACAATAACGTTCTCATGGTGGTGGTATAATGAAAGCTTGGTCTTTATAGTTCGTAACGTAATCCTGATGAGGAATGTAAAATAACACAATAACAGTCCAGTGCACCATAAATGGTAAACAGACTACCTATAGGTCTCATTCTATCTGCTCTAACTTAATGGAGTTCTGAGCTCAATTGCTCTATTTTCTGGAATTAGTTGACATAATAGCCATGAATAGTAAAAGTCATGACAGGATATTCTTTATCAAAATAGAACTTGTTTTGAGTCAACGAGTTTAGTGAACCAAATTCTGGTATGTTACAGTACTGTTGATACTGAGTAATATAAGGCTGTTATTGGTTTCTGTAAAATTTATTCTAAACATATCAATTAATCTGAAATCAATTAATAATATTTAAAAAATATGTTATAGATTTGTGAGAACGATACTCTACCAACAAAAATTTGCTTAAATTGTGAAGAAAAAATGGTGTCTCTTCAACTTTTCATATTAGAATGCAACAAAACACAAGAAGCATTATCGAGTATGCTCATGGATTTGGAAACCAGTGAATTAGATGAAAAAAAAGATGATATTCTTTTGACAGTCACAGATGTCCATATCAAATCTGAGGTAAAGTATTGTTTCTTGGTTTATTTGGGAAGATGTGTACTCTAGAAATAAGCAGTCACATGAGACCAGAGAGGCATTTCTAGTTAATTCCAGTGAAAACTAATTTTTAAGTAAACTATCCTTAACAAGAAATTGTTCACTTCTTATTTATTTTATTTCTGTTGATGATTCATGTGAAAAATATTGATTATCTTACTACTTAAATACTACTACTTACTACTTAAATAATATACTTACTGCTTAAATATTTAGTTACTACTTAAATATTTACATTAAATGTGTTTTTTTTACAGTAAATTTAAGTATTTTTGTAAGTGAAAACTGCAAAAGTATGTAAAATTTATTTGTAGTGAAATGCAAGCTCTGTTGTTCCTGTTGAATAAATTGAATTTGTAATATACAAATTACCATTTTTTTTGTAGGTCAAAGATGAGAATGCTGACTATACAATAAGTGAGTATTAAAGTTAGTGTAAACATTTCTATAACATACATATATTTCAATTTTAAATGCATCTTAGTACAATTGTACCTAAATAAAATAAATAAATAGGATCAAAAAAACTATTATATTAATATTATCACAAAAGATGTAAGTATAACTTCACAAAATAGGAACATTTGCTGTTTTAAAAACTTGGTATTTGTTTTTGTAAGTCTGATATAAACATAAAAAAATGTGCTTGTTAGAAAAATTTAAAGTACTACAATTTTAGGTACAGCTTTTATAGATAATGAAATCACCATCATTGAAGGACCCATAGCATTTATTATTCAAAAGCAAACTTCAGTTAAGTTTTGTTATATTTTTTATTTAAGATACAGCAGTCCCAGACTTACTTGCTTATCAAAAAAGTGAAGAGTTATGTGATTATCAAAGCAATGACATTAGTTGTGGTGATGATGATGATGAAGACGCATATTCAGATGATAATATTACAATTGCATCTTTGAAACTTCTCACTAAGAAGGAATTAAAAAAGAAAATACCTACAGAAGAAGACACTAGAAATATGAAGGAAATTTTGAGAAAGGATAATTTGAAAATAAAAGATTTAGTTAAGTAAGTTACAATATTATTTTGATATGCAACATTTCAAAAATGTTTTAAGAATACATTACTAATTACCCCATTAAAAAAAATAAGACTTTAAGTATATATTGAATTGTTCCCTTCATTTGATGTCATCATATTTATGAAAAATGAAACTGAGAAATTCATTGTTGGTAAATGACATTGATATGATGAAGGTTATCCAGTCATTATGGAGAACCTTGAGAGAATTTTGTGTTTCGCAGTGTACATCTGTCCGGTGTAATGATGCTTATTCTACTAAATATTATTATTTGATATAATATGTTGAATATAGTGTTTGCACTTAACAGTTGTAGCGAATTATGATACAATTTAAATAAACACAAATTTTGTCCTAGATAAAAAATGTTTTGTTCTTCTGTTTGTAGATTAGAATGTGTTTTTTGTGAGGAACAAAAAATGCAGACTTGGAGTATGTTACAATACCATTACGCAAAAGTACATCATTGTAAGCCAGTTGTATATTGTTTATGCGGCCTAGAAATAAAATCTAAATCAGTGCTTTACAAACATTTATCTGATCATAAAATAGAAAGTCGAAAGTTAAGGAAGGCCGAAAATGGTCATAGCACCGAAAGTGGGAAAGACAGTGAGCAGTATCCCAAGCAAAAAGTCAGTGACTTTGTGAAGTAAGTAAAGATTTTTTATGTGTCAATTTTCAAGTCTTCATGGCCTAAAGGATAAGACGTCCGGTCGTATGTAGCGATGTACCGGTGTTTGAGTCCCGCAGGCTGATACCAATGTTTCTAATGAAATACGTACTTAACAATTATTCTCGATTGATTTCCACGGTGAAGGAATAACATCGTGTAATAAAAATCAAACCCGCAATATTATAATCTGCGTAATTACTGGTGAGTTCGCACGGGTAGGTAACACCACCCTGACTATTTCTGCCGTGAAGCAGTAATGCGTTTCGGTTTGAAAGATTGGGCAGCCGTTGTAACTATACTTGAGACCTTAGAACTCATATCTCAAAGGTGGGTGGCGCCATTTACGTTGTAGATGTCTATGGGCTCCAATAACCACTTAACACCAGGTGGGCTGTGAGGTCGTCCACCCATCTGAGCAATCAAATAATAATAATATAGTCGAATACTAGTGAAATACGAAATAGTTCATTGTATTTGCGGTGACACTCATTAGGGATACTTTGCCAGAACCCCCCAGTTTTAAATAAGTGTGATCCATTAATATTGTTGTTTATTTTTATTTCAGTTTCACCTGTGTCGACTGCCACAAGAAATGTTCCAGTTGGTATAGTTTAAAATCTCATTGTATAGCGGCTCATAAAACATTGCCCGTCGTCAAATGTGTTTGTGGGATAGTGCTTAAGTCCAAATCCATAATGTATAAACATGTAAATGATCACAGAAATCCCAATATGTTTTCGTAAGTTAATTATTATATAATATAACATATTATGTTTTCTATATTTCGATATATACGTTTTGCAACTTCTTAAATATATTTTAATTCAAAATAATAATGCACAAAAAACTGAAATGAAATCACAAAACCTCTTTTTTAAGTCTGCCTTTTTCACAAAACCACTGGTGAAAAATGCTCTAAATATGTTTAATCTTCGTATATAGTTGAATTAAATAGATACTGAACGACCGGTGTTAAAATTGCAGTTAGAATAGCTGAGCGTACATTTTTTAGCACAAGAGATGCTGCAGATCGACCCCATGACGTCACTGACCCATAAACAAGTAATAGCTATACTTGTTTATGGGTTAGTAACGTCATTGGGTTTAAACTAATCGAAATTATTCTGAAACCAATTCAATAGAAATGAAATTTTCCGAATGAGTACTTTAATTTTAAGTTAAAACATTTTTTTTATTTGTGGAATTTTAAATTTATTTCAATGGAATTAACTTTGTTTTAGATGTGATAAATGCCCGAGAATAACAAAAACGTTATCGGCCATGAACAAACACAAATTCAAGCATATTCCGAAAGCGGATAGAAAGTATCCCTGTTCTTCGTGCGAGAAAACGTTTAAAACAAAAGAAACATTAAAATCACACGAAAGATCCCACATACCTGTACAGGAAAGAAAGATATTCAATTGTGAAGTTTGTAATATGAAGTAAGTATGTACGTGCATCAAATATTATAATATGTATATAGTCTTTACGTTTCTTTTTGTTTAATCTGAAACTAGGTAATTGTATCCAGTTGAAATACTTAAGTAGTTAATCTGGTTATTTCAACTGGAATACTCCACAGTGAAAGTTTGTTAATTATCTATGATTCTTGAAGCAATAAACATAACGTATAGTAGTATAACTAGAAAAAAAACGTTCCAATAGTAAACTGAATCCTATATAGATGATCCTATATAATATAGATATCCGTGTTACACCGTCACCGTCGAAGTAGCAGTAAATCGGGGTCGCGTATCTTCATTAATACTGGCGATAAAGCGTCTTATGAGTAGTTGTGAGTAGAGTGAGTCAGCATGCCGTGGTACCGTGCTGCAAAGCAATGTTGTGTTGTGGCTTGAAGAGTCCGGTAGTCGTTCTAATATAGCATCAATGTTATGGTAGCATTAATGTTATTGATGTTTATGGGCTCTGTAAGTACGCTAGTCGAGACAATAAAAAGCAATTCCAAAGATTCATATGATATCGCATTGATGCGTATCATCTATATATTAATACGTGAAGCAAAAACTTTGTACCCCTTTTTACGAAAATTGCGCGGACGGAGGAGTATGAAATTTCCCACACTTATAGAGAATATAGAGAAGAATATAGAGCAGAATGTATTTTTTTTTTTAATTATGCGTTAAAATACATTATATGAATAAATAAAAACATCACACACACTACCATGTATTTGACACACACACGCATGCATAAATACTATTTGCTTATTGTCAAAATTTTCTTATTGCATATAGGTAGTCTGCGGTCAAATTGAGAAAATAAATTATATTGTTTGTTTTTGTTAATATTTGTCTCAAGTGTAGTCTTAGCGAAATCTATGGTTATAGAAGTGTAATAAATAGTCTTCGACAATAGATTCATAATAGTGTACAAACTTATAATTTCAATTAATTGTACGATTTCCGATTCCCGATTACCAGGGGACTGCTGTTTTTTTTTTTTTCTTAGATCGGAGGACGAACGGACAGACCACCTGATGTTAAGTGATTACTGGAGCCCATAGACATCTACAACGTAAATGCGCCACCCACCTTGAGATATAAGTTCTAAGGTCTCAGTATAGTTACAACGGCTGCCCCACCTTCAAACCGAAACGCATTACTGCTTCACGGCAGAAATAGGCAGGGTGGTGGTACCTACCCGTGCGGACTCACAAGAGGTCCTACCACCAGCATTAGTTCTTGGTAATTAGACATCCGCTTAACACGTAGGTTCACGACTCGTTCGTCTGTGGTCTCCCACAAGCGCGTCGTTCACGACAAGATCAAGGCGTACGTGTGCGACCTGTGCGGGTACGCGTGCGGCACCAACGGGGAGCTGCGGCAACATCGCGCCATACACAGCGACGACAAGCCGTTCGTGTGCGATAAATGCGATAAAACGTGAGTTTGATGTATAACCCACATTGTTTTAGGTTATGTTTCGGATTTTTTTTTTTAAATTCAATCTAATTCGGATTCGATTTTTAATATTGTTTCGTACATACGTAAAGAAAAACGTTTATCATACTAAACCTTTAAAACACTGGTTTTTTAAAAAAAAAAAACTTGGACGGAGTCACTCACCTGTCTGTTATTCAGTGAAGAGATTCAGAATTGCCATAAGACTGTTTAAAATATTAATTTAAAAACAGATTTAGGGCTTTAATTTTTTTTATAATGATATTATGAATTTTTGTTGCGGGCTGTATGGGCCGGTTGCTGATGATAAAGAAAACTTGTGCTTTGTGCTGCAATACGATTTATTTGTATGTTTATACACTTGATATTTTATGAGTATAATAAACACGTCCGCTTGCGGTGAAAAGTAAAAAAAGAAGAGTGACGTCAACAATGTTGCCAGTCATATAATTTTATTTTCCATATTAAAATGTTGGAGTTGCCAACATATGGAATGCTCCAGAATGAATTAACAATAAAATAATTAATTGCGTTCTCTGTACTATAATAAAAAAACAGAGCTTCAAAAGTCTTAGAGGTTTCTCTATGAAAGGTTTCTATATTCTTATATATTATAGAATAGAAACCTAAAGTAATATATAGTATGTATATGTTTATATAAAAATATATATACATGTAAAGAAAAACATAAATATGCGATCGGAACATAAATATGTGAACACACAAGGAAAAATACTTTGGAATATCGAGCCGAGATGATCTTATTCGTTTAGGATAAAACAAGTATAAATAATAGTACTTAACTATAAAATCGATCGAATAATATTTTCAGTTTCAAAACGTATTCAAACCTGAAGACTCACATGGACATCCACGAGGACACGTCGTACGAATGTTTCATTTGTCGACGCGTGCTAAACAGTCGCCGGACGCTACGTAAACACTTGCTGGTCCACGAAGACAAGTGCCGGCACGTTTGCTCGTATTGCAACAAAGCGTTTAAGCGAAGGCAAACTTTGAAGGTGAACTTTTTATTCATACATTCAGTTTTAAGAAATATTGTACGCTGGTACTATATTCTCAGTAAAAATTGAAATCGTACAAACGTTTTGGACGAATAGAGTACATATTATTCGACGCTTGAAAGGCAAACGTGACTAAGCGACAATAACTGCTTTGTACATAAATGATAGGCAATAACCATATTCGATGCGCAAAAAAATATATATTTCTATGTCTATTAAAATCATTTCAATCCTACAGCTAGATTTGTTAAAATATAATTTTTTTCAGGTATTTCAACTTTAAATTAGTCTATTGTAAAGTTCACGCATTGTCGCTTAGTCACGTTTGCCTTTCAAGCGTCGAATTATGAATTATTAGTGGTATTATTGCATGTATTATAAATAATTAATAGTACTTTATTCGTATCAGGTTTTGTTCTAAATATTCCTAATAAGATGTACGTATAAGATAGTTCAGGCATTATTAAGCCATCCAAAAGAGTGTCTTTTAATAAATAATAATAAATGAACTAAACCTACCTAAACTGGGGCTCCGCGCACCATAAGGTTCCAATATGAATTAAATAATTAAATAAAAACAAAAATGACAAAGTCAATCATTTTTCATAATAAGCCATCTTTAAAATAAATAAAAACAAACACGTATCTGCAACATTTCCAACAAAAAAGGTAGGTAGCCCGATTTAGATTTAAATCAATGTTCTTATTAATCGAAATAAAGTTTTTTAGAGAAATTAAAAATGGAAGCGCAGTCCACGAAATTGGAAATTTCTCAAAACGATCACAAACAAATTTATTGAAAATTATTTTGAGAAGAAAATTCCTGTTGGATTAATTAGTAATAAATATGAAGTAATAAATATGAATAATAAATTCATTTTAGCTTTTTTGCTTCAGGCGAGCTGCCCAGTCAATCAAAATAACTAGGTACCCAAGTAATGTTTCTATACTGACTTACATCTTTACAATAAATATGAAGTGCTAAAACGTGTTTGTAACTATTTATCAGATCAGATCAGAATGGGAATAATAATATCGTACCAGAACATCGCCTGAAAGGGCTGAATATTGAGAGGCTCATATCAAGCTTACTAAATGCTTCATTTTAAATTGTCATTTTATAAATTTAACTCTGCTATAACGGAGTAAAAAGAATCGAATATTATAATTATCATTATACAATATAAACTTTGTTTTAATAATAATAAGAAAAGTTTCGTAATAAACTACATTCATTGAAATCATAAAATTTGAAAACAATGATACGGTAGCGCCATCTAGTCTTGGGATCTCATGATTTTCTAGTTAATATTATGATATAATAGTCTCTTTTTATTTGACCCTCAATATAGATATAGATTTTTGAAGTGAAACTTCTTTAGAATCGTTGTGATTTCAAACTCGATGAAACGAAAAAAAAAAGTCCATAGACACAAACATAAATGTATAGGATTCAGCCGGCGAGAAAATGAGATAGAACACATTAGACGTTCTCGGTCTCCTCTTTCTGCGACTCTTCGTAGCATCCCCACTATCGTCTACTAAACATTGTCCATATGTATGCTCCTGTGTAGTGGGATAGTCAGTATATGTACAGTCCGCGCGCGAGCTCCGAGGATTCGGGGGCTGAGGAAGCCGGCGGGCGTGCACCGCGCCCGACCGTCGCTTCATACCCCGCACTCTCCCAGTACTAGTGTCGACCTTAACGTGAGAGTACGCTTACCGACTCGTTGTTTTTAATTTTGCGATAGCAGTGTTAATTACGTGTGTTTTCTAATATAAATAGTCTTACACTTATAAGTCTTTTTGTTTGCACAAATAGCTATTTAGTTTGATGAAAAAGGAATGACGAGCACTAGCATGATAAACATGTCTTAACCTTAGAGGAACATTACTGGCAAAAGGATGGCTTAATGAAGGATGTTGTTGAATCATTTATTATTGACGTATGTGAGGAGTGTGACAATAGTACATCAAATTCTTCTACTACTGATTAATCTGATTGCGAGAGTAATTAATAAGATTTCACGTTCATTTTGTTCAATAAGTATCAGTTCATTAAATTAAATTCATACGTGATCAATTGTTTTATTTATTTATTTGAAGTATATAATACCCACATAAACTATTTTATAATTTACACTCGCACGGAGGTTTAAGATGTGTTTGTATCCATAGCGCAATATCGACTAATTACAAAACTAGCTCATTACGTCAACATTCCTTAAAATTCCTCGGAGCTTGCGCGCGGACTTTATATCTTATTTATAAGTTTCACTTCTACCGTGTGTGACTTGCACACACACACTTTTTTTCTTATTTAGTGTCCCATAATGATGATATTTATACAGGTTCACATGTACACCCACACTGGCGTCAAGCCCTTGACGTGCAAGCTGTGCGACGAGCGGTTCGCCTACGCGTCGACGCTGCGCTCACATCGCATGCGCTGCCACCCGGAGCTCATGGTACCCGACGGACGCGCTGCTTACCCAGCCGCCAACTACAACCACGTGCCTGTCTCCAATGTGAGTTTTTTATCTATTTATTTTTTATTGCTTAATACCTGGTGTTAAGTGGTTACCGGAACCCATAGACATCTACAACGTAAATGCCGCCACCCACCTTGAGATATGAGTTGTAAGGTCTCAGTATAGTTACAACGGCTGCCCCATCCTTCGAACCGAAATGCATTACTGCTTTACGGCAGAAATAGGCAGGGCGGTGGTACCTACCCGTGCGGACTCGCAAGAGGTCCTACCATCAGTAATGTGGGTATTTAAACATATAATGTAGTGTAATGTTTTGATTACGTCTGTCCGTGGCCTAATCGGTAATACCGGTGCTCGTATCAACTGATACCTTTTTGAGTTGAGGTTTATCAGTTATACCATTAAAATCGAATGACCGTCGCGTGTAGGAGCAGACATATTTTCATCGGTCTAGTGCCTCGAGTCAGTATAGTTGTCATGACAACCCTAGACGGGAATATTCGATAAAGATATATGTATATGTATATATAATTTATTCATGAGAGTCGTCGCGATACATTGCTGGTTCGTTTCGATAATTAAACTAGAAACGAGTAAACGAACTGCTGCCAACTCGTTTGCGACTACTGGCGGCATCACTGGATCAGTGTAAATCAGCCATTAGCCACTGTCATCGTAACGTCACGGAAAACAATGTCCACGTCAATTTTAATCTCCAGCATGTGAATAACGTGTAGACAAACAAAATTTATATCTTGTTTTATTTTGGACAAATTTAAATTATGTATTATTATAATCTAGATCATTTCTTTGCAGAATTACATAAAAAACGATATGGCTCCGGCGAATCCTGTAGCTAAAAACGAAGTGGAAGCATTGTAGGAAATATTTCTTAATAGATGTCATAAGTACGTCACGATCATCACAAATAATGCAAGCTTACAAACAACATGTAAATTATTTGAAAAATAAAACTTTTCATCGTTAATTGTATTAAATATCGGATCATTTATGGATTGGTTTTATTGTTCTCCAATTTTATTATCAGTTCAATATTTTTAAATATTAAGCTTTATATTACGGGTTAAAGTATGAAATTGCCAATTTGTACTGAAAATTTGAGGTTCGTTTTTTTTCATTTAACATATTTATTTAATTAAAATATCTGCCATTATTTAGTTAAGTGTTGAATTAAGCTCGCCGTTTTATAAGTTTTCGCAATTATTGTATTGTATTAACTGTGTGTACAATAAAGAATAAAGAATATATTGCTGCCATTTAATAGTTAGGTCATTTATGCCTTTGCGATAGAACTCTGATGATCTACATTCTACGAACTGTGTGAAAGCATTTTGTACTGCCTCCTGGGAAGGAAACTTTTTATCACGTAGAAAATTGTCCAAATCACGAAAAAAAAAATGGTAATCCGTTGGAGCAAGGTCTGGCGAATACGGAGGGTGACGAATGATTTATAATTGCAGTCCCTGTAGAGTTAAAACGGTTTCTCGTGCTGCATGAGGTCTCACATTATCATGGAGCAATAATGGTGAAGATCGATTTATGAGTCGGGCCTATTTTACTGCAAGTTTTGCTATCATTGTTTGGAGTTCGGCACAGTAGACATCTCCCGTTATTGCTTGGTCAGATCGGTGAAAACTATTGTGAATAACACCATGCTGAAACCACCAAACAGTTACCATTACCTTCGTTATTGGTAAGCTTTGCTTTAGGACACTGTTGCGGCGTTTGACCTGAGGTCAGCCATTGCATTGTAATCGAATTCATTTTTCATAACATGTCACAATTCGATCCAACATTCCTACATTTCTGTATCGATTCAACAAGGCAACACAAGTTTCAACACGCGTTTCTTTCTGAAGGTTAGTCAAATCATGAGGCACCCATTTTTCATATTTATTTTATTATATTGGTTTGATGCAAACGAGTTAATATTGTTGGCAAAGTAACGTTAAACCATGGTGCTAATTCCTGGGTAGTTTGGCTCGGATCGGCTTCCACCATTTCTTTCAATTCATTGTTATTCACATGTGTCTTCTACGTGGTTCTTTCTTCAAGTCAGAATTTCCATCACGAAAGCGTTTAAACCAAAATCGTACGGTGCGTTCATTAGCAGTCTCTTCTCCAAACGCAACATTAATATTGCGAGCTGTTTCTGCAGCGTTAGTTCCTCATCGGAACTCGTATTCAAAAATCACTCGAATTTTCGAAGTACCTATCCATCTTTCTCGTCTAAGCTGAATAAAAAAACAACTGAAAGTCGGTAATCGAATGTTGCACATTTTTTGAAAGAAGAACTTCATAGGTACCATTTGAAAAAGTTTCACTCAAAAATCTCAAACCATGAAGGTTCTGTCAATTTGAAGTACCTATTACAATAAAACGGCAATTTCATACTTTAACCCATATTAATTATAATTCGAAGTCTATTGACCGATATACCCGTAAAACTAACTTATTACAATCGTAGGGGTGGTATAAATTTTTATTTATAACTATGCATGTACATAACACGTGTTTACTAAGCGATTCCTTGATAAACTGTTGTATTGACATCAACCCCACGAAAAGCACAGCGGTGCTCTTCAAAAGGGGTCGCCCTCCGAATACCACCTCGAGCAGCCCACTCCTTAATAGGCGCGTTAACACCTCCGCCGTTAGCCCTATCACTCTCTTTGTCCAGCTCATACCGTGGTCCTCGAAGTCAAATATCTAGGCGTTACCCTCGACAGAGGGATGACATTCCGACCCCATATCAAAACGGTACGCGACCGTGCCGCCTTCATATTATGACGTCTCTACCCCATGATTTGCAAGCGAAGCAAATTGTCCCTTCAAAATAAGGTGACACTCTACAAAACTTGCATACGCCCCGTCATGACCTATGCAAGTGTAGTGTTCGCTCACAAGGCCCGCACCAACTTGAAATCCCTTCAAGTTGTTCAATCCCGTTTTTGCAGGATAGCTGTTGGAGCTCCATGGTTCCTAAGGAACGTAGTCCTCCATGATGACCTGGGGCTTGACTCAGTCCGTAAGTACCTACAGTTGGAATCATAGCGCCACTTTGAAAAGGTAGCACGACATGAAAACCCTTTTGTCGTGGCCGCCGGGAATTACATACCCGATCCTGTAGACCGAATGGTAAATAGTCGACGTCGCCCAAAACGTCATTACGGATTTTCCCGATACATTAACGGTGCTTTTAGGTACAAGAAGCTGAAATAGCCACCTAGGCCTCATAGCCTTGAGTGGCTATTTCGGCCTATGCTGATAGCCTTGAGTGGCTATTTCAGCTTCCCTACCTATGTAGGGGAAAAAAAAGTTAATGTTGTTGGGCCATGGCGTGAGCATTTTGCGCGTTACTATTGATTAAACTATTTCTGCCGCGAGGCAATCCTTATTTAATCTTAATATAAAAGTATTAAATTAAAATTATAATTATTATTGCATTATTCATAGTTGTATATTTATTTATTTATATGTGTATAATATGTATGTATGTTTTTTTTTATTGCTTAGATGGGTGGACGAGCTCACAGCCCACCTGGTGTTAAGTGGTTACTGGAGCCCATAGACATCCACAACGTAAATGCGCCACCCACCTTGAGATACAAGTTCTAAGGTCTCAGTATAGTTGACTAAAAGCGTAAAAGACTTTCAATTTAAAGAAATACAAATGAGAAATTCATTTTCCTCTGCTTAGATACCGGTCTTCTAGACTTCTTCACCCAAATGAGCTTACGATCTATCGGGTGGGATGCTTCCACTCACCGTAACACACGAGATCTAAGTCGACATCATATTTAAGCCAGGACGACTTCAAATTTAATTTGACCGCCAACGTTCACTCTAAGCGCTGGAATGCTAGAACGAGTCATACCCATAGACACAGCCCACTGCGTTTCTCGCCGGATCTTTTGAGTGGATCGCGTTTACGATCCGGTGGTAGATTCCGCGAAGCACTGCTCTTGCTAGAGCCAGTGTTAGAAACACTCCGGCTTGAGCCCCGTGAGCTCACCTACACGTCAAGGAGCAGCTGAAATAGCGCTATCAGCGTAGGTAGGGGAAAAAAAAGAAAAAAAGGACGAGTTAATCATCACGTCTGATCGAAGAGCTGTGATTGGGTTCGGATACGCATTGATAGATTCCGGAAATTACCGATCAAACAGGAACTCGGGTAATCAATGACGTGTTCGGAGCCAAAACAGACCGATGCCGGTGTATTCGTATTTATGCTGTTTAATTTTGGCGGGTACCAATTTTTTTATGTATCTAACAGTTGAATGAATGAAATCGCCTACCTACATACAATTAAAATGAAACCTACAGAACTAATTGTGTTATTAAATAAAGAATTAAAAAATACACACGATAGTTCATGATGTCATCCCCAGAACTTTACTGAGGACAAAAGAGACAGCGTGGTGTTCTCGCTAGGTAGGTTACCTACCGAATTTACTGGCCTTTAAAAATTTAAGAGAATTTAAAAGAATGCTCAACATGAAAAAGTAATCTTCCTACTTTTTTTAATCAAAAAATCGTTCCATAACCTTTACGCAACATTAATTATGTATTCCACAATTTTTTATGTGTAAATTTTATGTTATGAAAGAACTATTAATTTCGCAAATGTCAAAAAGTTAAGCATCTTAAAATATGTATTTTATAGTGACGTACGTGCAGAACTGGGTAAGTTCGTAAGCGTTTTGGCGTGTGGCCAACGGCTATCGAGGACGTGCTGTTGTTATCTTCTTAATTCCATTGCGTAATTGGAAAAGTTACGGAATTCCGTAGATCAAAACCGCATGATGTTGAAATTTGTAAAATTTGTACTTAGTTAAAATTATAACATACCATAACATAAAAAAAAAAATTGTTCAATATACGTTGGTTGATGACGTAGCCACAGTACTGTGACAAACTATGAAATTAAATCAAGAAAATGTAAGTATTTATTCAGGCTGACTATTTGAAAATGGTGGTCGTGATGCGTATCGATTTTACGAGGGCTCAATTTCCTGACGGCTAGGCACTGACTAAGTAGCTTAAACTCACGAGCGAAATCGGAAAATGTAATCTAGAGAACGAGGCCCCTAACGTCATATTGCAAGGATGCGCACCACACCAAAGTCGTTAGTTGATGGTGCACTTCGTTTTGCGTTTTTGACGTTCCGAAAGTGCTACTTTAGGCTGTCTAGTTTAGGCTTTACTTAGTAATGACCGGAAGCACCGGATCGTCCTCGTCGAATTCGTCGATTACGGGCTAGTATTAGAAGATTCTCTCAGGTTGAGCCCGTGAGCTCACCTTTTTTTTATTGCTTAGATGGGTGGACAAGCTCACAGCGCAGCTGGTGTAAGTGGTTACTGGAGCCCATATACATCCACAACGTAAATGCGCCACCCACCTTGAGATAAAAGTTCTAAGTTGACAGTACAGTTGACTAAAAGCGTAAAAGATTGACTTTCAATTTAAAGAAATACAAATGAGAAATTCATTTTCCTCTGCTTAGATACCAGTGTTCTAGACTTCTTCACCCAAATGAGCTTGCGTACATCTACAACGTAAATGCGCCACCCACCTTGAGATATAATTTTTAAGATCTCAGTATAGTTACAACGGCTGCGCTACCCTTCAGACCGAAACGCATTACTGCTTCACGGCAGAAATAGGCAGGGCGGCGGTATCTACCCGCGCGGACTCACAAAAGGTCCTACCACCAGTATAACCTACCCATCCGGGCGTAGCTGAACCCCTTATGCTACCAGCGACTAGGTAGGCACGAAAAAAAAGGCGGATCAATCAGTAGTTACGAAACAAAACGTAACACGTTCTAATTCAATTACGTGTTAAGTTACGAAGGTATTTTAATAACGAGCAAATAAAAATTACAGCACAATAAACACATTTCATTAATAAACTAACTATAGCAACACGCGATCAGTCTGTAGCTTGGTGTCGCATCGCATACTAAAGTAAACCACTAACATAAAAGGGAATGAAAACAGAAACAAACATCATGGTGAAAGGAAATGCTGAAATATTACATTTTCTTTCAAAAGGAATATATACACAGTCTTGATAGAAAGGCTTTTGAAAGAGGAAAATATTTTCAATCTGCGGATGTTATTGAATCGCGTTATTGGAGTTTCCTTTGGAATGTAACGCAATAAATATCGGCGGGCAGGTGGTGGAGTCCGGGATTATAATTATGTTTACATTGAGCTTACTAACGCCTAGAGAGGTCAATTCATCTATATATATCATTAAATGTTTACAAGAAATATCTTCCTAATTAAAAGCTAAAAAATAGTAATTGCACATTTAATACGTTATAATTGTCTTTATATTGTAAGATAACTGTTTTAGCCATTTTTATTGCTTACATGGGTTGTCGATATTAAGCCCCACCTGGTGTTAAGTGGCTACCGAGAAGACATCAACAACATAAATGTCCACCTTGAGGTCCTAAGTCCCAGTTTTACAGCTCAACGGTTGCTCCACCCTTCATAGGCAGGGTGGAGGTACATAGTCGTGCGGGCTCACAAGACGTCTCCTACCACCACTATTTAGGCAAATTATAATGTTTGCGGGAACTACGCGTACTTTCAAGGGGATACTTACGTACCACATGTTGGGAATCACTAGACTATGCGATTGATTAGTGTTTTTATTATTATTTCCAACATATGAACAAAAAAATTGTAAATTTGTAAGAATACTATCTATACAGTTGACAGATTTTACAATTAATTTAACTCATTTTTAACAGTTAAGAAATGAGTTAATATCGATCTTATGATTGAAAATAAATGTTAATATCTAGTACTTTTTTAGACTAAAACTTAAGAGTAGATGATTACTTTAGGGAAAGACGGCCTTTGTACGCAGCATTACTTATTAACTCAAAAGAAGTGTAATAAAACGTAAATAAAACTGGCAGAAAAGCAGAAGGTTCGTAATAAATAAACTTATTGATTAACTTAGAAACAAAGCGAACGGGAGATATAGTTGTTCGATAGTATTATGATGGGTAAGTGTTCATTTCTGGCCCGGTGGAAATAGAAATGGTTCGTGGTTTGAAGGCCCGTCACGTTAAGGAAATTGTTGGCGTTATAGGCGTGGAGTAAAATTAAGTAAGGATACGGGAGCTAGAGGGTGTGAATGAGGGGTGCAGGGGTGCGGCACAGCGCCCCGTGCCCTCTGCCCTCAGTATCGCGGAGGCTGCGGCTCATCCCGCCGCATGGTCTGCGCTGCGGTCTCGTTACGTCAAAACATTACTTGTTTTAAAACGTCTTTCACATTTCCTGTTAAATCAATAATGAAAGTAAAATAAATAGCTACCATCATCTAGCAATACAACTAATGTGAGTTAATGAAAATACTTTATTGCTTTGCTGTCACATAAAGCAAATTTGCAAAAAAATATATGTTCTTTTCAATGTTTTATTATTATCTATCTATTTTATTAATATGTGTAAGTTAAATTATGACTTATTAAAAATTGGAAAACACCTAGTATTGCCTACACAGAGATTGCAGATACATTTATTGTTAATTTTATGTTTTGCTCAAAATGGCAAATGTTATCTATATTATTATTATTATTATTACCAAACTTACAATATATTTTTTGTTTGTCTAATCTTTGTTTAATTGAGGCGGCTTGAACAAAACTTGGCTGTTGAGATCAGCTCGACCAGATACTTTTCGTAAATCTTTTTATTTTTATGGTGTTTTGCATAATTCTTATTATTTATATGGAATTCTAATTAACTTTCTAGTTACTTTTTTCGACGCCTGTTAAAATGTTCAAGTATTTCATTAGGATCACAATAATATTAAATAAAAGTGTATTCTTTTAAATAAAAAAACATTAGGAGTCCGTGTAAGTAGCACAATTCTGTCTATTTCAGCCGCGTAGTTTCTAGGCGTTCCAATTTGAGTGTCGTCATACAATGGTAGTCTCCCTTATAGATCTCATATCACATGCCTGCTGGTTTCCATGTCGTAATATGCCACTCTATACATGTTAACCATTTCACGACATATGGAAGATGATTTTTTTTTTCACCTACCTACCTATTCACCTGGTAGTCTGAGAGGCTATACCAGACACGCCCGGACGGGTAGGGGAGCTCACGGGCTCAACCTGAGAGAATTTGCTAACACTGGCCCTAGCAAGAGTAGTGCTTCGCAGAGTCGACTACCGGATCAGAATCGCGACTCACTGAGAAGATCCGGCGAGAAACTCAGTGGGCTGTGCCTATAGTTCGATAGCCTATAGTTCGCTCGTCAAATGCTTCGTCGCAATCGACGAGTTCAACGAGGACGGTGACCGGTGCTTGAAGGTCCTAAAAGCACCAGTCACCGTTCACAGCTCACCTTTGTGAGAATCATTACGAAAATGTCATGGTAATATCAAGTTCTCTTAATATACGGAACACTGAAAATATACATTAAAATTTTATGACCGCTTTTTTAAAAAGGCTATTTATAATATGATAAGTACACAAATATTTTTATTTTGACTACTATCGATTAATTTACAAATAACTAATCAGTCTTATAAATCAGAGAATTTGAAATCGGCATCGCGGACTTTGAAATTCTTAATTCGCTGCTGAAAAAAAAACTGCTTGTTCAAAAAAAAACATCTGAAGTATACTTGCTTAACAAACCCACAAGTAGTTAAAATGAAATTTAAAGATTCCCGTGTTTGTAACATTAATTTTGATTTGATTTGACATTTCTAAATGGTGCTAGGTAAAGTTTATCGAAGGCTCTTGTTTTGAAAAGGGTCGCCACTCAACTCGAGGATTCTACAGCTTGTCCAATTATATACGCTTTCTTTGACAGGTTCGTCTTTACAGACTGTCTATAACATGCTTATCTATTTTTATTCATTAACAATGACTTTTTAATTAAACAGTCGCACGTTTACCAGTAACTCTCATGAAATATAATACTACTTTATCATACCACTTCACCGTTTTAGTAGGTAAACTGGTCACCGTCCTCGTCGAACCCGTCGCTTGCGACAAAGGGCTGGACGAGTGAATTAATCCATAGACACAGCCCACTGAGTTTCTCGTCGGATCTTCTCAGTGGGTCGCGTTTCCGATCTGGCGGTAGATTCTGCGAAGCACTGCTCTTGCTAGGGCCAGTGTTAGCAACACTCCCAGTTGGAGCCCCGTGAGCTCACCTACACGTTAGAGAGAAGCTGAAATAGCCTCTCAAGGCTATCAACATAGGTAGGAAAAAAGACAAAAAAGTAGGTAAAGTAACTTATCTACTTTTGATTGCCTCTGTAGACATACTAGTATACGGTCTAACTGATCGAGAGTCACTGTTGTTTGCGGACGTTAACATTGCCAGAGGCACAGACAAACCCCCGCCTACTGTTGTCTCAGCGAACATGTGAATAGTTTATTAGTAACATGTTATTTTATCGTTTTCACTGCTAAACGATTAAAATGTGTATGTTAGGTGTAGGTAAGTTAATAAGTGAAATTAAGTGAATTAATGTCAATTTGATTGCTACAGGTCAGACCTAGATTGAAGCGGAGCCAAAAGCGATCTCAAGCTAAAATTCATTTTAGGCTTTGAAAGAATTATGTGGTCGGAATCGTGGTATCACAAGATGAACGGCGAAACGAGGACATCTTGGCGCTCCTTCATGTCGTTAGCGTTAATCCTGTTAGCGCTAGTTAGCTCATGCCTCGGAGAGTATACTTTATCTTCTAAGAATGGTATTAAAACTGAATCTAGTTTAGAAGCTCTGTTAAAGATAGGTTCCACAAATACGAGCGTAGAAAGCGCTACAGTAATGTCACCAACCATTACTTCAACAACAAAGAAAAACACAAAAACAATAGCGCGTTTCACAACTGAGAATCCGACGAATGCACCCCATTTCACTTCTAAAGTGTACATTGGTACAAAAGGCGAAGTGAAAAGTGCAAGAAGGCAAAAGTTAAACACTAGTTCTAGTGCTCTCGGCACCCCAGCGCATTCACCGGCAAGACTACAAGAGCGCCTGGGGGCTATAGATTGTGATTTGCCAGTTTTACCGAGAGAGTCACGTCTTTGGCGAGGAAATGAAACTCACGAACTTAATCTTCCCGTAACTGTAAGTATCCATCAATATGTTTGTATAAATACGAATTTGGTTATATCCATGTAATTAATGATATGAAATTAGTCAAACACAACTTTTGAACTAATATAAAAAAATATGAAAGAAAAAAACAAAAGGCTTTTAAGTTTGCGTCTTGAAATAGTATTTTAAGTAAATTACTTGGGATTCCCATAAGGTCATTTAGGTAATAGTTATAATAATGGTAAAATGGAAATAGTGGTAAAATGAACGTAGTTTGATTGCTAAACACAAGCTTCAGGCTAATAGTCTACTAAGGATAATCTCTTCGAACAATTTATACAATGTATTTTCTTCCGCTCTCTTGGTTCACAGTATAATATTCTTGTTCGCGCAACTTTGATCGTGACAGCAGCACCGAGTAAAGCGAGGTCGAATATATAAACCATAAATCTCTTTGGTGAATAAAAATAAAGGAAAAGTATTTTCCTAACGTTACTAATATTTTCATCTTTTTTGGTGAATAACTACAACATTAAAGTTAGGTTAAGCGTTCATATTATATTCTTTAAATATGTAAAATGAGTTTTAGCTTTTATTGAGTAATTATATTGAATTTGAAGTATATCTATTAAAACGTGATGTTTATTTATGATTTTTGGTCAACATCTTTACACCTATAGCGGAATAAAAAGTGTAATGAATTTATTAATTTTTGGACTACAAAATATGATAAAATAAATTCAATATTTCCATATTATTTCATTATTCCCTAATATAATTCTCTATATATAAAAATGAATTGCTGTTCGTTAGTCTCGCTAAAACTCGAGAACGGCTGGCTGCTTGATTAATTTTGGTCTTAAATTATTTTTGGAAGTCCAGAGAAGGTTTAAAAAGGTAGATAAATATGAAAATGCTCGGAATTAAATAAATATAACAATTTTTCCTTTGATGCGTCCTCCGTCGGACGGATTCAATTGGTTTGTTTTAAGTTTATTTTATACAAAAGCTTCGGTCTGTTATTTATCGATTGAGGCATTACCAAGTCTGCTAGGTCAGCTAGTATAAAATAAAAATATGTAATAATTCAACGTTTTTCTGACTTTGTGGTACGGATGGCTGAGGAGTGTACCGCGGGAGGTGGAGGTGCGGCCGATGAGGAGTGCCCCCCGGTCATCGTTTCGTGGGAGGGTTCTGCTGATATTCAGAGCGGTGATATTCTTATCGTTCGCATTGTGGACTCTTTGCTCCTCGATGCCCTCGTACAGAATCAACTCAAGAATGATACTCTTGGAACGAATACATCGCTCGCTGACGGAGAAAGGTTAGTCTATAGATATTTTTAGATTCGCTATGTATTGATTGAATTGCTCAAGCCGCTGACCTATATATAACCTTTTAACCTATACAGTTATATTTTTATAGGGTACATCGCGCCCTTACGCAGCCGGCCGTATATCAGGTGACTAGACAAGGACACGAGCATTGTGATGTGTCGGACGGCATGTTATTGGACATCACTCCTCTCGCTGAAGACGGAGCCAAACTCTTCACGTTGTATGATAAAGATCTCACAGAAGGAGTCAACTTACTCATAGGTAATGAGCATGAAAGCAATTATTCAACGGAAAATGTATCTTTTCATGCAAAGTATTTGGGTTGTCGTGTAAAATGAGGCAGCGATGGAGCGACGAGACACGTGAATAGGTCGGAGCTTTGAGGGAAATGAAGAGTTTAATCGTTGGTGACGATTTTAACCTTGAACACATGTCAGGAAATTACATGTCGACCTACGCTTATGAACGTTTTTTATTAATTTTATTAATGAGAGTTAAAATGAACGATAACTTAATTATTGATGCCCATTTAATCTACTAAAATGTATGTAGCCACGAGATAAGCGCTTTGTGCAACAATATTACTAAAGTTTATATTAGATAACATACATTGTTTTCAAAATAAATGTTCAAATAAAAAAATGGGAAGAAGTCATGAAAGTAATACACTACCTTTCGACTTCTAATCTAAAATATAGTAGATTCTTTGTACACGGTTTAAGGCATGTTTTTGTCATCCAGAGTTCAGCTAAGGAACACAGGTTTCCGATTACAGGACCGGAATTATTCCATTACTTGGTAATTACTGAATAACTTGAAATTAATTCTCATTTAAAATTTCTTCAAATTCTACTATAACAATCCTATTTTTTATTTTAAATCGACATCAATAAAGGTCGAACTTAAATTAGTTATGCCACTTACAAATATATTAACGAACCATTCGTTAGATAATTTTACACAACTCTTTTACTCGTATTTTCGGCATAATTTCTATACGTGATTGTAAAAACGCGTAGTTTCGTGGAATACACCTACTTCTTAAAACCAGAGCAAAATAGCTGTATCAGACAAACACGAGGAATTAAAAATAATATCTTTTTTTTAAATGTAATTAAAGTTTTTTTCCAAAATGTATTATTAATAGTATTTGTCTCTTATGTAGTGGTGTCAGATAACTGGGGCTCTCAATGCGTGCGTTTAAAAGTAACAGTGAAGTCAGACAATTGTGGCGAAACTCAGGATTGTTCAGGAAAAGGCGTGTGCTATACGAACGTGTCCATGGTACGTATTTTTACACTATATCTGGTACAACGCAGATAAAATGCCTATTCACAACAAAAAAGTATTTTGATTGGCGATACCAATTCATATACTATCTAGTATTTCAGCTCCTACCGAGAATACAAGATAAAAACGACGTTTATCATAAATATCTGCACTTACTTTAATCAGATCCATATACGTACGTATATTAGGCATGAATACAATATTTAAATGTACATACACATTCCATGAGAACACAAACAACGAGGTTCATTTTATGAGACTTGAACGTGCGTCGAATCGTTAATATTTTAGTGCCGTGTCATCTCCAAAACACTTTGTACTAGCACGCAAGCACTAGCACGATACATAAGAGATAAGAAATGTTTTATTAAAACAAACAAATTATGGTAGGAGGGATACGAATGTCAGTGCTGCTCCGGGTTCGTGGGTCCACATTGCGAGGACAGGGACTCGTGCAATCCATCACCCTGTCTGAATAGCGGCATATGCGTCGACGTCACGCAACCTCCAACAGGGAACGGCTCCAACTATCGCTGTCTTTGTCCTTACGGTATGTTCATCCTCTTCCCACTTCTACTTGAATTGAGTGATAGGAAAACTTTATTTCTTAGTAGTTCGAGAGTTAAATAGAGTGTACAGAAAAATATTGAAGTGTACTCTCTTTTTTCTCTTACTTTTAGTACTTACTGCGTAAAATACTGAAATTCAAAAAAGCATGGTAGTCTTTACATCGTTATGGATTAACTTAGCAGTTACGAAGTATCCACCATGTGAATAATTAGAAAAAATGTCTCGTTTTGGAACAATTTGATTTGTAATTTAACATACATATTATATCAGCATATGCACATTGTAACTGAGACTTATGACATCAAGTTTTCTTTAATTTTTTAAGTGGTTACCGGAGCCCATATGCATAAGCAATGTTAATACCGTCACTCACCTTGAGACATGAATTCTAAGTCTCAGTTCTATTGTACAACGGCTGCCCCACCGTTTAAACCGAAACGTATTACTGCTTCACAACAAAAATAGACGTGGTTGTGGTACCTACTACCTATCCATGTGAACTCACAAGACGTTCTACCACCAATAAAATTATGTGGGGTGGGAATGTTTCATGTTGTCTCCAGAGATTTAAAACTAGCCTAACTGTCAATTTATGAAATTAAAAATCAATTTAATACCATGCATTTTAAGATTAATCATGAAGATGAAAGTCCAACTGCATATATCAACATCTAAGCTACATTTGAGAGTCACGTTTAATTAAAGTATTAAATAATTTTGTCAAAGCAATAACTAATTCACATGCTGATGTGTTGGTACGGTGGTACGGTTGAGCGCTTAGAACTGATCAATGGAATAAAAATACGAGGGTGGTACCAAAGTGGCTGATAAATATTGAATTCGTTTTACCTCACGATCACGCTTCGAAAGTGGATAAAAGCAGACTTCACTCGAATTCGGTAACCAGAATACGCTTTCTGGCAAATTTATCTCAATGCTACACATTAATAATTAATTGATATGCTTTGATCGATCATTTGAGCCGCTTCAAGAACGTGATGTTAATCTTTCTTTTACTCGGACTCTGTCAGACTTGGATATTACTTAGTTCGCGCATGAAAAGAATGTCATTAATTAATTAGGGAGAGTGACGGCCGTTTCCCCTCCCTTCCTTACTAATCGAAACTTAACTTTATTTAGTAACAAGGCGACATGGAAATTAAAATGTCGTTCGTTTCTTAGGTAAAACATTGTTTTTTTTTTTCTTTTTCTAAATATTTATGCGTAGTTGTGTGTTAGATTTGTAGAGTTTTCGTTTTTTTTTCTACCTAATTCAGCATCGAATTGAAACTTCTAACCCACTGGTTAGAAGTTTCAATTCGATGCTGAAACATCGCATTTATTTTAATTAAAACTACCTTTGTGGCTTAATCTCCCTGTTTTATTGTTATTATATTATTTCGGACGTTTCGAATACTCCACAGTTTTCATAGTAAAGGACCGTCGTATCGTAAAGAAACGCCAAATTTGACTGTAAAAGTAGTTCTGATTATGTCTACGACTCGAAAAAACCGAAGAAATTACTATAACGCCTATGTTTTTCTATTGTTTAGATGTATTGACGAGCTCACGGCCCACCTCTTGACATGAGTTCTAAGGTCTATGTTTTAACAGTACAACCGCTGCCCCACCCTTCAAACCGAAACGCATTAGATCGACATGTTTTATCTAGTATGTGTTTTTATCTAGGGTTCTCGGGGAAAAGGTGCGAAAACGATCCCTGTTACTCTGCACCGTGCTTAAATGGTGGGTCCTGTATGAGTATGGCTGTAAATGGCACGACTTCATTTCACTGTGCATGCCCAGACGGCTGGACTGGAGCACGATGTGAGTTTTCCATGATCGGTGGAGCATGTACCTCCAACCCATGCGTGAAAGGTATCTGCATTGAACAAATCGATGGTGATGTGGAAGAGCCAGATTATAAGTGCTTCTGTCAGCCCGGTAAGTGCATATACATAATATTGTACCTTCTTTTCTCTATTCATTTAAATCATTAAGGTATAAGTTAATTATTTTTAAGCAACCTAATTGCATTATTACTTAAAACTCTTCTTTAAACATTTAAGCAATATAATCAGCAATAATTACACATAAAGTATTGAATATTGTAATTTTATCCAATGGCAGCCATTTATCGCGATCCTTGTTTTGTAATGGAGGTTATTATGAGGATAATTTAATTATACTGGATTTATTTTATTTACTTGTAGTGAGTCCCATTTTTTTCAAAGCCGACACTATCTTGATTAACAGAGTTTACGTGACCAACTTATCAAGCGCCTTACAAAGCAAACGGTTAAAATTTACTCAATTTAATAATGCGTTGTTTGCGAATGTTGGTCGAGCGAATTTGGCTCGGTGATTTATTTGAGGTGAAGTTGGAAAGTTGCCCGGAGCGACGAGGCTGTCTTGCTCACCCTTTCGTATTTATACGCGTCCAGTGGAACGTAAGCCTTATTTATTTGGAATGAAAACGTCAATAACACAAAGCGGCAATTTTACGGTTGATTTTTTTTATTTAGTGGCATTTAAATGACGATCGCCTCTTAACGATCACTCATTTGAATGGGTTTGGAATCTTTAAACGACTAACGTTTTTTGTAGTCTTTCTTTGATTTTATTTATTATTAAATAAATTACGACTTTCATAATTAAAAAAAATTCCAACACAAATCTTTTCAATATTCAAGTTTGATACTTTTTGGCTTCTCTGATGCCTGTGTAACTATTTTTGTAGCTGTTGAAAGAAAAATCACTAATGAGTTAAGCTCGTCTTTGAACATTTTGTATTGAAGTTTATTTTTAATTAAAATTCAGTGTACACTAAAGAACAAAGAATAAAGATACTTTTAAATAACAGTGTTCTTAAATTTAAAAAAAAGATACAATAGAATTTTAAATTCACAAAGACACGAAATCGTCATAAGATTTTTGTAAGTTACTTTGTGTGTCCTGAACAAACTTTATTGTGTGTTTCCAGTATTGCATTGCGAGGATGTTGCGCTTCAAGCGTGATTACATCTAATTTTAAATACAAATTCAATTTCCGAAACAACTTTCTCGGTGAAGTCATTAAGAGCCTTAATATATGATAATTGATCACTGGCTGCTCTATTCTACACCCTAATGACTTTGTAAACTATTTATTACTGACCGAACACTCGGCTTCATTAGGATGCTCTGCTTACTATACATTTATTTGGAACGAACTTGGAGGAAATTTAATTACATATTTTCACGATTTCGACAAGTTTGTTGTAATTTATAATAATATCAATAATGTTATTTAAATCAATAAATTTTCTTACATGTAATATATATTAAAAGACTCGTAGTGCTATTTTTGAGACTAGAAACAATTTGGACAGAGTACTCTTGGATTTTTTTATTAAGCTTCACAAGCTTAAGATGTTCGAAAGATTGAGATATTTGTATCTGACACTAACCACTAAGTAGGTACCGATCGTAAAATGTGTTTTCATGTAAGGTGTATCCAATATAATATTAACAATCTAAATAATAAATTCGAGTGATTGCAAATAAAATTAACCACACACAATATTCCGTTTCAAACGCACTGAAGCTTTTGCGAGAAAAAAAGCATGTCCAGCTGAATGAATAAATAAGTAGAAGGGTTTTTTTTACGATTTGCGAATAAATCGACGAGAATTAATCAAGTTCTTGTTTTTCCTTTAGGGTAAAGAAAATTCAGGCGGATGCAAACAAAGCGCCCCGCGGGGCGGATTATGTTACGTTGTGCGGAACTCAAAACCTCGTGTTTTCTTAGGTTGGATGTGAATGTGCGCACACAGACATTATGTATTGTCTTCTGTATTATTCAACGTTTCTAGCCACTCTACGTTGCTACGTAATCCTTTTGCTTTAATACACAAAGCTTATCAACCTATTCTTTTTCGGTGCGGGATGACTATATGAACATTTTTTTTAATACAGTAGTTGAAAAGAGCTTCTAAAGACTGAAGTCGTCGTGGCCTAAAGGATAAGACGTCCGGTGCATCTAGCGATGCACCGGTGTTCGAATTCCGCAGGCGGGTACCACTTTTCTGATGAAATACGTACTTAACAAATGTTCACGATTGACTTCCACGGTAAAGGAATAACATTGGGTAATAAAATCAAACTCGCAAAATTATATTTTGCGTAATTACTGATGGTAAGACCTCTTGTGAGTCCGCACGGGCAGGTACCACCACCCTGCCTGTTTCTGCCGTGAAGCAGTAATGCGTTTCGGTTTGAAGGGTGGGGCAGCCGTTGTAACTAATCTGAGACCTTAGAACTCATATCTTAAGGTGGGTGGCGGTAACTACGTTGTAGATGTCTATGGGCCCCAGTAACCACACCAGGTGGGCTGAGAGCTCGTCCACCCATCCAAGCAATAAATGAATAAAAAATCTGGGCTGGATTGTCAGTCATCAAGCCACGCAATAATATTGAAAAAAAAAACATCGTACTTTCCTTTCTGTAACTAGTTACAAAATGAACAGTTAGGACAAAAAATTTAAAATAAATTAATAAAAATGTATGTGTTATCTTAATTGTCATTGGCTAATGACTAAAAAAGACATTTTCATTTATTAATTCCAGTTATCATTACTATAATCCCATAGTCTACATTTATTATAGCAAAACCCGCCAACGCGGTAAACTTCCTTATCAATATTTGGAGCCGTGTTTCACACACTGCGTTTTTAGATTCTTTTTTTGGTAAAGGTGGCGGTCGGTCCATATACTCAAACGACAAATTAGCATCTACGAACAGTATTTGCTTTCTATTAAAGGTTTTTACCTCGCATCTGTACGTAAAAATTGTTATTGCTTTCTTGGTAAAAAATCGGTCTGCTTATTTATCACAAGATTTAAATTTTAAAATGATATTTTGTTCCTATATTCGAGTAGCTCATGGCCCATTGAACGTTTTTGGCTACTAGGGCCCAATGAAATCGCAATGTAAGTGTTATCAAGCATATTAAGTTTGGAGTCGATGTTTGAATTATACAACGCCCGTCTAACAATTCACACCAAGACTACTGGTGTTCGGAATTTGGATATAGGCCGCGAGCTCGCCTTCTTCGTCTGTTCCAGCGAAAAATGAAAAATTAACTATTTGAAGTCCGATTATTTCCGACGCTAGTTGTACAAAATAGAATTTCCGAAAATTTATAACGTATTCGTGCGTTTTAATTTATCCACAATTTTTTTTTAAACTATCAGATTAGCAAATTTATTTCGACATTTTTTCGAATGATATGATAGTTTTCGAATAAATTGTTCGATTTAAAAAAGCCGCACGCCAACCGATATAACCCTGAGAATTTGTCGAGACAAGTCATTTAGCATAACAAATTGGTTTTATGATATTATCGACGTTGATTTATAAGACTGATTCTGATTTAGCATAAATCTGCGGGTCAATGGTGCGACATGATTAATTCTCTTAATTGCGAACAATCATTAATATTTAAATTAAATAAAGCCATGCATTAATTTACACGCAAGTGCGTTTGTTATTAATTAATTTATTGAAAATATAGTTATAGTTGAGCTGCACTATGTTATAATATTACTAGGGTTTACTCGTAAACGATACATGTTTATCTTTTTTTATCATAAAACAAAAATATGAAACAGATTTCGTTCAAGAGATTTCCTCAATATCTGTCATCTTATGTTGTTCAGATTTTAATTAACTTTTTTTTAACTTATCTCCAGAAGTAATATAATTTGAGGTTATTTTTGTGGGTTCTTGATATTATATGCTATCACCAAATACGCTCTTCGAAAGATATTTTAAAAGAGTTCTAAGACAGTAAAAGACTTATATCAAGCTCATAGATAGCTCTGTAAAAAAAACAAGAAACGCATTTCACATTTTCTTGGTCACGAGCATTGAGTCACAAGTGAATTTCTAGATAGGTACGTTCCCTGTCTGGGGTTGTTAGTACATCAACGTGAGTTAAAAAGCGTACGTATAAAACTGGCAGTATCCTGTAAAAATAAAAACTTGAAATATCAAATAAGACTTTCGTGACATTCTCTAATAAAATAAAAATGGTAGCTCTAAAACAGTAATCCGAATGCTGTGCGTGTTTTCTTTCAATAACGAATTTCCAAATATTTATTTGTAAGCTCTTTTGTATACGGAACAATCCGAAAAAGTTACTATTTTGCAACTTTGTCAATTGCATAACTTTATAAATAGCTTAGACATACGAAAAACTATTTATAACATCGTCGGCGACTATATATACAATGGAATCGTCGTGTTGTCTTAGTTTCATCGCACATGGTCATACGAACTGTAAAACGTTATTAAAACAAAGTTTTTAAGGCTTCATGAATAACATGATACTATTTTTTAGGTTACACGGGAGAGCAGTGTGAGCTTGAGTATAATGAATGTGAGTCGTCGCCGTGTGGGAACGGCGGTACTTGTACCGACAGAGTTGGAGGCTTTGAGTGCACTTGCGGGCGTGGATACACAGGGAACACGTGCCAGCTTAAGGTAATTCAAATTATATTTAACAAATTCTGCTATTTTAATACATTCTTTGCACATATAGGGAAACTATTGCCTTATCATGTTTCATCATATTTTCTCTTTTTTTTTTCAACCTACCTATTCGCTGGTAACCTAAGATGCTATTCCAGCTACGCCCGGATAGGTAGGTGAGCTCACGGGCTCAACCGGAGAGAATTTGCTAACACTAGCAAGAACAGTGCTTCGCAGAATCTAGCACCGGATCGGAATCGCAACCAACTGAGAAAATCCAGCGAGTAACTCAGTGGGCTGTTTCCATGGGTTAGTTCGCTCGTAGAACTCTTCTTCGTAATCGACGAGTTTGATGAAGACGGTGACTGTTTTTCTCCTAGCACAAAATTCGTTTTGAAGAAGCTTCTGTCTTTTTGATAAATAACCACCTCGCAAACGTCATAACAACATAGAGGTTGTGTTCGTGTATTTTAAATGACCAAAATATACCTAGGTCGATCTGTGTTCGCCGAATCCTTGTTCGGAAAGCCGTTACTGCGTGGACCGTGGCAACACGTATACTTGCGAGTGTCCTCATGGCTACATAGGCGAGGAGTGCGACATCCTCGCCGGCTCCGTCACTGCTCCGGACGGCTATCCGAGGCGAAACGTACGTATTTATATTCAATTGAAACTTAAACCAATTAAAATGAGATTTAACTTAGTGTTGAACGCTTAAATTCAAATTTAGAACTTTTTTGCCATTAGTAAAAAGCATATATAGCAATTGTTGAATAACAGGTAACTGAAATGTATTTATGGAGTTAACGGTTAGATACCGATGATTTTAAAAGAAATCCATATTATTTGTATGCGTCTTTACATATTAATATTTAATGAAAAAAAAAAACGCTCGTGTATGCGAATATTACAACTCGTAAATGTTACTAATTTTTAAAAAATTATAATACCGATTACCTTACCATTTGACAAATTTTCATAGTATTCTCTTAAAAATAGGTCACTAATCTCGTCGAAAGCATATATAGGTATATACCTATATAATTATGAAAACGAAAATTTACACAGCGCACTACGTGCCCAATATAGAATCGAAGATTTTACCTAAGTTCTTCAATAATATGATTAATGCGTTTTCTCACTTACACAATAATTAATTTTAATAGGAGATATTACTCGTATATTGTATCTATTGCATACACTTGTTGCAACTAGTTAAGAGCGTTTTGTTTTCTACCTATACTGATAGCCTTAAGAGGCTATTTCAGCTTCGTCCTACTGTATAGGAGAGCTCGCGGAGCTCAAGCCGGGAGTGTTGCTAACACTGAACCCAGCAAGAGCAATGCTTCACGGAATCTACTACCGGATCGCAAACGCGACCCACTGAGAAGATCCGACGGGAAACTCAGTGAGCTGTGTCTATGGATTAATTTACTCGTCGAGCCCTTCGTCGCAAGCGACGGGTTCGGTGAGGATGGTGACCGGGTGTATTCAAATTTTTAAAGCTACATACGTACTGTTTCATTTCAGCCCTGCGATAACTTCCCATGCGCTCACGGCGGCACTTGTTGGAGTGCGGCCGGTTCATTTTATTGTTCGTGTCGACCTGGATATACCGGAAAACTATGCGAAGGTGAAAAATATAATTGTTGTTGTTGAATGTTGTGCAACGTTATCCGAACCTTGTGTCAAGACGAGTGAAAGTGCTTGCTGCTATGCATCTCGTGTTAAGTGATAACTGGAGCTCATAAATACCTATCATGATTTTAATGCCGTCACCCACATTGAGACATGAGGTCTGTTAATTAGCTTAGATTAGGTACCTAAATTGTTTTATAATTTATTAGTGTTCGCCCAGTAATTGAAATTCAACTATAATCACTGATTTCAATATTTAGATACATTTTATGTATTACTTTTTTTCTTTTGTTTTAGTCATAGTGAAGGAAAAAAAATCCACTTAATGGTTGTCATTTTTCATTATATAAGTAACCACTAAAAAGGTTCGATTTATAGCGCGTAGCTATCACAGACCACAATGTATGTATTTGATAAATGCTTGAATCTCGCTAACGGCATTTTCAAGATGATTTTGCATATACATATACAAGTTCCGAACCGTTGTTCGGTTCAGACCATCGTCTATCTACACAGCGGTTTCATCCACTCGATTTCAGGGCTTTCCTTCGTCGTTAAACTGCAAAGATTCACAAATAGAAGAAAAAATTGTACTTAACTGCTACGCTAATAAATTATTTTATTAGACAAAGCTCGATATACATTTCGTAGTAAAACACAGAGGGTTGTATTTCAGAAGATTTCATCCTCGAATCAGTAATTCGTGGCGAGACGGTCGACTCGGAGCAGCGAGGCGGGGGTTCCGTTCGTGAAGTTAGGATGCCTCTCGGCCTATATCACGATCGTCTGCACAATGTGTACATAGCGGCCGGCACGCTGGGAGCGGCTATAGCTATTGTTGGTGTTGTTGTAAGTAGATATACAGAATTTAGATAAATTAGCATACTTTAGCTGATTTCTCAGAATGAGGAATTCTTTATTTACTAGTGGTCCCGCAGTAGTCGAAATTCGACTATAATAAAATTATTAATTGAAATTATAAGTTTGAACATTATTATGGTTCAATTGTCAAAGACTATTTTATTTCTATAGTGATAGATTTCGCCAAGAAAGTTAAACAATATTAACTTATTATCAATTTGACTACAGACTATGCAATAACAAAAGTTTGTCAATAAGCAAAGACTATGTGTGTGTGTGTGTGTGTGTGTGTCAAATACATGGTAATTTGTGTAATGTTTTCTTTATTGACTTAATGTATTTTAATGCATAAATAAATAAAAAAATTAGCATTCTGCACTTCTTCTCTATATTCTCTATAAGTGTGGGAAATTTCATACTCCGTCCGCGCAATTTTCTTAAAAAGGGGTACAAAGTTTTTGCTTCACGTATTAATATATAGATTAAAAAACATGTGTTTGACAAACTTAATACATAAAAAAACAGCAGTTGAGACGTTAGGTCTCTTCATCATATTAGCCGGAACACGTTCACTATTGAATTTGCCAAAACTAACTGACGACTCACCTGGTTAGTAGCAAAGCCAAGCCCACGCCTCCGATTCTCAATTAGGATGACGTCAGACATCCGCTAGCCGTAAAATTATAACCCAAAATTCAAATTTTTCGAATTAACATTTCTAAATGTTTTACCAACGCTAGTTAGTTTAAGAGTGTGCAAAAAAGCTTCGACTAATATATTCGTGTGATTTTTACTTCGGAGCATGAATCTAAAATTTCGAATTCATTCACGGCGTACTATACTTGATAGTATTTAGTTTCTTTTGAAGTTCATGTTTTTTTTTATATTTTTTTTATATTGCCCTAGTAGGTAGACGAGCATACGGCCCATCTGATTGGTTACCGTCGCCCATGGACTTCAGCAATGGCAGGGGCAGAGCCAAGTCGCTGTCTACTATACTATCCATTCTATCTATAGAAGTTATAACATTTTTACAACGAATGGATAACATAAAATCCCCTTATAAGGGGAACTCTGGAAGTAACGCCAGTGACAGAGGAAACAAAGTGTGGAAGATTATCGTGTTAAGGGCATGCTCTGCAAAAAAGATGATCATGTGGCCAAACAGACCCTGAGTATGAAATTAGACGGTAATATGAGGAGGAGGCATCCTAAAAATACTTGAATGGAGTGTGAGAAGGATATGCGAGATAAGGGTGCTGAGAGAATTTATGATAGGCCTGAATGACAGAACTGAAGAAGAATAATGGAACACAGATCAGCAACTTTTGTAATTATTCTCTGTCTGTCTGTCTGTCTGTTTGTTTCTTTGTTCGCGCACATCTCCAGAGCTACTGAATTGATTTTCACGCAGTTTTCACGGGTACACCGGGATTAATATGGAATGATACAGGCTTTGTTTCATTAAAATCGGAAATTGAAAGAAAAGTAATTGTTTATTAAAGACTTTAGGAATTTACTTTTGTATGAGTCCTCGCAGAAAGCTACTATTGTAATAAATTTAATGTGCAATCTGCACTGACCAAGGCGTTGAGAAAAGTGATTGGAAGGATTTAGACTACATTATTTCATATTGCTTGTCATTTGTTATATGAATGCGTAATACAGACTTTAATATAATATTCAAGGAAAAGTTGACAACCTTGTTAATAGGCTTCTAAATATTATTATTCCTTATTAATTAAAAATGTAAAGTGACTCTAATGTGAAACGGATACTGTATAGTTTCTAAGATTACATTAATATTAATGATATCATCCACACGATTTCCGCCAAAAATCTCAAGGTCTATAAAAAATATGTAATTTTTTTTAAATGATGATATTTTCCTGGTTTACAGGTAACTGCTTGTCATTGCCGTGTGAACAAGACTTACTCTCGTCTATTGTCTCGTCTGTCCCGGGTCACGGAGCCTGGGCCTCCGCATCACTGGCTGCAAGACAAGCGCACCCCCCTCGCTCCCGCTTCGTACCCCCCTCCCTCCGCGGGTCTGGACTCCGCTGACATGTACTACACGTTGGATTTCAGTGACAGCCAGAGCTCACCTCTCATTCAATAGCAATCGTTCTGGAACTGCTCCGATGGGGAACGGTTCAAAATACAGTTTTGAATGGCTCTGCCTCTGTTGTAGACATGCTTATGATGGGCTCCGATCAATCGCGCATTGTTCGATCCAGTTTTGAATTTAATATTAATTCACTGATATCTGTAGCATTTTAACCGACTTTTATTTTTTCCTTTTTGAAATAGGTTTTTGTTAAAGCATGTCTATTTACAATTATGTTTCAAACGTAAAGTTCTTAATTTTTATTCAATTGTTATTAAATAGATTAAATAAATAAAAAGCAATCCTTTTTAAATTTGCCTTTAATAAATAGGATTTAACAAATATTCTGAGAAGTTTTTCTTAATTTTTACTATGATAAATTGAAAAGAAACATCATGCCATAATTAGTTTTATTGTTTTTAATATCAACCATAGACTATAGCAGATTGTCACGATGAAAAAAACGCAAATTATCTTTTGTTTTGTTCTAAATTTTAATGTTGCGTGGGAGCTGTAGGAAGTTTGATAAATAATGTTGGGTCATTATAAACGACCTCGCGAAATATACGCACCACTAGGCACTTTGTTGTTTGTTCTTAGAAAATTTAATTGCGGTGTGTCGTAATGTAATTTAAATAATTTGTAAATAGCTGAGGTATGTTTTTTTTTTGTTTTTCGCACTAGGCACGAACGTGATCACGGTTTACCGAGTATTAAGCGATTGCCGGAAACGTAGAAATCACTTAAGAACATGATATCTAAAACTTATTTGTACATGTCATGATTAGATTTATGTTTAACGCGATGGATGACTTAATTTTAGAGTAATACCATCAAGAACTATAGATTACTATTAAGTTATTAGAAGGCACTCCAGAGAACTAAGTGCCCTCCTAGCTGAGCCGTTGCTCGCCCACCTGTCTTGGTGAAACTGGGAAGGACTCCGGGCCACCGGTTCTTTCAATCATAAAAAAAAAGAATTAAGTCACATTAACTTATTTACGTATACATTTTTAAGCCCAGCAATGTTATTTATTGTCAGAAATATAGCGTAATAATCTTATCGATAATTATAAGGTGGGTTATGACTCCGTGCGGGTAGGCTCTTGCGTTCTGCTTATTTCTGTCGCGAAGAATACATTTTTAAATTGATATAACGAAAACAAGATGAAAACAGCACAAAAAACGACTTTCTTTTAATATTTATTACGTTTTCTGAGTCTGCTAGATGAATAAGCAATTTATCAAATTATTGATATAGTTAATAAAGTTTTAGAAAGTGTATGTGCAAAATATTTTTTATTATCATGTTTGTATCCATTTATAATATGAAAATATTACGTACACCTGAAAATGACAAATAGCTATTGGCGGTAATTTTTAAAATGTAGAAGTCATCGGGAATCGTGGACGTGATCAAAAACACTTAAGATTTAATGTGTTCTTGTGTGGCCGTCTACCACGTTATCTTCATTCTCTGTTTACACAAATTGTAAAGAATTTACAGATATTATAAATTGGATCAAATAAACATGTCATTAAATTGTAAATACTTTTAATCATATACTTCGATATAAAATAATTTTTATTAAATTTTTTTCTGTATTCTATTAGGTATATGGCAGAAGAAAACGTATTTTAATCGCCTTCAGTATCCATCTTGTTGTTGTTGTTGTTATACTGCTTGAAATGATGTTAGTATAGTTTTATGTAACTAGCACAAAAAATTAAGCTAATTAAGGTGCGGCTTATGTTATCTTAGGATTTGACTGATCTTGATGGTAGAAGATTTCTGTAAATCTCTAGAAATTCTAGTTCGCTTTCGTGTATGTGTGTGTTAGTAAAACTAGTATTTTCGTCAATATCGCCATCATGTTAATATTTTCATACTTTTTCTTAGTAGTTGTAATTAAAATTAAAAGGTGCGGTATAATTAAAACACCTCAAAAACTTAATCTAGATATTTAGAAAGATGATCCGTATGTTCTATGTTTACTTTGACACACGCTATAAAATTATACCTAATATTAGTACTTATTAATGGGTTTTTTTTTATTAAAACTGAATTTTCGCCAAACTTTACTTTGTTTCTCTGTTTGACTGCCAGGTTATGCAAATTATAAAAAGAAAACGCTTTTTCCAAACCAAAATTATCTGGATGACAAAGCAATTTTTTAGGCCTTTAAAACTTCCGCTTATTTCTAGAGTTTTTATGTATAGATATTGTATAATATCTGTTCGTTGTTAAATGAAAGACATTACTCGTATAAATAAATATAAAGCTGCGTGATGTATTATTAAAAATATTTTTTCAATGGTTCAATGTCAAATGTCGGATCGGTTTCGTATTATATAAAAACGTAATTAAATCAACGATAGAATTAAAATATTATTATATATGTTCACAACGAAAATCAAAGTCGTGTTGTTTTGAAGAAAAAAACATTTTATTTAGATTATAAACTTTGATAAAAATAATTATATTAATAATATTTTATGACAACTTACAAATATTCATATAAAAGAATAACGTAACATCTATTTTATTTAAAACTTAAGTACAGTAGACATTTATTGACGAATATGTGCTACCACTTTCTGGTTGCCTTTCAACTGTGACTACGTGTCAAGAGTGCGTTGTGTGCCGCAATGTCAACCTTACGCCCCCCCGCCCCCTCTCCCTTCTCCACATTACCGAACATCCTACAATAACATGCAGTATTCATTTCAATAATTACACAAATATTATACTCTCATTTAAACATTGCACAACCATTAAAGGGGCTCGGCTGGCGACACGACAAGCAACTCAGCCATTAATTCACAACGCCTGATTTACGTATTATTGCTACTGACATTTGTGACTTATGACGAGATTCTGAATCACGATCTAACATCATTGTAAGTCTACATTAAAGCTGCAATTTATGATAAGTATATAAATAAATACAATTATTGGAATAAGTTTAAGTAGGTAAAACAATGTTATAGTCCGCCCAACTACTAGCTAACGCAGACTTTGAGCAACGAATGCTTATAAAATACATGTAAAAGAAATAATAATAATATTAAAGAAATATAAAATTGTGGATACAAATTAACAAGTGTACACGAGCCAAATAATGGAAGAAAGGACATCGAAGGCGACGAACAGACGCCGCCAGACGAGTCGCGACAAAATAAAATAACACAAAACAAACACATTACATACAAATACGTTGTATATCGATAACATGATCTTAATTTTAAAATTCGATGCATCATACCTCAAGTCACATTAAAAACTAATATAAAATTATATACTAAAGTCATTAAGTATTCTAAACTATGTCATAATATGGCAGTTAAACAAACCGTCTGCACTAGGCACGTTTGTGATTACACCTGGCGTTTATCTGCGACCGAAGAGATTGACAAATACGAGTATAATACATTCCTGAACTGTGTGATGGATATAGTATCGGTGGAAGAATATTAAAATATTTCATTTTAATATATATTTCAATTTAAAAAACGATGTGGTATTTATTCATCAAATTACGGTGTTTCTAATGAAACTAATATTTTTGTTGTAGATTACTCTTAAGATAAACTAGACAAACATGTCTGTTTGATATGAAACCTTACGTGTAAATAAGTCTTGGACACAAATATTATAAAACTAAAATGTTGTCATGGCCAGATAACCTAATTTTTCGAAATCATTTAAAATAACAATCTAATATCGATTAAAACTTAAAATTATTCACAAACCATTCCCGTGGGTAATAATGTTCAGATGGACCATTTTTGTGACTAATTACATATGACTATGCGATGAAGTATTTGTGGAAAAAATGTGACTGGAAATCGTGTTTTGTGTTCATTGCTCTATTAAATGAGTTGTGTGTTGTGAGTTGTATGCATAGTTTACAGGTCAATGTAGAAATAAAAAGACATATTTTACCACTCATTTTTTGTAACGTTTTAATTCTTAAAATTGTGTGCGGCGTGCCTTATGCCCACAGGACTTCTGTGGGCTCACGGTAATTACCAGGGATTGGTTATTTAGGTTTTTTTTAAATTTCAATGTAAAATAATAAAAGCAATGAACATTATTCAACTTAAATTTCTAATGTACGTTTTAAAGTACTAAATGATAAAATTGAGCGGGCTTATGAAGCAAACTTAAGCTTACAAAACTTAACAAAGTGGATGGCATTTAATATGACTTAACTCACTTATAATAAAGATTTAATATAATATTATTATGACAAAGGCACTTTATGCTTNATTTCAATGTAAAATAATAAAAGCAATGAACATTATTCAACTTAAATTTCTAATGTACGTTTTAAAGTACTAAATGATAAAATTGAGCGGGCTTATGAAGCAAACTTAAGCTTACAAAACTTAACAAAGTGGATGGCATTTAATATGACTTAACTCACTTATAATAAAGATTTAATATAATATTATTATGACAAAGGCACTTTATGCTTTAATGATTTGTGACAAGAGTTCCTTATCATCATGGCAAGATTAAAAGGTACCTGTTGAGAGGACAACTAAATTACATCTAATATAATAACCGAGTGAATGGCACACACGTTTAATTCAGCAACGGATCATTCATCATTTACAAGATGATAATTATCATTCAATATACGCAACTTCTGGATACCAAATACGAATTTCATTTGCCACCACCAACAAATTCGATCTCGCTTAATTTCATAAGGCACTATAAAATTATATATATTTACAATTCATTTTATCGTAATGTTATGACGAAGACATTTGTGATGTCGAGTTATTTAAAATTAAGTTAAGATGATGGATCGCTTAAAAGTAAATTTCAATCTGAGATCGACAAACTTATCCCATTATAATAGATTTTCGCATGAGTGCTAAAGGGGAATGTTAAAGTTTTTGAACTAAAGTTCGCATCAATACGTCGGGAGAGTGTTCATTGTATGAAGAAGGCGGCGCGAAGGCTAATGCTCTAAGGGCAGTTCCACAAAGATGATGTCGTAGAGCCGTTCGTCGTCTGTGTTACCTGCCGGCACTACTTCGAGCAGGAACAGATCTTCGTTGCAGTAATACGCGAGCATGTCATCGTCAATTTTGGCCGTAATCCTGAAATGGCATTTAGCATATTCTAACTTGTGATTTTTGTTGACAATCTTGCTTAATGACAATTAAAAACGTATTTTTTTTTTTCAAGAATAGTCTAAATCATATGCACATAATGTTATTGTTAATACTGTGCAATATTCTAAAACAATACGATCGTAAAATTAAATTTCAGATTAATTTGCTTTTCGGTCTGGGAAGGGTGATTATATGTTGGATATTTAATACAAGCAAAATTAATAACCATGTCAATTAAGGGAAAATTTGCAAAATATTAAGCGTTGTGTAGTTAGTGGCGCGCCATCGGGACAAGCGGTATATTCCATTAACGCGAGGCGGCCGATGTCTCAATAAATATCAAATAAAACGTATCCGAGGCCAATGGAAACTTACCCTTTCTTGTTCTTTCGATAAAGATTATTAATGGCCGAACTTGAAATTTTGTACTTATTCTCAATCTGAAAATAAGCAAAAATAAGAAATTACAATGGGCCTTCTTTTGAAAAAAGAATAAAAAACCGAGACGTTTCGTCTTTCGTAACGATGAATGAACAGTAACCGTTTAAAAATTTTGAAATTTAGGGATCGTAACGCGATGATCCGTCGCGGGTTCGATGCAGCGGCCGGCCGCGCCTGTGTTAATTACAACATGCAGTTATGATGATCGTGTGTATTGGTATTAGACGGGGGTTATGAAGCGCCACATCGGTTACAGTTACAGCGTGGTCGCCGGCGCGGGCCCGGGCGCGCTCACCGGGCCGGCGCCGGCGACAGGGACGAAGCGTCTCGATTCCATTTCAATTTCTCAACATATCAATAAAACAACGATATTGTATACAGAAACCGAGAAAGCAACGGAAAAGTATCGCTCCCTCGTGTTTGGTGTTAGCGGACATCACCGTGGTTATTAATTCTGGTAATCGAATTATGTGTGTTTGTGAGACTTACCGCATGCATGAGTCCCTGCGTGGTGGGGGGCACCACGTGGAGAGGCGTGTACACGTCCTCCGCGTCCTGCCGCACGTATAGCATCACGCGCTCGCTCAGCGGCGGTGTGGACGTGCGCGCCCGCTTACCCAGTACACCCTCTAGCTCCAACGAGTCCTTGCGGTCATAGGGAGATAACGCACCCACCTCCCGGTATCTACGAGTATAGCGCGACATAAACATTAAGCACTGACAACATTCACTTTTGCGTTCGTGTTCAGAATAATGTTATTGTGTTTATGAAATATTCAAACATTGATAAAGCAATAAATTGAACTATTCTTATGGTAATCGTCCTAAACATTGAAGATATAATTACTCGTAATAGGTTTGAAGTGCGTAAATGATATAATGTTCAATTCATTATAAATAATTCAATTATGTATTCCACGATTTGCCCTCTTACATATTAAATGAGCGTTATAAATTGACCAAGTAACAAAACCTAAATTAATAAAATGAGTACACTGTTTATACTATTTAATTGAATAAAATATTGCCGACGTACCCTGGCGCGTCCGGTGGGAAGTGATTGTGGAATTTAAGCGCAGGCGCTTGAGGCTTTGCCGCGTGCAGGAGGAAGGGTGAGGCACCCTTTAGATGCGCTTCTGCTAATGACGCGTCATCATGCCCATAGAAGCCCTGTATGTCCATTCCGGTCAGTTTCTCGATGTCCTCCGCCGGACTGAACAAAACCGGTGGCTTAGACAAGTCCGCCATCGAATAGAATTCGCTCCGTTCGGTCACCGGGTGGTATATTTCGTCCAGTTTTTTTCTGTTTGTGGCCGACATCTTCCTTTTCGCTGCTCTTCTTTCTTCGTCTCTAGTTTTTCTTTCTGCACCCTGATAGCATTAAATCCGTTTATATTTTTTGTACCGAAATGAAAATATAACAATTTATGTTTACAGATATTTTGAAATTAAGTTAGTTCGCTTACCTTGTCACAGAAAACTTTAATTTGACAATATCCCCTGTGATAAACTTGTGTGTCTCGCGGGTCTTCGAAAGTGTCAATTTGAATATGTAATGGAAGACCCTAAAATAAAAAAAATACAAAATTTTTAGCAAACGAATCACGCAACACTTTTCCCACGCGTGTATTTTTATTTAATCGGTGTCTCGTCACCACTTTCGTCAAATTAGTCGTATCCATTGCTCAGATAGAAAGAAGGTTAGGACTAATTGACCAATTACAGGTACATAAATGCTCTCACGCTATTCGTGCCATACATAGTCTTATAGGCAAATTGTTTGTTTTTTGGTCAAGCGATTTCACGCTTAAAATCTGCACTTATCTGAGAATCATAACAAAAAAAAAACACTTTTTGATAAACGTTCAAAAGGGATAATTACAACAGATTTACGAATAGGGAAAAAAATATGCACGTGTCTGAATCGAATCGCGGTAAAATGTTTTAATTGCGTTGATTCGAGGTCAGCGCGGTTGCGGCTCTCCGTCCCCAGTAGGTTTGCGAGACTAGACAGGCTGATAGGAAGCTCATGAGTGGCTTTCGTCTTAGTACATAAGGTATAAGGTCGAATCTTAGCGCATTTTTTTTATTTTTCATTGCCCTTATAGGCAGACGAGCATACGGCCTACCTGATGGTGAGTGGTTACCGTCGCCTATGGACTTCAGCAATGCTAGGGGCAGAACCAAGCCGCTGCCTACCGCATTAGAAATCATAAATACGACAAATTATATTTTTGCGTTGCTTTCTTGCTAATATTACTCGTAGTGTGTGTAGGACATAATGTGGATGTCTTTTAAAATACAATGTTTGATCGATTCGCTGAGAAACGGACAGTAAAGTATCCATCACATGCTTACAACCTGTACTCATAATAGTGATTCGGAATTCGGTCAGGCGACCTGGAAGTAGTAATAACTATTCTAAAGGCCGAGGTCAGATAATATAATCTTTAATTAAATAATCGAAAAGTAGATAGTCTCTAAGATCTCTTGATCATGAATCATTCCAACGTAGTCCGATCAAAACGCTAACCGGCCCATTCAAGTCGGATCCCTTTTTCTCACTACGATACATTCAGATAGAGGGAACATATATATCAACGCTGCGATAACTTTAATTAACATTTCGCAATAACAACAACAAAAGTATAGAGTTAAAGACCAGCGCGCCGTTATCGATTCCCACGCTCATTAAACGTGTTATTTAACGATACTATAATCAATTTACATAATAGAAGTTGAAGATGAGCACACTGAGACACAATGTTAAATCTGTTAAGTATGTAATTAATTGATCCAGTCCTTTTCCTTAACTTGATTATGGCGATAAGAAGCAATGCCAATTAATACTTATACATATACCTACACAAGTTGTTTTTCTCAACATATTCTAGTTTTAAAAATATTTTGCGTAAACAAATTTAACGAATGTATGATTCAGAATCGACTACCGGTATCTGTTTATCGTTTCTTTTACTGTAAACTTTGTATGAAGGTAATATGGCCGCATTACAACACTCTCATTCTGATCTTTATAAGCTCTTTATTTGTTTTTTAAATAATTTATACAAACCTTAACGCCTTTTTGACTGCTGAAGTCTGTACTTAAACATTGCACTGCAATGTTGATCTGAAATAGAAAATACAATGAATATTGTATGATGGATGACTAAATGAAACTATTATAATATAGTATTACTTTATAATTTTATAAAGTAATATTATATTGTATAGCGGTTAAAGTGAAGGAATATGAACAGGATGCGGCTATTCTTTGGATAGTTGGGTAAACATTTATTTTTATTTATTATTACTTAAGTGGGTGGACAAGCTCACGGCCCACCTGATGTTAAGTGGTTACCGGAGCTCATAGACATCTATAACGTAAATGCCGCCACCTACCTTGAGATATAAATCCTAAGGTCTCGGTATAGTTAGTAAGAAGGTCCACGTAAGAGGGTACGAAGATCATCGAATGCTTAAGAGTGGAACTCGTCAATATCTGAATGCATTACAGTATCGCAGTATAGATTGATAGAATGTTGTGGACCATCCGCGCAGGCTCGTATACGCAGGCGTATATGTACCATACAGCCGGTTGAAATTGATTTATCTTTTTTTTAAATAATAAAATCTTTCGTATCCATAAAGAAACCTATTAGATTGACATTTGAGATTTTATAGCATTATAAAATAGAACCAGAACTTGTCTATTATAATTTGGTGTAGTCATCACTTTATGTTTACTAATTTTTGCAGTGATCGAAATTTGTTCATAAAGTTTAAGAGACATCTCAAGGTTTAAATTAATTTAATGTACATAAGTATAAAAAATCCCTTAAGTTTTAATATTGATACTTTTTTTTGTAAAGGGGGAATATAGGAAAATGAATGATTTCCAATTTTATTATGGCTAGCCCTAATAAACTCTCAATATCTACAAAGCAAAAAAAAACACGAATGGAAATCGGTTGGTGAACAGAGAACAAAAAAGTAGTTGACTATTTTGTCTTTAGCGATCAGATAAAATGCAACAACAATACAACTGAAGAATGTTTACGTCTTTAGGCAATGTTATATAAGAACAGGCGTTTCTCGGGGACACTCATTACAGCGCAGAGCACTTGCATTTAAATGAGAGGACTCGCGTTTTTAGCCGCCGCGCCATCGAGACCGCCACCGATCACTGTCCGTACGCATATTACCTGTCGCAAACGACTCGCATCCGCTACAATTTCACTAGCTAACAATAAATAATTACGGATATCGATAGCTGACCAGTAGCTAACTGCGAGAACCGGACCATTTTACAGCAAAAAAATAACCGAAGCAAAAAGCCGACTCTAAACTTTGTAACGATTCCAATTAAGCTACCATTTCAAGGTTAATTTTCGCCATCAATTTTATGATCAGATACAAAATTAAGATTTGTCGTAGAGGACGATTTAGGAGTCAATTACTACCTAACTAATATTTATTAGCATATTGTGTGAATTTCTTCACAAGGCCGTCAATAAATGTTGATATTAAAATGCCACTTGCCAACCTGCATTACATTATGGAAGGAGATTTTTTTTTGTAAGTACCTACTACTACTGCATAATTTTATATAAGCAATTAAAACACTCTTGTTTTGTTTATGTTAATATAATGAGTGTTCACGTCTCGGTAGCTGGCTCCCGATTGCACCGCCGCCGGACGATCGATATTTTTTGTTCCATTTGGCAAAGCCAATCGACTAAATAAGGTTTCAGAGCTCGATTTAATTACACTTTAATAAGCGTAATAAAATCATGATCTGCATTTAAATTTTTGCAAGATAATGAGCACAATGCATGACAACGGTTATCGTCCTCATACGGTGAGCGCATACTTTCGTCGTCCAAGACAAAAAAAAAACTTTGCCCGTATTTATGATGCTGTTTCCTTAAATTGAACATTGCTTCTCTTTTTCCGCAGATTCATTTTTTTTATATAAAATACTGTTACTTATTTTGAAATTAGTTAATAAAAGTATGTTCTAATCAATCGTATAATTGAATTACTAACCTTTGCAGCACTCTCCAATGGATTCCAGTATACTGCGATGGCGTTGTGAGCGACCTCCTCGATACAACCCGCTAAACCGATGCTGTTCTTAGTGTCTGTAAAATATCAAATTCTAAGGTTAATTTAAAATATACGCAAATTCCGATTAAAATCATCAGTATACAGTACGTCATAGTCGTGCCGCGACGGATATTTATTTGCTGGGCATGAATAATTACTAGATTATATCAGGCAATGGACGATTGCAATGTTTCTACATCAGCCCTTCCTACATTGAGTCTTGTAAACCTATAATTAGTACATTTTCATTCCGTTACACTGGCGTGTTGCAACTATAAGGACTTATCTACCCACACTAGGTAAATTCACCGCAAATCATACTTCGAAAGCAATTCATTTATTACTTGATAAGTTTGCTGGTCCCATAAATAATGCGCTTAAGTAATTTAATACGTTTCCGCTTTATTTGTAAACAAGGACGAGAAGCGAACGGTTCCACTTATGTATATTCAATAATCATTCTCAAATGCTTTCCGGAAATTGGAGCACACTAGAAACTAGTTGTATCATTCCATTAATGTTACTGAACTTGTTTTTATTATTATTTATTTTATATATTTATTACTGTAAGCTTTCGTTGTGAACATATGTAATATATTTTATTCAGAACAAAGAAATTATGAAATTAGCACGGAACCCTGACAAATTTTAACTTTTAGAACTTATAGGTGACACATCCGAAAGCGTAGGTTTTCCTGTCAGCGTAAATAACGTTGGCGTAATTTAGAGCAGTGGGACTGCATTAGCCGACAGGCATGGGAGTTTGTTAGTAATGTCTGCGTGTCTTGTATCGGGATAGTGCGTGGGTCGTGGGCTATCACTGACGCAGCGATCGGTGAGGCGTTGTGCCTCGGCCGCTGATGTGTTTATGAGCGAGGTACCACCGCCTGCCCTCGACGGGCCTACGTACTGTATCTAACAAATTCCAGAAAAACTCATTTCATACATGCTATTTATCAATTAAATTTTCAATTGAACTTGATGTTTTAACTGTTTTTTTATATCCAGCATCACTACATAGTATAAAACAAAGTCGCTTTCTCTGTCCCTATATCTGTCTGTCCCTATGTATGCTTAAATCTTTAAAACGTTCTCGTTTTTTTTAATAGATAGAGTGATTGAAGAGGAAGGTTTATATGTATAATAACATCCATTAAATATTGGAGAAATCAATAATAAATTGCAGTTTCCGAAGCGAAGCGAGGGCGGGTCGCTAGTTCAAAATAAATGTTTTCTAAAGTAAGTTGTGAGCTTTTCTTGAAACTCACAAACAATCAAACAAAACAATGAAGTGAACAAACAATGAATGAACAAATGAAGTGTGATCGTTAGTAGACTGTCAAAATAAATAAACATGCTTAAGATAATTTGTTGCAAGGAACAGACACACGATATGCGAAGACATGGAAGTAATCGGATATAGTATTGTGCAGAGCCGCAGTGCGTTGCGGCACTGTCCCCCTGTCCTCCCGAACCCCGCCGCTTTCACACGCCTGCGCACAGGTGTCCGGTATCGCCCTTGGCGATGCTCCTAAGTTCGTTACGACTATGTATAATTTGCTTACTAATAAAAAAAAAAAACATAAATATATTATATGAAATAAAAGAATAACATTTTAATAGTTGTGGGTACTGTGAGTCCGCACCGGTAGCTACCACGATCTTGCCAATTGTCGCAAAGCAATAAAGTGATCAGGTTTCAATGGTGAGACAACCATTAGACGATACATTTGAGACTTTAATCTCATGTCTTAAGGAGAATAGCGGCAGTGACGTTATAATCTCAACAGGCTAGAGTAATCACGTAACACAAGAAGGGCCTTGCCTAAAAACGAACTTGTTCTTTAATCATACTAATTTAAACTAACTGATGATTAATGAAACAAATTAATGCTATAAAATAGTAGACAGTGAAACACAAACGTCTCCTCAGTTCTTTTCGAATAGATATTTTCACAAATTTTTAGGCTCTATCTTGTAAAAGTATAATGAGCAATTTAATTAAGTAGTACACGCTCGATTCGACCTTCATAATAGCTTAACTTTATTGTCGAGTCCAAAACAAAATGCACTGAACATTTATTTCTAACACACAACTAAAATTTATTACATTGTTTAAAACTTACATTATTACTGAATTCCTTTATTTGTGGATATTATTTCATCCTGCATAATAAACACGACGAATAAAATAAAACATAACTAACATTGAGATTATCTCAAAAACCTTGACATTAAACTTGGCCCAGCCGCGCGAATTAATGGCTTCCATGTTTTTATTTTCCTTGAGATTTAATTTATAGGTAATGCCTGTTGTCGCGTTGTCTCCAATACGAATAATAATCTGGATAAATTCAGATTGTACCTTTGAGACAATATTTCACTTTAACTTAACTTTAACTTTTCGACTAAGCAGCAAGAATTTCATCGATGACGCAACTTCTAATCGGTCGACTCCTCACTCAATAAAATAAGCATGAATTTCTCATTTATTTTTACGATTCACTATTAAATCTTTTATATATCTGTATACCTATCAAATTCAGTCGAATCAAACGATTCACATGTAAATATTAGTAAAGATGACTATCGCAAACGAAGGTTTTATGTACGAGTCGAGTAGGTATAATGTGTTGATTTTGCGGAGGTATCGAAAACGTTTATTTTGTAAGTATGTAGAAGCGCAGCAGATGCGCGTGATCGGAGTTATTGTGCAATTAAGATGCTAATGCACGCGATGCGATCACAGATATCGACCGGGTAATTATATCCGAGACCGACTGTACTATGAGATTACATTTATCTCTTCTCTTTCTTTTTGACCTTCCAATAAACTTGCGTGTAGCTATCTCGTAGCTATTTACACCGACTTACAAGCAGCTGTTACGACCGCGTCTAAAGATTTCCCACGAATTTTAATGATTTCCTGTTAACTCAACATAGAGGTTGGATATCTTTATTATATCGTATTATTTGACTTAACATCCTCAACACTAAGAAGAACCTACTACTCGGCTTAGTATCTAAAATCTTAAGGTAATGTGTTTTTATCGTTTAAGTTTAAGAGCAAACAAAAATTTAAAAGTTTGATGTTTGAAGAAAAAAAAACGATTGATGTGTTTGTAGTTCGTAATCCTAGTTTCGGTGTGAGCTACGTTGGTCATAAGCGTTATTAATGCAAATGCTGTAACATAATATATACGATACAATATAATGGTGGGTAGCGGGATGCGTCTCCGCGGCTATCTTGGCTTGCAGTCCGATAATTAGGTCCTGCGTGCCGAGAGGGCGCCGGCCACCTCACGCAACCGCGACGTACTGGCATCCTGCTCTGTCGCCTCAAGCACTACTGTTTTTGTACATTAAATACCGTGTCTTGGATCCTTAGGATCGCGCTACCGTCAGACGTTCGTTGTTACAAAACTTACCGTGTAATTTTATCTAAAATGTTTAATTACGTAAAAATAGCGTATTTAAATATGACTGAAGTTAAACTTACCAGCGTCCAGTATCCTTTGTTTGACAGAGTGCTGCCTCCCGTGCCAGAATTGCCACGCTTTGATTTCGTCTTCTGGTGATTTCTCTTCTCTGAACATCAGCATTACAACGCTCTGTAACAATTAAAATTATGAATATTACGAAATTAAAAATCTTATCTAAGGTACTGCAGTGAAATGGCAACTTCGATTCGTTAGCGCTTAATCTATCTATCTATATATAAAAATGAATTGGGTGTTCGTTCGTCTCGCTAAAACTCGAGAACGGCTGGACCGATTTGGCTAATTTTAGTCTTGAATTATTTGTGGAAGTCCAGAGAAGGTTTAAAAGGTAGATAAATATGAAAATGTTCGGAATTAAATAAAAATAACAATTTTGTTTTTCCTTTGATGTGTCGGACGGATGCCTTTTGTTTGTTTTAAGTTTATTTTATACAAAAGTTTAAGTGTTTTATTTATCGATTGAGGCACTACGAAGTCTGCCGGGTCAGCTAGTTTAAGATATAAATATGTTAAATAAAATGCAATCAAGCAACTGGCAATTATAAAATATATTAATAGAAAGGAAGCAAACTGCTGTACATTGACCTTGTTTATGGTAAACTTTTAATGGGGAAAGTACGAAAGGATCGCCCTAGGCATTTCGCGAATAATGCTAAATGCGGTTACTGGCGTGCATTGCTTGGCTATTAAGTTGAACACCACAATTACATCGTAACTACACAGTAAGCATCTTAATTCTGCACACGTATAAACAATTATAAAAACTCACGTTATATTATCAAACTATTTCCGTTATACAAATTTAAAAAAAAAACTAATTTATGCGTGTAGGACGATTTCTATCGAAGCATTAGAAAATGCTATGAAAAAGATGTGGCTCGTGCAAGGCGTGGTGCCGGCGACACCATGTAGGGCTAACGACGAGAAAGCACCTCTGAGCGCGACTCCGAATAATAGATCGATGCGATCAACGGTCGCGTCGCAAGAAAACGCGCTCAGGAGCAATGCCTTCCCGTTCTGATGAACGAGGACCTTTACTAGAATCTTTTAGTAGTACAAAACATAGTAGCATTCATGTTTGTTTGCGTATCATAACTTCTAAACTCTTGCATGGTTTTCAATGCGGTTTTCACTTCAGAATAGTTAGCTGTATATGTATATGAATTAAAATGGCATATAATGGCCCTAGGTAGTGTATAGAAGTTTAAAAAAAAAGCGAAGTCTATGTACATATATAAAGGGAGCTTCGAATTCATGGCGGACAAATTCTTAGTATTATTGAATAATATTTTTAACAAATCTGTGCTTTTAAATTAAATTATTTGATAAATTTGTTAGTTTGGTTTTAAAAACAACTAAATCTTGAAGGTAAATCATTTTATGTGACATTTAGCGAAATTGGTAATGATTTGACAAATGTATAACATTTATACATAGTTGAAAATATATCTAATTAAAAGATTTACAATATTTTAAGTTAATACGTGCTAGAAAGCTTGTATGCTAAGTGCCAACAAAAACAGACACGCATCAAAAAAAATCTTTTTCAATATAGTTTAGATATTAATACTGACTATATTCGTATTACTATTGGGCGTTTCTAAAAGAAGTATTTCATTGAAAACAGATGAATAATTTGACACGGAATCAGCGAATAATTGAGAAACCGGGACGCGGGCTTTCTCTGGCCCAAACTGAACCGAGCCGCGCGCTAACCGATAGCCCATGTACAAAATTGTAACGGTGTATTCCGCCTCTACTAAACATCCCATAGATTATGATAAATATATAAATATTTACTACGTTACAAGAATTCCACCGTTGTATTTGACGAAATTCATTATACATGACTAACTGTAAACGTAGCTATTTATCGTGGCAAAGGTATTCCAACGGTGCCCAACAGTTCTAATTTACGGTGTGATGGCTTTCAATTCACCAATAAAGAATGTTACATAATATCGCCGTTGAATGTATTATCACATTGTTTAATGATTGAACTAGTTGTATAAGTCTTTGTCTGTTTGAGCTAATGATTCATAAACACTTGCCTGCTAATTTAGTATAGTTTCAGCCGGTACAGTTTACGTAATTTAGTGTCCATTCGGCAGTTGCAATTGGTAAGGCAATGTTCGCTATTATTGCACGACAAAGATACATTGTTATAATTGACAATCTTAAACGTTTGAATTATACAATTTATCAAATAGCAAACTCGCATTTTGATTTCATTAGCCGCTTTAACTCATTGTTGAATGCATTACAACTAATGTTGTAATTAACGGGTAATAATTTTATCATGTTTCGTGAACAGCAATCGTATAAGTGCAATTCGTGAATAGTAAAACGTGAAAAATTATAGATATGTAATTTCGTTTTTAAAAAATAAAACAAATAGAACTATAAAGAAATAATAAAGCATCGATAATTTTTCATACTGATTCAAGTAAAGCCGTGGGCGGCGGACCGCTCGCCTCGTTAATTGGATTTTTAATCCGAATTGACGTTAGTTACGAAGCCTTCCCAAGCTGCCAAATACCATAAATTATGTTTATACCGTAAAATAGAATAATGTTTTTTGCGATTGTCGGTTTTACTAAATTGAAAATCCAACTTAATTGTTGTTTTCGTGTGAAAGGAGTAAACGTATAAAACGAATAAAAATAACGTGCTTTTTATTTATTGCTTAGATGGGTGGACGAGCTCACAGCCCACCTGGTGTTAAGTGGTTACTGGAGCCCATGGACATCTACAAAGTAGCTGCGCCACCCACCTTGAGATATAAGTTCTAAGATCTCAGTATAGTTACAACGGCTGCCCCACCCTTCAAACCGAAACGCATTACTGCTTCACGGCAGAATAGAAAAAAAAATTAGTGACATTACTAATATACTATGGGTCCTGTTACAATTAGGCACAATTTTCAAGAGTGATGTTATTATGGATTTCTTATCACATTGATTTGTGTATTCATTTATGTGCATATACATGTATTTGCATGTAAAAATTTATTTTACATAATAATTTCCAACGATATTTACTGAGCTGAACGAACATACGTAAAAGCCAGAGTCATTCCGTAGGTATCAAGTACGTCGCACACATTACACAAGCCAGCGCCCACAGTTTCGGCTTCTCGGACCAGTTACTTCCAACTTTTCGGACCGTCAATTAATTAATCGAGTGTATCGACATTCGACCCGATTTCAGGAGCTCGGTTGACAATCTGAGTTATCTGATTAAGCACGCTTTCTCTCATGTGTGACACACGCTGGGTCCGTGTATAGTCGATAAAGCCACGACAAGCGCTCGCATTAATTTCGTCACTCTATTTGAATAAATAACCAATTGCATATGTATATTCGTATATACGCAATCCGACGATCTATATCAGGGAGTAAGTGACAGTTGAAAAACATTCATTAATCTTAGGTAAATATATACATAAAGTTAATCCGAAAACGATGCTTGTTTATTATGTGATGATAAAGCGGAAAAACGTTTTTACTACCGTACTAGAGACGCAATTATCTAATTAGGAATTGAAACTATGTAAAAAATTCAAAGCGTGCAAATCATAAAAGTTTTTTTGTTAAAACTAATTTAATGTTCTTATTTTGAAACAAAAACAATACAAAAAAAATCTAACTAATTTTGGTATGTTGCAATGTATCTTTCATTCGACGACATTAACCTTCAAAAGCCAAAGACATTACAAAAAATATTTAAACAGCCAATTTAATTTCCGCATTTAATTATTTATTAAACTTTGGGTGATTTCATAAATTACGTTATAATGTGTTTGTTTTCTTAACATAACTAAGATAGTATCAGATTTATGGTCTAATTAAATGCGGAGTCCAAACCATGTACTAATTTTATTCCTTGAACTACCTATTTCTCACTGATGCTATAGTCGACAGCATTACCTGAGAAGACACTATGTGACCACGCACCTGTCTTATTGTTACCTATAAATTGTCAGTTAATAGCATAGTTAACATATCAACAAAACTATTAATTCGGATTTAATCTTCAGTTCCGTGGCAATTGCGTAAGGTTTTGATAAACAGTTGACTTTACAGTGTTACTAATACAAATAATTCGTAAACATATTTTTTTGATTTTAAAATATGTGTCGTGCGAGAAACATGCGTCTGAGACTTCTAAAGTACAGGGTGTCTTGAAACACTGTGGCAAAGATCTCATTGCAACAAAGCTCTGGAAAATATTCGCTCCAATAACCATTTATATCAAGTAAACAATATAGTAAACAAATAATATGCATGACGTGCTTTTCAATTACTTTTAATTTGTAATGTGATTGTTTGAAACATCGTTTCTATAGTCAATCCTTCCGAACGAGACAGCATAAGTCGCTGTGTTCCATCCATCAAACGCTATCTGCTTATGACAATTATTTATACTAGCAGCATGGTAAACTATTTCACTCTCCGCTGAGCTTTATCGATAGCACAAAAGTAATGTCTGCCGTCTAGATACACTGTATCAGATAGGAATACGTCTGTTTGTTAAGTGGGCTAGTTGTCTGCGTTAGTTGTTTTAACGCCTTGGTTATTTACAGCGAGTTTTCTCTATTCTGATTGTTGATTTCAACATAAATCCGGAGCGGAATTGTGGGTGTAACTGCCGCGCTCTTGCCTACGTGTCACAATTTATTCCACATCAGTTGAAATATATCAGTGACAATTTTTGTCCCGTAAACAATGCGATAACGCATTTTCTTCACTGAGGGTGTCGTGGGCGCTGAATAGCACGACGTTAACTGTGAATTTTATTACTCTCTAGCTTCGAAATGCTTCCTGCAGTATATACCAGAAGTAGTACTAACTAGAGTGGATTTCGAAATTGTTTCAATATAATTTTAGTTTTAAATGTAAATTATATGAGACACTTTACGTGCACTTATCGTAATTAATTTTGTACATTTAAGTTAGTAGGGGTCTAGCCGTAGGCCGTAATACATCTCTAGGGACACCAAGTTTCCGCCGGTAGACAAATTGCTTAATGTTCCTGCACATCCGCCGATATAAACATTCTTTTGAATATAAATGAGTTTTAAGTACATTGGCATTAAAATTAACTATAAA